ATTCTAACATGTTCGAATTAATAGACCAGTCGACATCATTTGTGATCAGACTACCTCCTCGACTCACACCCACTGTCCTCAGTTGATTGTCAGATCCACTTATTAAATAGGTAATTTGGATCCGAACAAGTGTACTACTAAGCCATACCAAGATAATGGAGATTTGATTTAATTGTAATTAAACCAACCAGCTCAAAAAACACAGCTAAATCAAAGTCATACCGCCCCATGTAAGCTGTAGAGATTTCACTTCTGTTAAGAGCTAAACAACGCTAAGATTAGCAGTTTCCTAAAGAAGATGGATTGTTGGTTGCGCATCATAGTAACTAAATTGATAGACCCTTTCTCAAGAAGCTCTAGATGGTATGTATCAACACCTAACTTGTACACAGCTGAGAAATATCTGTCACAAGTACCTGTACCAGATGTTTTCATATGCAGCTGAAAATCGTGGTCAGTGGAGAGCATGCTGCAAATTCCTCCCTTCTTTTCTTTCTGAAAGTATCATGAAGTGATGGACGCTCTGCGAATTCTCTTGAAAAGTATGCATGCCTATTCCTTCGTCATTCTATTTCTTTTATATATGTATTGTTTTATTGTTTCTGTGCAGCGCACCTCACCATACATATTGTACTAAGTATATGTTCAGATAAGTAACAGATAACTGTATTTGATGTCTCGTAACAAACTAGCTCCTACTGTGTATAATGAACTACTATTTAAACTTTAAGGAAATAGGAGCTCCAGAAGTGTAATGGGTATAAGGATGTTTACAAATCGTATTTTGTCCAGCAATTGTTTAATTTATCCAAATTATTACTTTAGAGTTTTGTTTCTCTTCATCCTCTACAGGCACGTAGGATTTTATCGAATATCAGTTCCCTCTTGCAAGAAAACGGTTACTTCATTGCATCAATTCCAAACGCTTATGAACTTGTACGCAGAGCCAACGCAGCAGTGAATGATCACGCACAAAAGTCCAGCTCAAAATCTGATGTGAAAGAAATTACTTTTGGTAATTCTGTATATTCGGTCACATTCCCAGCTACTTCATTCTCAGCTAAACGTTTAGAAAACGAAAAAGGAAGCACTGTTCAATTAACATTCCCCTTATTTGGAGCCAAGTATAGCTTCCACCTAGATGGGGTTGTGGACTGTCCTGAATATTTAGTGTACCCACCCCTCTTAGACAAACTAGCCGCTGACTATAACTTGATACCTTCACAGAAATGTATCTCATTTGCCAAACATTTTTACACTGCATTAACTTCTCGCTCAAGTGTGCAAGAACCCACAGAATTACTTGTGAAAATGGAAGCCTTAGAGTCAAGATACTGCGATTCTGACGATAAATTTACAGACTGTAGTGAATATTCTCATCTGAGAGAGCATCAGAATGACCAACATCAGAGGACTTCTTGCTTTGGAACGCTTTCCAAATCTGAGTGGGAAGTAACTACTATGTACTCCTTAGTAGCGTACCAAAAAAAGTTAAATAAAACTTAAACCACTGTAAATCCTTTTTTTTAATTGTTCGTTTCCTAGTCGACATTCGCATACAAACTTGACTGAGATAAATAGAGAATGCAGTTTTTATCCAAGAATGTTGGAAGGGGATTTATTGAAACCTTAAAAATTCACAATAAAATTAGGAAAAGCGTACATAAGTTGGCTGTGATGAATACAGATTTACAGATTAGCTTATGCAAATAGGTTGTTTTCATCCTGATCCATTTTATCCTGACCAGAGATGGGTGCAAGTTTTTTCTTCAGTTGAATTGTATCTGAACTGGTGTGCCAGAGGAAGCCTTCTTCTGTTTTTCCCACCTCGTTCTTGCTTTCAATATCACTCAGGTATTTGGTCACCATTGGCTCGTAGACGTAATTCGGATAAACTCGTTCATATAACGGCATTAAAACAATATCATGAACCATGATTGGACGATCGAAGATACATTTCATGTAACCATGAGTCCCAATAGGTTCTTTAATATGTCCCACGGCCCCGTGCTTTGTTTGCTTTTGTACAGGCTATGTGAAAATTTGCACACAGATTATTTTTTAACACAGAAAGGAAAAGTCGCAAATTCTAAACTACATAAACTGCCTGTATTTAGTCCTGTTATGAAGCAGTGAATTGAATAAGGAATTATAGGATTCTAAACCTTTCCTAAGCCAAAAATGATGTAAAACTTGACTAAGACATGCGGAATAATTGAAACCTTGACTGTCTACACGAGTAGGTGTTTGAAAGTGTCACTATTATTAAAATGTGCATAGAACTTGTTTGTCGTTTAGTGTTGCGTTGCGAAACAAACCTCATGCAGACGAATGTTTGTTTGGATACATAGGCTATGAACAACTTCATCGTGCTATAATTTAAGAAGTCCACTGTCTTTGCGTCGGTGACAAAGCGGTAGAATGCTCGCCAATCACGCATGTGGTCCGGGGTTCGATCCCCGGCCGACGCACTCCTTTACCTCGCTAAGCCAGCAACAAGACTGGTGAAAAAGGAAGGTTGGGCATGAAGTTAGCAACCTCATCCAATAAAAATCAACACCACTGCTGCAGAAACTTCAAGCCCCTAGCTTGAAGCCCTATGTTCCACTGGGAACGGACAGGAACAAAAAAACTGTCTTTAAAGTTGCCAATTGCGTCAGCTTTAGTTAGTGCTGTTTACAGTTTTCCAAATCGGGAATTACTATATAAAACGCATTAGAGAATTACCTGGAAATGAAGAACATCCATAGGGTTGTGAAACATGTATCTGACAACAACATGATGTTGTTTAATTTTATACGGATGACCTGACAGAAGAATCCGTTTAATGACTAAGTGATTCGGATCGGCGGATTTCAATGATCCAGTTGCTACTAACTCTCCAACATACGGAAGTGACAGTTTTCCATCTTCATCCTATAAAGTAGAAAAATACTATTTAGATAAATGCGCCTAGATAATCACTCAAAAGATGTGTCAGAAAAAATCGAGTTTCTGTTTACCTAATGAGCGTTTTAGTCGAGTTGTGCTCTCGACAAACTAATACTACCGGCAAAGCAGAATCACACGAAAATGCAATGAACAGATTGTAGGTTTATTGCATTCGATTTCTCCCAATCAACATCTTGAACTGAGATTGCAGATACGGATGGAAAATAAGCCCATTATTATACTGAGAAACTCCCTTATGAATAATTTCAGCTCTATGCATAGGCAGTTACCTTTTACCATCGAAAGAAGTATATGAATCGAATAATAAGCCAGAGAAGGAAGCATGTGCAGCTGTCTATTCGAAATAAAGTTAAAGACAGGTGGAGTGTTTCCAAAGTTGTCTGGTTTGCATGTGTTTCAAAAATCAGTTTGTTGGGTGACAAGTATGCCTTCATTTAAGCAGCAGCGTTTAAGAGTAAAATTTCCACTACTGCGATAATAAAAACATAATTTTCTTCCAATGTTCACGCTTGAATTATATTAAACTTTGCAAGTTGAAAGCATAGGACTAAACTTTTGTCCGGGCGCTAACATGAGCCTAACTGTATTGGCTCTCAAAGGATATAACAAAGCACAGAAACTTCCACTGCACAATACCCAACAAGTAAGAAGAATAAATAACGTTGAGTTACATTTCCTAAAATTGTCTTTTCTGTTAATTCATAGTTGAAGCTCACCAGGAAGACATTATTTTATTAACCGCATTTGTAAACAAAATTCCCTTACCTCAGTCACTCTGATTCTAAACTGTAACACACTGACAGGAGAATACATTACTGGCGCGTAAACACTTGCTGTAGTAGAATTTTATGTAGCAGGAAAGAAAGACTCATATTTACTCTTTTCGCGTGGATTGCTTGTTGTGGAATAAATTGGAGCGGCTACAAAACGTCGAATGCCAGCCTGAAAAAAAAGAATTCTAAAAATTATGAATAGTGCTATTTTCCCATAAATAGTAAGATATATTACAGATCCAATTATGTTACAACGACACAGACATTGATTTGTGAAGTAGAATATATGCAACTGGTATTTGGACAAGGTGTTCAAGTTATAAAGACAATAAAACAAGCAGAATACATAAGGCTAATAAAGTAGAACAAAAATACTGGTAAATCTGATGATCTAATTCAAGTGTTGTCAAAAACTACAAAATCAAGCAACTATGAATAGCTTCATCCAATTTTTCTCATTGACTAACTTGAACAAAGCAAGATCGACAGATGTGTCAGGATAATATGAGCTCATCTTTTAGAATTCTTCTCAACTGGTTACAACTTTTTTCTGTAATGACCAGGAGTAACTGGTAGGAACCAAGAGTAACCTAAGTAAACACTAACAACATCTTACATCATTCTGGACTTATGTTGCTTTTAATTCCTATCAATTACTCCTTGTCATCGCCAGTTGAGAAGAATCCTCCAAAATAATGGATGAGATCATATTATCCTGGAACATTTATTGTTCTTGTTTTGTTCAAACTTATGAATGAACATAAATTACGAATTCCATGGATCTGAATGATTCCTACCTGATGAATAAGCATTAGATCCTTCGATTTAATCGGTTCGGCTTCTGGAGGTATAGGAGTTTTCGGATCATACATAAACTGTCTTATCTGTTTCCTTCCTAGAAATTTTACTACGATGATCAATGAGAGCGTCGTGTATTTCTTTATCTTCACGTTTAATTTTCGTAGAAGCTTCTTCACCGAATTCTATTGGATAAGAGTCATCACTTTGTAGTGACCCATTTTATTACTCATCATCGCAGTATACTTTCATTGTGTAATTGTACTTTGATTTATTTATTACTCTAAATCTTGCATGTTAACAATTGATACCTTTTGTACTCGCTCGATTTTTGAATTGTTGATTGCTGCAATAATACACTATCGTATTCCTTCGAAAGTGCCTTTTGAATTACGTTGCGGATGTCGAGTAATCGCAACGTTAGGGCACAATTGTAAACGCGAGGAAATACTAGAAGATACGTGTATGCCAGTTCAGTCAAAATAATGCAGCACAACTTTCTTTAAGTGATGATTCACTAATTTTATTTGCTACACCATTTGCTATTACCATCAAATCTGATACTGCACGAAGGGCAGAAGAGAAACGATTCATTGTAAAATGACAAACAGACATTCTTGTTTCACGAGGTAACATCGACCAAACAATAAGTGGATGAGGTCTGAGGTCAGATAATTTGACAGTATCATTGCTTTGACGTAGAGTGTGATGAGCTAATATCTTCTCGCCAAGATCATGTGAGGTAAGTTGTAATATAAGCTCTACATCTACACCAGATGGTATATATTTGCGAAGATTCTGTCCAGCTTTGTGTGCTGATTGAAGATCTGCCAATTTCTGTTCAATATAGCGAATCATAGTACGCCTGTTACGATGATAATTTCTAAAGCTTTACAATGAAAATGAAGAAACAACGGATAAACATTTTCCACAAAAGATTTAATAATTTTTATACTGAACAATCACAGAAGATGGATTAGGAAATAATGTAAACAGGTTGAATTGTTGAATAAATTTCAGAAAAATCTACCCAAGGGGAACGGACGCGCGGACGACCTTGGAAGAAACAATCAATCGTAAGAGGTAGATTTGGGCTTTAACCTTTATCTTTCACTGACTTGCTCTACTCGTGCGTTTCAAGGTTATTGGTGTGTTCACTTCCCTCGGTTTTCAACTTGGCCAACTGCTGCTTACATATTACAATAAGCACAATATATTTCAATTACAATTATTCGAATACAAGATATATAATTTGACGAACTACCAATCTATAAGTTTACTTTATCTCTCAGTGTGTAAAATATAAAGTCCAGCGTCCGGTTCAAACATACGAATTTTTCCCACCATCAGACTTTGAGCACCATGATTTTGTAAGAAAGTTGACATGATAACCTATGACAGAATTTGCCTTAGTTATCCAATTTAGAACCACGGTCCAATTTACGTCAATAATATTTTCACCCTCTTCCTTTCCTTTTTTCTTACCTCATATTCTTACATCATCTTCCCCCCCCCCCTTATTTGTGACCTTGGCCTGTACACAAATTGATCTATATTGCAATCACTTATGCTCTGTTGCCTTGTACATAAATATGTGTATGACAAGTATATGTGTCATCAGAATGTTCGAAATGTGTTGCACAAATACATTACACGTTCCAGATAAATTACGTCTTCTTATTGTTTTGTCGATATTCTAGAGATAAACACAAATTAAGCAAACTACAACGAATGAATGAGTTAAGATTATTGGTCTTCAGTCTTCCATTGGCTCATTTGATCGTATGTACGAATACTATTGTGCCCCAGAGAAGTTGTGGCCATCATTATCGAAATGATGAACAGGGATATAAATGCAAAGAATAACAACGCGACCAACGACAACGTTTAGTGCAGTAGCTCGTGTCGCCTAGTAGTTGTAGCGTTGCTCTATATATTATCTCTGTAGTAGAACACCCAGATTCAGCCTTCAAATCATTTCATCCATCCCAGGAAGGACTAAGAGTAGCCACTCAGGCACTGACTATCATCGTCTTAATTCACTTCATGTTCTACAAGGTATAGTAACGATCTTCATCTTCTTCAGAATCAAGGATTCAATTCGATTTATATAAACTGCCATCGAAATTCGACCATACAGCTATACGGATATTAGGAGTTTAGTGAAAGTATAATTAATGCAAGTGTAGAGCATGAGTGCTGTGGTGGAATGTGTAATTCCATGTCAGAATAGTTTATTTGATGTAGCACACAGTGAGTCAGTGTTAATAAATGGATGACGTTTCAAGCACAATTTATTGCTCATAATCATATCAATGTACTCATACGGTTTCATAATTTGCTTTACACACATATTTTTTCTCTCCTCCTCCTTGTTGTTTGTTGCGACTTTCCATATCTCCGGTATAGGAGTTGAGTCGTTGAGTCGACTGCACATGTAAGCTGTTGATTCAATAAACAAACATTCAGTCATTAATCTCTCTCTCTCTCTCCACCTAACTACATTACTTTTAAATACTTTCACTCACCTTGTCCCACCCTATTGCGTGATTACATACAAGTAAAATGCAGTGCAATAGCCGAGCTTTTTCTAGGTTATTTAACTTAGCTGGTTCACAATCATTCTAGGTCTAGCTAAATTTTTTATGTCCTAACAATCTAAATGATCCCAAATTACAAGGGCAAATGTTTCGTCCTAGTCTGAGACTCTTCACAAGTACACAGCAATAGGGGTTCAAATCCTGGAACTCCAGGTTACGAAGTAAAGCTAGTTGACCGTTCAATCACTTGGGCTAACTCACATGCACATAGACCTTTGATATTATTTTATTTCTGATTATTTCCTTGAACACATATTCGAGCCAAATTACCCGATGAAATGTAAGAATTATTACTATTCAATATCACTAAGACTTATAATAGTTGTTGTTGTTGTTGCCGCTCTGAACCTAGACTTTAGTGCGAACCGCACTCCCACGACTACCCACGACTACCTACCACGGATTCGAGGTGTATTTAGCTAGCTAGGTGACCACGTCTCGCAGACTAGTCTGATTGATAGAAGGCAGCCCCCCTCCCCAACCAGGCCTAGGAACCAATACAAGAAATTCAAAGTGTATCAAAGTTGTATACACAGAAGAGAATTCTCACTTTACTCAAGGATATATGGATCAATCAATATAAATGTATATTAACAACGAGCTTAACAATTGTATACATATATATATATATATATATACATACATATATGTATATATTTCACAAGATATGAAATCTTCTTTCATTTTTATTGTTTGTTGTTGTCAAAACTTTTAAAGCATAACTGAAAAGTGAGTGAGAGAAAAGAAAAAGTATCTCATTCATTAAAGGAGAGAGAGAGAGAGAGCGAGAGAAAAGGCAAAAAGTGACAAAAGTGAAAACTGAACAAATCGGGAAAAAAAGAAACAATGAGGCTGATGATGCACGATGTGTTCCATACAAACTGATACTAGACATTATAAACTCTACAACAATGATATTTATTAAAAAAAAGGCAACAGAATTTACAGTATCACCACCTTTAGGCATTACAAACAAACAAACAAACAGAAATCATTGAGAACAACAGGTGAAAGAAAAAATAAACAAACAACCAAAATGAAAACAAAATAACGAAAGACATTCCATTTGTGCAACACTGGATGGTTAAAAATGTCGATTCATTATAAAAAAAAGACAAAACAAAACAACAGTGTTATGTATCAATAAGCTATAATAAATGAATTCATAATCTGTTATCGACTGGTTCACATTCATTGATGATCATGGTGGAAGGATTGGATTAAGTGGTGGTGGTAGTAGTATATAAAATGGGCAAGTAGAAGTTAATAATTTCAAAGTTTTTATACACATTCATTTGTAAAAGCTAAATAGAAATGTTCAAGACGGGGAGCGACAGAGAGAGAGAGAGTGCTTCATTCTCTACTGTGTGTGTCTTGGTGCTTATATGTAGGCGTATGTGTGAGTGTGTGTCTCTATCTATCTGTGACAAGAGATAAGAACAACTACAATAAGATACATATGTGTGTATGCATGTGATGATTAACTTTATTTATTTCCTTTATAAACCATAAGTATTTTTCCATTTTTGTTCATCTTCAACTTTAGCTTCAGGTCTTAGTTGATTACGTAACCCTCCGAGAATATTGGCGGTCACCTAGAAATAGTAGAAAAAAAAGGAGAAAGATTTGAGCATTGATTGCTGATGAATAGAAACTGACAACAACGACTTCTGGTCGTAAATGGAAAGTTACATATAGATAGGCGAGATAGATTGTTCTGGATTCTCATGGGTAGTCATTAACTAACTAAGCATGATATAACATCATGCTGGCTGACATGGGAACATACTATCCAGACGTCGATGTAACAATAAACATCAATCATTTAAAAAAAGAATTATTTAAATATGAACATTAAAATTATTATTGTTATTCCCGTGGGTTCCGAGTGGAACATAAGCCTTCAACAGGACATATCCACTTTGTCCTGTTCTCCGCCCATGGGCTGGCTATCATCTCCTCTCTTCACACAATCTCCTCCATGTCACCCTCAGACCCACATTCAACTCGTCGTTTCACATTCGTGTTGTACTCGAAGGTGTGCTTGGAGCACGATGTCATTCAACGGTCTCTGTTTACTTCGGAATATTTGTTGAGCAATGAGTTCTTAGTTGGTTCGTTCCCAGACTTGCTAATTGATGCTAATTCTTTCTTGATGGATATCTGATCTTTAGTATGGAGCCAGCGAAGGCGACTGTTGATAAAAGTCTGCAGTAGCCTGTTAGGAATGCTTTTCTTGATGCGACAACTTCCTAACCCATTTAGGAGAACTGGCTTAACATAGGCGATGAAAATCCGTTCTTTATAATGAATGAGTGGAGGAGATTTTCAAACTGAACTCAGATTGATGAAGGTTTGCCTTTCCTTTCCCATCCTGGTTTCTACATTTTCACTTGTGCCGCCATCTGTAGTTGAAACAACACTTCCTAGATAGAGATGAAGGAAGTAACCTCTCTCAAATCCCTCCCGTTGGTAGTGATTGGTGCTGGTTGTTGCTGTCGCTGTTGGTTGGTTATCTTCACCACCTCCGTCTTCTCTATGTTCGCTTGAAGTCTTGTTTTCGCTGCCTGCTTCTTCAGCCAAATTGTTGGTTTTCACCTGCAGATCTTCGTATTTGTGTGAAATTAGACATAAATCATCCACGCGCCAAATCCAGATCTTCTAGTGTCTTCTTATCTGTGGTCCAGCGTATTCTTGTCTTCTCGCTCCCATGCACAATCTTCCGCATGATCCAGTCCACTACAATTAGGAATATCAATGGTGATAATAGGCAGGCAGTATTATCTTATTCCTGTATTCACCTCAAAGACTTCTCTGAGTTTTCCGTTGTGGGTCACTTAAAACGTGACACTTTCATATAGCTGTTGATTGAGGTTGATGAGGATTAGGGTTTGGGGCACGCCATAGTGGTGAAGTAAATTCCGAATTACTTCGCGGTCAACACCTTTTCAAAGTCTATGAAATAAATACGACTTTTTCAAACTAATGCACAATAATTTCGTGACCTACCACCAACTAGACTTTAGTTAAGTCATTAGTGAAATTAAAACTTTGTCAGTTTAGCACATATTTACGTGAATACAACTTAAAAAGTAACAAAGTTTGAAACTAAGTACACATCTATTCGATAACTATAATTGAATCAACCAGTATTTAGATTGATGCATGCTATCTCCACGACTGCACAAAAGCTCTCGTTTCCTCCTCTCATGATCTCCACTCTCGGACCCACATCGAACTCGTCGTTTTTTATTTGGGTTCCACTCAAGGGTCCGTCTGACGTATAATGCCATTCTCAACGGTCTCCTTAGTTTATGTCCAATCTATCTCCACTTGTGTTGGGCAACAGAACTTAGTTATCCAGTATAAATGTTTCCTGTACCAGACCATGTGCCGCACTTATTGTATGAGATCTGATAATACTTCCCGTTTGCGAAGGATAAAGTATGTGAACTGGGCAATTCTGACTCACGATCAATTACCTGTATGTGGAGTTCTTAGATTAATGAAACCCATCTCTACAGACAATATGCTATCCTACTTTCGATTCTGAGGTTAATATTTCAAACAATCGATACCTAATTTGTAATTTTTGCTTACCAACCATCAGATTTACAGGCTATTTTTATTACATATAATCGAGATTTGTCTTTACTACCTAGAAATGGATGCTGTATGGTATTACAAAAACATTATAACAATTTATATCACACTAGTACGATTAATTTAGTCATGAAATAGAAAGAATAAAAACAAAACAGATTGCACCTACCTCACAACCGGCTACAATAGGTGTAACCATAGTCGGCGGTATCTGACGTAATACATCACCAACCATTCCGACAGGACCTTTATATCCAATTTCAACTTCAGATGGTAAAACAGTTGCACCGCATAAATCTTCTGCTACCATTTGAAAACCTCTTGTCATTACATTCACAGCATTACCAAATCCTTCACGTATATCAGCTGGTTGCCTCAAATGTAATCGTCGACTTCGTAAAGCTGGTCCTGGTGTTACTAAATCATAGGCTGTCTAAAAAGGGACAAAAGACAAACAATCACGGTAAATTTTATTGAAGAATTGAGAGATGAAAGATCTTTTGCAACTTGATGATTCCACTTAGTAACAAGACAGAATTCCTAACAGATCCTATCAAATGATAAGACTATGAACAATAAATTGTGTTCGAAATTGTCATCCAGTAAATTATATGGTTCCAAGGTAGGTTATATACAATAAAAATAAATCAATATCAAATTACGTAGTATCACAATGTCCAAGTTATTTGTATTTCTTCGCGTTCCCAGTGAAACCTAAGAATTTCAAGCTTGAGACTTGAAGTTTTAGCAGCTGTGGTATAGTTTTCACGAGGTGGGGTTGTTAGTCTCAAGCCCAACCTTCCCTCACCCAGTCAACAAGGTGAATCTGCAAAATTCACCTTGAGGGGGTCGGGAGACCCCTCAGCTAGCTCACGAGGACTCGCAGGTGTAGGGATAGCACTGAGTGTTAGGGCGGAAAAATCACTCCTTGACTGGTTGTATGTGCGCGGTCCGTCTAAACGGGTCCGTTAAAAGAAGGAAACACGGCGCTTCCCGTCGTTGCCTTTTCGTAGTCTCCGCTTACGCCCCAACAGACTGCAGTTCGGATGAATTAAAAGATGACTTCTACCGGAAACTGTCTAATTTGATGCAAAAAGCAAAACGTTCAGACATAGTTGTTGTAGCAGGCGACTTCAATGCCCAAGTAGGGAAGTTGTGCCAGACTGAGAAGTATGTAGGTGGTACGTATGGAGTTCCCTGCCGACGAACCGACAACGGTGATCATCTTCTCCAGTTTTGCTCAGATAATCATCTGTTCCTAGTCAGCACTAACTTTAGGCACAAAGAAAGACATTGTGTAACCTGGTGACCTCCATCACCAAATCAACGCTGGACTCAGATAGACCACGTAGCCATAGGGTATCGTTGGCGAGGGTCAGTAGAAGACAGCCCCTCCTTTTGGAACACGTGCGTAGACTCCGATCACGCTCTGGTCCGCGCACGTTTATACTTACGACTAAATGGACATAAGAAATTGACGGCAACGAAACAGTTACGTCCCCAACTAGATCGTGACACTGAGTCCTTATTTAAGAAAGAAATAGCGAAACTAGTTTCTGAGGTCGACAGCAGGACTTCTCCTGAGGTAGCCTGGCACAACATACAGTTAGCTGTGGACACAGCTATGAAAGCTGTTAATAAGCCAAAACCTAAAGTTAATAAAAGCCACTGGATCTCTACCGCCTCATCCGAACTGATTGACGGAAGAAGACTGATTCCAGTGAGCTCCGATTATGATGAGGAGCGAAAGGTACTTAAACGAAGACTAACAAAAAGTCTTCGCAACGACCGTGAACAGTGATGGGCGACAAAAGCGAAAAAGATGGAAAAGGCATCGGTGATTGGCAACACCAGACACCTATTCAGGCTTATCAGGGGAACAGGTGGCAAAAGGCAAATGATAAGTGAAACAATCTCGGAGAAAAATGGCACCATAATTAGCTCCCAGGATAGACGTCTGGAGCGCTGGAAAGAACACTATGGGGAGCAGTTTAATTGGCCTACAGCCACACTTAACCTGCCGAACATCCAACACCTCCCTGAATGGGACATAGACACAGGTCCTCCTTCCTTAACTGAGGTTACTAAAGCTGTCACCAATCTGAAGCAAGGCAAAGCAGCGGGACCTGATGGAATGACTCCAGAGGTATTTAAGTACGGCGGAGACAGTTTACTGTCTGCATTAACTGAGGTTCTAGGCAGCGTCTGAGAATCAGAGGAAGTCCCATCGGGTTGGTGTAAGTCACTGATCATCCCGATATACAAGAAGGGAGACAAGTCTTCTTGTGATAATCACAGAGGGATTAGCTTGACTAATATAGTATCTAAAATCCTAGGCTCAATAATACTGCGTAGACTAAGTGGTGCTCGGGAGGCACAAACACGAGAAAACCAGGCAGGTTTTAGGCCAGGAAGAGGGTGTATTGATCATATCTTCACCCTTCGACAGATTCTAGAACATAGGCATTCCTACCGGCGTCCGACAATCATTATATTTCTTGACCTAAAGGCGGCATTCGATTCTGTCGACCGAGAGGTTCTCTGGCGATGCTTGGCTGTGAAGGGAATGCCGAGAAAATACATTGCACTGATTAAGGCACTCTACTCGTACTCATGCAGCCAGGTGAGGGCCTATGGCGAGTTGTCATCTGAAGTGGTGACGCCTAGTGGCGTCCGTCAAGGATGCCCATTATCCCCATTCCTATTCAACTTCATCATAGACGTATTAATGGACTTAACCCTAACACACTTCAGCGACTAAGGGATTCACTTGCTACCAGGGAATAATCTCGTCGACTTAGAATATGCGGACGATATAGTCCTTCTAGGCGAGGACGCTGACAAAATGCAGAGTCTACTGAACACCTTGAGCAACAATCTTCGTATGTTTGGCATGCGATTCGCCCCTGTAAAATGTAAGATGATGCTGCAGGATTGGACTTCACCGACCCCTAGATTAGAAATAGGAAGTGAAGTGGTAGAGCACGTTGACCACTTCACTTACTTGGGAAGTACCATCAGCCCCAACGGGTTGATCTCCGACGAAATCTCAGCACGAATACAGAGGGCTAGGTTCGCATATGCCAGTTTACGCCGTCTCTGGCGTAGACGTGATATCCGACTATCGACCAAAGGGCGTGTGTACTGCTCAACAGTCCGCTCCGTCCTCCTTTATGGCTGTGAGACCTGGCCATTGAGAGCAGAAGACATGAAAAGATTATCTGTGTTCGATCATAGGTGTCTGCGTTCTATCTCCCGCGTGAAGTGGTATAATAAGGTGAGCAATATTGAGGTTAGGCGTCGAGTGCTAGGTAAGGCGGGGAAATCAGTCGACGAGACTGTGAAATTACATCGACTGAGATGGTTGGGACATGTGTTACGTATGCCTAGTCATCGCCTTCCTCGACGGGCAATGTTAGCTGATATAGGGCCAGGCTGGAAAAGAGCTAGCGGCGGTCAAACGAAAACATGGCACCAGTCAATGAAATCTATAATAGTTAGTCTAGGCCACGTAGGAAGGTGTAGACTTCCTGGTTGGGGTCCTCGGGACGGTAAAATCCAATGGTTGGAAACAATTGGTGACATGGCTCAAAATCGTTCTCAGTGGCCAGCGCAGATGCATCCACTCCTTGTGACTTATGATTTCCAATTAAACTGTTTTGTTCTCCGTTATTACTATTCCTTTGTCTCACACCTCTGTTTACTGTCTATATTATGCATTTCTTCTACTTTCTTCTCTTGCTTTGTGTGCTACATGGAGTGTGGCGACTTGAACTGCCGCACATATGTGCAAAGTTCTATGTCGAAAACCGACCGACCGAACCTTCCCTCTTTACCAGGCTTACTATAGGTTAAGCGAGGTCTAGGAGTGTGTCGTCCGGGAGTCGAACTTGGACCATATATGTGGTTAACTAGCACTATTAACATTGAACCAGTGAACAGATGTTCACACCAGTAGTCAACACCAATACCAACGGGTTCGGATATACGACCACTTAATCACCAGTGGCACATGATGACCATAAAAACTGAAATTTTTGGACTTAGTCTTGACCCTGTAGGAAGTGAAAGAATTACTACTCAAATAAATCCTGGTGATATAGTGAAGTAAATTTTACATAAGGTCGCGCACAAATGCAGGCATTATGAAGAAAATCTACTGGAACTAATTCTTAATTCAATAATATTTTCTTTGATAAAAGAGATAATTGTGAATAAAGTTACATCTTCATGTGGAATAACCTTTTGGTTGGTAAAAGCAATCTGATACAGCGGGCACAATAAACAATACAATTTAACAAGTATATTTCTAATGTGATGTTAAAGCACAATAGGCTGTTTTTGATTACATAATTGATGGAAACAGATGCAAAACTTAGAGATGTACTATTTTGACAAGTACGCAAATTAAATTGTACCAATAAATAGAAGAAAAGTAGATGGTTCAGTGGCAGAATGCTTGCCAACCACTGAAATGATCCGGGTTCGATTCCTGGCAACGCACTTTCAGACCTCGCTTAGCCGGTAGCAAGTATGGTAAAGAGAGAAGGTTGGGTTTGAGGCCAGTAACCCTAACCCGTAAAAAAGGAACATCACTCCTAAAGAAACTTCAAAGCTCAAGCTTGAATTCTCATGTTCCACTAGGAATGTAATACGGGAACCACTTGTACGGTTATGCATGACGCAATGAGCCATACACATCGTATGAGGGTTAGTGATATTTCGCTGCCTGGATCTCTTTGGCTGAACTTCGTGTCGACAGCCTTTTTTTAATCATCTGTATATTTGAAGCCAGTTGATGGACGGTGACTAGCAGTGGAATGCGGGATACGCATTTCTTTTAGTTGGCGCTCGTCGGTTGGATGTACCTGCGTTCCCCAGTGAGTGATGGTGTTCCTACCGAGACTCGAACCCAGCGCCCATAGCTTCAAACGCCAGGGCGTTATCCACTAGATCACTTGAACGACGAGAGCCACCTCTTGTGCAACAAGGTCGTCGAAGCATCTGCACAAGAAGCCAACATGTCAACCTGAGACCAAGCACTTCGGTCCAATCAAATGACGGAAAAATCGAAATTGAATTAAATAACACCTGTATATTTGTCTGCAGTTTTATTGATGAAACGTTAACTAGAAGGGTATAAGTAAAACATTTATATTCATCGGGATCCTTCTGGGGACAAGTAATTCCTGAAGTTGTTAGGACTCAGTTTCCCAGAAAAGATTGTGAGGGTTGAAGTAGGTGAAGCTGGACTCCAACCCAGAACCCCCTGGTTGAAAGTCGAGAGAATTTTTAGGCTGCTTGAAAAACAGACTTTATTTATTCAAAAATTACAGTACAGGGAATTCATTTCATGATACAAGGAAGAAAATAAATACATTTCAAAACTTACTTCTGCAACAGACTGTACAGCTCTGATGCCTTGAATTGTTAACTGTAAAGTTGCCCACAAAGTACTTGTTGAAAATGATCGTGTACCTCGTCGTAGACCATGAATAATTCCACCTCTACTGATACTATGCGATGCTTCTGAAGATAAATATTCCCCACTTCGACGAGTATCATCACGTATTCGCTGAGGTTTTTTAAACAGGCCTAATTTACAAACTGCTGTGCTAATATGACTAGGATCCAATGGTGTATTAGGCAGTTCAGCAGTCCCGTATAGACTGCATACAGGTTGATAAATTAAATCCCATAAACCAAGAACTGAAATACAACCGAGATAAAATATTAGATATGAATATAAGTACACAATTAATTAAAAAACGAGATCATGAATGTCATTATTTAAGTTGAAGATGACAGACATAAATAATTCGCTTTATTTTATAATTCATCAAGGATGAAAATAATAATGAATGCGGATAAAACAAACGCACATAAATGATATAAGTAGTGTTTATTTAGTGTGATAAGGAGAGACTAAAGCAGACTTAAACTAGAATCGATTAATTTAGCTATTGGGCTGAGGCAGATTTATTGTGATATGATTGGACAATCTTAAAGTGTGACCTTATGCGGCCAATTAAAATTAGTTGTTTTCTGATTTCAGTTTCCGATGTTTTGTGTCGTGTAAATAGTGTCTTTTTGTTGAATACAAGAGATTGTTTTCAACGACTGGAACCAGTCTATCTTCTATCTTCATTTACTTGAGTAAAAGAGTTTGAATTGATTAATAATCAGTATCTGGTATTCGGTTTACAGCCAAATTGCCTATTGTATGTTACTATCGAATACACAGATCAGAAGATATGACGAAATACACACATTTTCTGGGAAGGTTAAACTTTAGGCACCAATAACCTTGGAATAAACAATTGATCTAGAAAGCAAATATAGGTCCCTAACTCGACCCAAACCCTGATCTATCTTTACCTTAAACTTAATCTATCCCTGACCTAACCGTAGCTTAAAGCTAACCTTAATTTCTTCCTAACTCAACCAACCTAAGCCTAACTGGATATCCTGTTTGAGATCATTACACTTTGTCCAACACTATTTTTCATGAATATAGTATTCTTTATCTGGTTCCACTACCTTGTTATGACTGAGCACTTCAAGGTCACATATGTGTTTGCGCCTCTGGGATGTCTACAGTCTAACTTCGTTCATTTTCTTTTAAAACAGCAATTACAGGAGAATCATAATTTATTGTAGACATCTTTGTTAGGTGGTTGTAGGTAATCAGCAGGAAGCCTTGGACATAGGGTTTCGTTCTTATTGGCATTCGTCACCAAGGCGCACCCACAACTTGAAGCAACTCATGTCCCCTCTGAAATTTAAACCCGTGTCCATGGTTCAGTCGTGAATAACTCAGTTGTAATGTCTCCAAATGCAGCACTGGATGACACGGGTTCGAATCTCAGAAGGGATATGAGTTCCTACAAGGTTGCAGATACGCCTTGCTGACGAGTCTCGAAAGGCACGAAACAATTGCCTCCAGCCATTTAATATCAAAAACTCAAAGTGCACTGTGATGACTAGCCAACTAGAACGGTGACCAGATAGCAAACTTGACTGATAAAATTCATTCTGCACCAAACAAATGACTAGACACATCACACTAGTTGCTAACTAGTGTCCAATCAAAGTATAAACATCTTTGTTCGGGACACGATTTAGTTACCTGTACAGCTGATATAATGGATAATGATAATAAAATATTGACTGAGAATTGTCAAAAACTGGCATTCTTTAAAGTTTTCGAACAAGTGCAGAAGACGATTAAGTTCAGAACCTCAATTATCAGTGGACAATGAAGCATGAAAATGAATGTGTTCAAGTAAGCATATATATATGTAAACATACAGAAATAGCAGTTACTAACATGACAACACTTCTTTTAGGAGATATCTACTGTTTTAACATTCAATCTGATCACGCAATTAGTTTTTATTATTCATACTATTTAATAGTATCTCTTATATTCCTCAATCCATTTAGAGTACCAAACGTTTGATTCATTATTGTCAACAACTTCGTCTACCCCATCTTCAGTCGTATGGATATATGCTACAAATATCATTCCAGTGGCTCCTACACCGTCTACCACTTGCTAGCTCTGAGACTGGGAGGTAAAAGCATAGGGGTGACGCCGCACTGTGGGATAAAGGGTAGCTGTGCTAGGTAGGTAGCATCTGCTAGAGCATCACGACTTCCTTGGGTTGGGGCGGAGAGATAATTCGAATTATATATGACTGAGAAGCGTAATCAGTGGTGAACATGCTGCAATTTCCTTCTTTCCTTTCCTTTCCTTATGAATGTCCTTGATAAGTAGGCTTGCTTGTCTCCGTAGTGTGGTTACCCGATTATTCCATCACATTCCCAAATATTGTGTTTTATTGCTTTTGTGTGGCGCATCTTTTGGCGCCCGTACTGTACCAACTTTGTGTTTAAATATATGAATAAATAAATATTACTGAACGCTGCTACGATTATCCGGAACTCTAAATTGCGACGAAACTTCTAGATCATTATTAAATTGGAAATTGTTCATTCGAAAACTAAATGACTTAAATTCATCACAGATATTCTGAAAGCTTTAAAAGCTACGTAACAGTCTATTATGATAATAACCAACCGATAGGTTATCCTTTAAAAATTTTTGTCATTTCGAATTTGCTTTATACTACTGATTGATTGATAATAAGTAGTAGTGGTTAGTAGCTAGATCGAAGTGACCTAAACACTGGCTGGTTGTTTCGCTTGTTTAGAGCTGAGCTTATCAACAGCGTATCCGGTTCGACTCAACTTAGATAGCCGAATCAGATAAAACCTACCGAGAATTTGATTGAATTTGAAGCAGCTGGTCAACCAGTAGAATTTCGACAACAGGCGATAGTCTGAACACATTCCTCTTCCATCAATACCTGCCTTCGCTCGAGATACTGAAGTCCAGATTACTAGGAAGGATAAGCAACAGAGAACTTTCGGAACGAATCAAACAAAAACCTATTGTCTAACCGAAGAAATATGACATAGATTCTCCACATGATGACGAGACCGTTGGGTGACACCACACACACTGGGAAGACCCTCACAGGGAACCCTAGTGAGAAACGGCGAGTCGGGCGTCCGAGGGTGACATGAAAGAGATCATGTGAAGAAGAGATGAAAGCTTATGGGCAATTGTGAAGCCAACTAAAGAGAACTGAAGAGAACATGATGGAATTTAGATGTGCTGCTATTGAAGCCCTATGTTCCACTCGGAACCCAAGGGAATAATAATAATAATATTCAAATGTTTAGTTCAAAGAAAAATTAATAATGAAACTTACGAAATTGTGTAACTTCATGCATAGGACCTAAACTAGTTACAATAGCATGTGGTAGTTGTGATGATAATATGGCGCTTATGTCTTCTACAACTTCTTCAATTAACCGATCTAAACTTTGATAACCACGTTGGTAAACACGTCGAGGAATAGTGAATTCAGCATTGGTCAATTGTAGTAGCATTGCTAGTAAACCGTGAAATGAACCCTGTTATATAAAGAAAAAATACATAGTACAAATAAAAATTAAGCGAAAATAAGATATACATTGTTTATTTTGCAATTTCTGGCTAAGGGTATTTCACACACATAATCTTGCCTATCTTAGGTTTTGATCTTGTATGTATTATCTCAAAAGGATACTTAGCAAAGCCCATTGCTATCAGAGATAATCAGCAGAAAACCTTAGACTCAAGTTTCGTGTTTATTAGCGCTCATTGCGTCTTTTTCTTCTTAACGTGCCTAAACCAACTGGAAATCAAACCCAGGACCCTGCATGTTACTCGTGAGAGCTCATTAAGCATTTAGCCACTGGAAGAGAATAAAATCCCTGAAAACTAACACTCGAAAATAACTCTACTAATCATTAATGACCAATAACTGGTTGGAGTGACTGGAGTTTCAATGATCAATGGGGTCCAACAAGTTGGGTGTGAAGGCAGGTACTAGCTGATGGTATTGGCTGGCGGTGACGCAAAAATAACTAATTGATAGAAGTTAGAATTCATGGGCCGACCGTTAGATTCTCTCCCAGTGTCTGAATGATCAACGACCACCTCTCCCTTTCGTAATCTGCAGGTCTTGGGTTCAATCCCTGTGGGTTCATGGGTGCATACTGATGAAGTGTCCCAAAACTGGGACAAAACAGCTGTCCAGTACTCCTTGGTTTTTAATGGTTCTCTAACTGATATCACCCGTGTCTAAATTGGATCAGTAGAGAAAATACAGGACAAACAAGAGTAAGGGAAGTGAAATCTTTAAAAAAAATTATATCATTATATAACTTACACCACTTAAATCTAAACGTCTTCCATGATAGTCAAGATGAATTGGCAGATCAGGGTAAAATGTAACTTTCCTGAAATTAAAAAAAGATACATGTTATTCTGTTATCAGGGGGACATAATATAACTTAAAAATAAAAAGGCAATCACTAAGGAAAGTGTACAAATAGAACAAAGGGCACTCATGGTAAATTTAATAAAAACGTAATTTCATCACTCTTATCTTCAGATACCGTACTCTTACATGAATGGATTCAGAAGTGGAGTCTCTGGCATTTGAAACCATGAGTACTGACTTCGTGCATCGGTGAAGTGTACGTAAATATAGCTGACGAGTCAGAAATCGGACAAATTGTACATATTGGACTCTACTTCTCATCTAGATTTCAATTATAGAGAACGTCGATGTGTATTGGAAATGATAGTTGTACCTCCTATCATGAAGTAAATTTTAATTACAAGCATCACCCAAACGTACTGACTAGTGTCTTATAGAAAGCTCTCAGGAAAAAGAACTCAAACAAAACAAAATGTCCCGTTGAATTTGTATATTATTATTATTCCCTTGGGTCCCGAGTGGAACATAGGTCTTCAACAACACATCTTCATTTTCTTCTATTTTCTGCTGTCCTCTTTAGCTGAGTCCACGATTGACCATAATCTCTCGTCTCCTCCTCCATGATACCCTAAGACGACGACCCACTCGTTGCTTCCCATCGGGATTCCACTCGAGCAATGGTCTGGAGCACGATGTCATTCGACGGCCTCCTCAGCGTATGCCCAGTCCATCTCCATTTTCTTCTGCATATTTTTTGACCAATAGGTTTTTGGTAGGTTTGTTCCGTTGAACAGTTTCTTGTTGATAATTCTTTCTGGCCAGCTCATCTTCATTATGGATCCAGAGAAGGTGGCAGCTATTGATAAAAGTTTGTAACCTGTTGAATTCATGGTAATCCCAATCTTCTCTGATGAAAACAGCAGTTCACTGTAGTGAAATTCAAAGCAGGATCGGTTTCTTTGTATAATGGAGACGAAATTCCCCATAAATGTGATGGTTCTTGAATGCAACTACAGTATTCATGGTGGTGTTATGCTATTTCAAATTATTAACACAGGTTTTAAGCTCATTTCAAATGGTTGTGTGAAGATTTCAACAACTTTAGACAAATACCAGTTGGATAAGATGATATCTGATTGCCTAGAACCAATTAACGACAACATTTAAGATATACCGATGATACATTTATTATATGAAGCGAAGGGTCTCTGTTCTAGTTATTCAACTTAGTACATTCAGGCATAAAGTTCACATGTGAATACAAGGTGATGAAATGAATTCACAGAATAATCGCCAGTTGAATGCATGTGTTGCAGTAACACATCCTGCTGCGAAAGCAGTAGTAGTGTCTAAAGCACAGAAAAGTAGTATGTACGTGGGAAGAACTGAGAGTGTCTTTGCAAAAAGAGTTTCTGAGTATTTAACAAAAAGACTTCCACTAAATGCTAGATTACATAGCAATGCTATAGGTAGACACATCCATGGTAGGGGTAGGTGAGAAATAGACAGAGCAGCAGTCTTATTTGGCACTCGTCATCTGGATGTATACCTGTAGTCACCAGTGAGTGATGATGTTTCCACTGAGACTCGAACCCAGTGCCCTTCATTTAAATGCCAAAGCAGGTTTCGACTCTCAGTTAGTACACTACCACTCATTGAGGATACAAACACACCCGGATGACGAGTCCCAAATAAGACGAAATGGGCATCCTAGATCCCACTGCCAAACACCATCCACCAAATAGCATCAATATTTATTGTTTTTGCTTTACAAAAACTTATGAGAATAACACACGCACACAAGTCGACGAATTATGTTTCCTCCCTATTTGAAAATGCGCATACAATTAGTCAACTAATACGAAAGAAAGAAAGTCAAACAAACAAACAACAGCAGTAAAAACCAACCAACCTTATAAATAAAACTGGTTGACTAGATTCAATGAGATCTATTGATGAATATACTGGACGAGCAGAGCTAATTTGATTCGATTGAGGTGTTCCAGTAATATTATCATTGGAATAATTTACATGTGATTGTGATGGACTACCACTAACTGTATTGATATTATTTATTACAGTTGAATTTATTGTTTGACCATATTGTGTACATACTGATGTAGGCGATGATTTCAACTCTAAACTTGAAACAGACTGACCCATTTGAAAGTTGTCTGACTCTCTTGAAGAGGCAGTAAGATATCTTTTGAAATTTTCTTGATATTCATATAAAAATAATAATGTATACTGGAAAATTGGAAAAAGAGGAGAAAGAAAGAAGAAACGTGATTAGACTGCGAGACGAGTAATTAACAGTTAGACTATAATTATTTTATAACACATAGATTTAATCAGATGCCCTGATAGCGTTCCCTTGAATTAATGTTGTCAGCTCTCGAAAGGGTGAGGGGGTGTAATGGCAGAAGACAAGAAATTTGGAATTTGGTATCTCTATATAGCGAGATTGTGTATACCTTATCTTCAAGTCACCATTTGCACAGATCTTCCGTGTTCTGTTACTTCTATCCTTCATATTGTTTCTTTGGCTTCTTTCCGTGTTTCCCATGTTTTACTGCAACGCTGGTTCATTCGCCCTCTTTGACTTCAAATCTATCTCTCCACAATTTGATATGTTTACACTGATGAAAGTCTCTTTATATACTACTGATAAATCTTATCAGTAGAACACACCACAGGGGTAGTACGCCGCTTTACGATTGTGTTCAAGATTCGAAGAGGATTGTCTATTATATGTATGCACTCCACCCTGACAATTTTTAGTGGCAAAGGTTAAAGTACTTTCCTTCCAGCTAATGGGTCTAGGGTTCGAATCCCACCCCGCTTACTTCAGCCCCAGCAACTAAGTAGTAGTATCATCAGCCTTCACACATAATACTTGTGGTTCATATAGCCTGGTACATTGAAAATCTGTTCCGGGTGGTAACTGCGCTCTACCAACAACATTAATTATATTCGTAAAAAATCATCAGTGAACAGCATTATTATTATTTAAAACTTCCTGTACATTATGTCGAATAAATTATTTTAGTGTTCCTAAAGCATACCATCTTGAAATCACTGAAGTTAAGCGATGTTGGATTCACTTCGTAGTTGTATGGGTGACCGGCTGGGAATACCATTATAATATTAATATAATTAATTAATATATGTGACCCCAAAACGAATTTAACGGCTGAGGGATTGACTTGTTACCAGGGTACAGTCTCGTCAACTTAGAGTTTATAGATGACAATGTCCTTCTAGATGAAGATGCTGAGAAATGCAGAATCAACTAAACACCTTGAGCAGAAATCTTGGAAAGTTTGGTATACGATTCACTCCTATTAAATGTAGGATGATTCCGCAGTATATGAGTGGTCTGCACTGATTCCCAGTTAAAAGATAGAGAGTGGAGAGTTGCTAACTAAATCTCAGCGCGGATACAAAAGGCTCATTTGTCATCTTCCAGCTCACGTCATCTCTCACGTAGATGTGAGATCCAGCTATCTATCGAAGGAAGTGCGTACTGCACACCCGCTCTCTCTGTCCTCCTTTACAGCCATTAAAAGTGGAAGATATAAAAAGACCAGCTGTCCTTGGGCTCTATCTCCCGTGTTAAGTGGTATAATTTGGTGAGCAAGTTTTGGGTTAGGCGTAGAGTGTTAAGTAAGGAGGATAAATCAATTGATCAGGTTGTAGTCCATCGACTTTCTTGTCAAGCAATATTAGCTGACATAGGATCAGATTGGAAAACAGTTAGGGGTGGTCAAATCAAAAGATGGCAATCAAACCATAAAGTATTTAAATGTTGGTTTGAGACACGTAAGAAGGTAGTCTAGTTAGGATCCCTAGGATACCAAGAACCAATGGTTGGAGATTATCTGTAATACGGTTTAAAATCGTTCTCAAATGGCACAGGTGGATCCATTTTTCGTAATCTTCCAGATCCATTGAATTCTGATGTATCTCCATGTTATTATTCTCATTATAGTTTTTTTTGTTGTTGCTTTTTTCTACCTTTTTTGTGCTACATGGAGTGTGGCAAATTGAACTGCTGCGATTCTGTGTAAAGTTTGGCATTGAAACGCAATTAGTCAGTTCTAAACTAACTGCTTTCAGCTTAGAACTCTGCAAAGATGTGCAGCAGTTCGAGTTGCTACATTCCCTCTTTATAGCACACAGAGCAAGAGGAGAGAGTGAACAAAGATTCAAAAGAGAGATAATAAACAGAAGTGTCAGTGAGGGAAAAAGAATAGTAATATTGAAGAACAATAGTCACAAAGAGTGAATACATTAGCGCCAGCCATTGACGACGATTTTGAGTCATATCACCAATTGTCTCCAGCCATTGGTGTTTACTGTCTCAAGGACCCCAACCAGTCAGGAAGTCTATACCTTCCTACGTGGCTTAAACTAACTGTTGTGGATTTCATTGACTGATTGTGGTTTGACCACCACTGGCTCTTTAACAACCCAACCGAAGGTCAGCTAACATTGCCTGTCGAGGAAGGCGATGGCTAGGCTATAGGCATACGTAACACATGTCCTAACCATCTCAGTCGATGTAACTTCACAACCTCGTCGATTGATTTCCCCTCCTTACCTAGCACTTGACCGACGCCTTACATCAATATTGCTCACCCTATTATACCACTTCACAAGGGAGATAGAACGCAGGTACCTATGGTCAAAGACAGCTAGCCTTTTCATCTCCTCTACTCTTAATGGCCATGTTTCACAGCCATAAAGGAGCACAGAGAGAACTGCTAAGCAGTAGGCATGCCCTTTGGTCGATAGCCGGATATCACGTCTACGCCAGAGATGGCGTAAGTTGGCAAATGCCAAAGTAAATGATATACATGTTTCCATCATAAGGATAAATTAATTTACTAACAAAAGAGTGTAGAAGTAACAAATTAATGAGTCAGGAAAACAAAAATAAGTGACTTATTATATCGCTTTTTAGAGAAACAACTATCAGCTTGGAAGTATGAAGAAGAATTGAGAAGTTATAGAACTCTTAAAGTAGATTCAAGAGGAACCCATCAAGTAACTTGTGGAATTTATACAGATACGCTTCAGTTAAAATTAATAGACTTTTAAAAATCATACAGAATAAGGGGAAACTACAAAGTTCAAGCTGACCGTACTACAGCAAACATTGTTAGTTGAAGAGAGCTGTAGTATGATATGCGTAGAACATGTTCCAACCATCTTTTATAATAAAGACTGACTTCTAGCCTGGTCTCCTTACTGAAGAATAAGTTTGCTCTCACAATATAACTCACAATGCTATTCCACCTAACATGAGCAATGGAATTAAGCTGTATATAACTGAAAATATTTAATACTTTCCATTCTCTGTGTGCGTCGGTGGCACAATGGTAGAGTGCTCGCCGACCACGCATGTGGTCCGAGGTTCAATACCGGGCCGACGCACTTTTTTGCCTCGCTAAGCCAGTAAAATGGCTGGTAAAAAGGGAAGGTTGGGAATGAGGCTAGTAACCCCATCCCATAAAAATAAACACCACTGATACCGAAACGTCAAAGCTGTAGCTTGAAGCCCTATGTGTCCACTGGGAACGTCAAGGAATAAAATAAATTCTCGGAGGTGATGTTCCACTTCTCTAACGCGGAACACAGAGAGTTGCTAAGCTATGAATTTTTCAGCAGCAAAGATGGGATGATTTGACAAATATTGAACGGGTGCTTAGTAGTCATTCTGATTCATATGCAGATATTCATTTAAAACAGTAGTAGAAGGCCGTAGATGATGCCTTTTAATACTAAACTAGTTACATTCCATTAATCAGAATAGACACTTCTATTCTGCTGACAAAAATATCTACTGGTCCCCCTAAAATTCTGAATTTTTCATATTCTATGACGTTTTTCTGTCTACTGTTTTGTGCACATTAATCAGTACGCATGCATATTACTAGCAGACACATTAGTGCACCGACAGCATATGTTTATTGAATACCTCTTCAACTAAAGGTTAAAGTATAGACACGATCAATGAAACAACAACCCTCATTTTCGATTGTTTCACAAAGTTATTTTATTTATTTATTTATTTTTTTCAACGCATGCAAAACTAACGAAAATGAGATGAGAAATTTATGTTCTCCATATCTGCCTACTTTGAGTAGTATAAGAAGCATTGCAGTTTTTTTCCTTAAGATACAAAACACGTAGTACTACTTTGACTAGGGTATGATTGTAAAGTACATATCATCTACAGTGATAGTTTACGTGAAAATGGCTCAATAAAGCGATGTGGCGATTACAAAGTTTGAAGGCTTCAGTTGGTGATCGTAAATAAAGGGGGAAGGTTTAAATGTTTAAATTCAATCCACCACCTAGCATTAATTCAATTCGACGTTAATATGAATTACGGATCATATCGGTGGTAAAAACAGATCTAATATGAATAGATCATGAGAAAGGATTTCCGAGTTTGAGACAATCCAATGACAAACGGATTGGACTTATTTCAACAGATCAACTGGAAAGAGGGATACATATCACAACCCATCTTCGCATCCAACTTAAACACTTAAATTCTCTTATTTTTAAAAAGATAAAATCAAGATATTTGTAGTTGTTATATATGTCCAAACCAAGTTCACTTTTAACGGTTTGAAAAATCAGGCCACAAAATTGATTTTGACAATGCTGAAATAATCCAGAAAAACTTCAGAAATCACAAAGAACGTCTAATATCAGAAGCACTTCATATCAAGTGGAATCAAAATTGCCTGAATAGGAATGATGGACTAAAACAGAATCTGACCTGGTTACAACACCTCCTTCCCCCCATCAAGTGACAAAACGAACACGAATGTGATAAGCACTTTCATTATGTAAACACACGCTGCTTTTATAATCTTATACACTTATCAAATCTAACAATCTACACATGATGGTTTTGTTATCTTTACCAATTCACCAACTTGACAACTAAAAAATGCCCCCAAACAGACGAACGATGATCAAGTTAGTAAAATTTATTTCGATACCATAACAGACATACTATTACCTTTGTTATTTGGTTTAGTTATCTTCATCGCTATTTTTACTTTCAATATGTCCCTTTAACTTGACCTATGTCTATTTTCTCACCCCCTAACTGTTTGTTATATATATGCTGAGATTTTGTAAATTCCGGTTTAATAATACTTTGATAAAGCTATTAGCATTAAATAGCGAAACGTCAGTAAAAACAATATCGTTTTGTTTTTCACTCATTGGGAAATACAAAAACCTTTATTATAATGAATATTTGTAGTTGTATTGATGAAAATCCACAGTTGCGTAGTAATTCATCTATAAAGAGAAATGTACTATCTGTACTGCAAATATGCTTTGTTATTTCGGGAATTTCGGGCTGAGCATACTTCTGCTCAGAGTTAAACAGAATGTATGGGAATGTGAGAACAAACATCTAGCTTCGAAAAAAACTCAGTATAAAGTGCAACTGACCACGAATATCTATCTAATGTCCCATCTGGTTAGTGATGTTATGTAGCAGCTTACACATAGATGTATCAGCTGAAGTCACGACAAACCGAAAAAGCAGATAAAATAAGACGAAATAAATGTAATGAAATTACATTTTTTTAAAACGGTATGAAGGAAGGATAATTCAATGAAGATTCGTTAAGATCTTCAGAACCTGGAAGAAAATTGTACTACTGTGGAGAGTCAGATTAGGAAATCTAAAATTACTGATTTTTAAAATATCGAGGACCTAAGCCAGACAACCTAAACATTCGTCCTACATATTACAGGTCGGACTTTATGGAGCCGAGCGATATTCTCACCTAAATACCATTAACTCTCTAATCATACTTCAGCTTACATTGCTCGTCGAGACAGATGGTGGCTTGGTATGTGTCACGTTCACCTTTGACAGTAAAGACTACTCATTACACTATTGACTGAATCACCAGCTTCAACTAACACTATGCCTAATCTCATTATTACTTATCACGTAGAACCATCTAATGAGAGCGATTGAACAAAAGTATTATTTAGATAAAGCAATAAGAAGACGTAATTTGTCCGAATCGTGTAATGTATTCGCGCAACAAATTTCGAACAATCTGATCACACACGGACTTGTCGTAGGAACAATATGTATGAAATTAATAAAGAGGTAAGAGGTGAGAAAATAGACTTAGGTCAAGTTAAGAGGATATATTCAAGGTCAAAATAGCAATGAAGACCACTAAACCAAAAAGGAGAGGTAATAGTACATCTGCTATGGTATCAAAACAAAATTTACTAAGGAAGGTTTAATGTGATGACGAATTGTTTTTGAACGCATAAAGGTAGTTTAAACTTTCTAATTGCTAGGGCTTCCACAAACTTAAGGATACGCCCCAAACACGTTTTATAGATAGGTTTAAAAGATCTGTTAACGTCAATTTTATGTCCTGTCTCTATAATATGTCCCGCAATAGAAGAGCTAGGTCTCCTATTCTCACCGTTAATAGGTTCTGAAGATTCCATTTATTTCTGGAGCCATTTAGGAATATGCTCTGAAGCCCTTACTTGCAGAGATCGATGAGTCCTCCCTATGTATGTGTGTCCACACGTACATTCAAATTGGTAAATTGTTTTAAAAAGTATTATTGAAGAATTAGTTTTTTCTTGATATATTCCATTTTCAGTAGCCATATTTCATGGCCGTAGAGTGGAACGGATAGATCGACACAGAAATATTTCAAAGGACAATGATGACGTGAGTCGATAAATGCCGAACAAGACTCTTGCAACACTTGTTTTATTAGCATAAAAATCCATTCTGGTAAATGCAACTTCTCAAATAAGTCCAATGGTGTATATATTCAACCAGATGCAGACCAGTATTGTAGCATTTGATAGTTACAGTCAGATTTCTGCCTACGATGATCAAGAGGCTCTGCACTTTATCATCCTCTTCATTTCAAAAGATTATATCATCTAAGTACCATAAATCAACGAGATCTTTCCAAGGTATCAAGTAAATTTCCAGGACATTGAAGTCCACCGGCGTCACATATGCCAATACGCCTACAATGAAATCAAATAAGGACGGCGATATCAATCATCCTTGATAACAACTCTCATAGACTCTTACACAGTTGTATGAGTTCTAGCAGAAAACATCAATTAGCATACCATACTTTCTCGATTATTTCTTCACAACCAAACATTGTTACCTTCAGATCTGGAAATACACAAACTGTCAGATGAATAAAAGCAAATCTGCGTTATGAAAATCTGTCAAAGTATTATGTTTCACAAGGCTGACAACGTCTTCTTTAGAGTACTTCATCAATTTTCTTCGTAACAGGGTCACTAAACTGTGGTGAATTCTCTAGCTCTTCTAAACCTAACCAACAGTGTTTATTCACAGAATTAATTGAAGGGGGTGTATTGATCATATCTTCACCCTTCGACAGATTCTAGAACATAGGCATTCTTACCGGTGTCCAACAATCGTTATATTTCTTGACCTAAGGGCGGCATTCACTTGGAGGATCTTGACTTCGCCGATGATATATGTCTGATTTCCCACAAACTAGAAGACATGCAAGCGAAAAGCAACAAGTTAGCAGAAGAAGCATCAAAGATAGGACTTCAGGTGAACATAGATAAAACAGAGGTGATGAAAATTCCTGACCAACACCACCAACAGCAACAACAACAACAGACAACAATCAGCATAAATGGAAGGAACCTGAAAGAAACAACCTCCTTTACCTACCTGGGAAGCATCGTCTCAACTACAGGCAGACGGAACTGACGAGGATATCAAAGCAAGAAGCGGAAAAGCAAGACAAGCTTTCACTACTCTCAAGTCTGTGTGGAGGTCAACAACACTCAGCATCAAAAATAACATCCGGATTTTCAACACCAATGTGAAGTCAGTCAGTGCTACTATACGGATCAGAGACTTGCACTGCGCGTCATAAAGAGCATCTCAAACAAACTACAAACCTTCATTAACAGTTGTCTCCGCTCAATACTCAAGATCAGATGGCCAGAAAAGATCAGCAACACAGATCTCTAGCAGTGAGCAAACCAACCAGGAACCGATTGCGAAACGAACTGGCAGGAAGAAATCAAGGTGGTTTGGCCATACTCTGAGGAAACCATCAAGTGACATCACAAGACAAGCCCTTGAGTGGAACCCGAAAGGGAAGAGGCGAGTTGGTCGTCAGTGCAAGGGTGACTTGGAGGAGGTCATGTGAAGGGGAGATGAAAGCATGTGAGCAGACATGGAGCCAGGTGAAGACTCTAGCAGAGAACAGAACTCAATGGAGACGCACGGCTGAAGCCCTATGTTCCTGTAGGAATTAAAGGATACAATAATAATAATAATAATAATAATAAAGGCGGCATTCGATTCTGTCGACCGAGAGATACTATGGCGATGCTTGGCTGTAAAGGGAATGCCGAGAAAATACATTGCACTGACCAAGGCACTCTACTCGAACTCATGCAGTCAGCCAGGTGAGGGCTTACGGCGAGTTGTCATCTGAAGTGGTGACAACTACTGGTGTCCGACAGGGATGCCCGTTATCCCCATTTCTATTCAATTTCATCATAGATGTACTAATGGACTTAACCCTAACTCACTTCGACGAGTCAGGGATTGACTTGCTACCACGGAATAATCTCCTTGACTTAGAATATGCATGCGGCTGATACAGTCCTTCTAGGTGAAGACGCTGACAAAATGCAGAGTCTTCTGAACACCTTGAGCTGCAATGCTTGGCATGCGATTCGCTCCCGCCAAATGTAAGATGATGAGGCTACAGGACTGGATTACATCGACTACTCCTAGCTTAAAGATTGAGAGTGAAGTCGTAAACGGCGTTGACTACTTCACTTATTTGGGAATTTGCATCAGCCAATGGCAGAGGGCTGATAGCTGACGAAATCTCAGCACAGAAACAGAAGGCTTGTTTGGCATATACCAACTTACACCATCTCTGACGTAGACGTGATATTCGGCTATCGATCAAAGGGCGTGTGTACTGCTCAGGAGTCCACTCCATCCTCCTTTTTGGCTGTGAAACACGGTCATTGAAAGTGGGGGACATGAAGAGGCCAGCTAGCTGTATTTGATCATAGGTATCTGCGTTCTATCTCCCGTGTTAAGTAGTCTAATAAGATGAGCAGCATTGAGGTAAGGCATCGGTCGAGTGCTAGGTAAGGAGGGGAAATCAATCGACGAGGTTGTGAAACAGCTGCATCGACTGAGATAGGACATGTGTTACGTATGCCTAGTCATCGCCTTCCTCGACAATGAGCAATGTTAGCTGATATAGGGTCAGGCTGGAAAAGAGCTAGCGGCGGTCAAACCAAAACATGGCACCAGTCAATGAAGTCCACAACAGTTAGTTTAAGTCACATAGGAAGGTATAGACTTCGTGACTAGTTGGGGTCCTCGGGACCGTAAAATCCAATGGCTGGAAACAATTGGTGATATGGCTCAAAATCGTTCTCAATGGCTAGCGCAGATGCATCCACTCCTTGTGACTTATGATTTCCAATGAAACTATATTGTTCTTCGTTACTACTTTTCCTTTGTCTCTCACCTCTGTTTACTGTCTATATTATGTATTTCTCCTCTTGCTTTGTGTGCTACATGGAGTGTGGCGACTTGAACTGCAGCACATCGGTGCAAAGTTCTATGTCGAAAACAGACAGACATTAATTGAAGTAAAGACAAGCATGATATATGATAAGTAAACTAAATTGATGTGATATGGATGGATGAGTTGGCTTTATGGAGATTTCACTGATTTCCAAAGAGATTTCATCATGAGGTAGTACCAGTTAGAAAACCGTTGACAACTATGGAGGACCAGATAGTTGTTTCGTTTTACGTTAGGACTATTCGGTAGTGTACATCTACGACATAGGCAGGAGTCGAACCCAGGACCTTTAAGTATAAGATGAGCATGTTACTATTCAACTAATAAATTGAGACCATTTCGTGACCAACAGCAAATTTCATCGGCGAATATCTGTCCTCATACTCCAGTCAAAAATGGGAATGAGCAAAAATTAGCACACTTACTTGATCTAAATTGATCTTCAATGGTTGAACAGATAATTTCACTTCAACTTCAAGATTATCTGGTTGCGGTAAATAAATATACTCCACTTTTGAATTTGATGATTGTACGGAATTGTTGGCTACTTCCTTTCTGAAGTCATCATCAGCATCATCAACCGAAGAGTCATCTTCGCCTTCTATTTCACCTGAAGCAATTTTTTTCTCAGTTTGTTGCTGTTGTTGTGGACGAATAATACTATCCTGTTCTATTTGATGTGATACAACCGGCCAACAAACAACTACCATACGTAACATTGGTGTATTCAAATTGTGCGGTAGTAAATTTGTACTTGTTGAATAGGTTTTATTATAAGAATATAACAATTGATTGACATTTGAATTCATTACACGATCTAGTATAACAACATTCGAGATATGAATAATTAAACGTTGATAGGGATCAACAGTAAGATTGAATAAATTCTGCGGTGAATTCGACTGTTGCTGTTGCTGCTGCTGATTATGCTGATTGATAAATTTCTTCATCCGGGGCGGAAACTTTGCATGACGAAAGTACAACTTGGAGATATTGAATGAAATACACTAAAAAAAGATGTAACAGAAAAAGAAAGAAGTAATTAGTAAAACAAGGAGAATGCATACATACATAGACAGTAGTGATCTTAAAGTAATTTTGATAGATAGTAACTAGCAATGGAATCCAATAAATGCACATTTCGTCCAATTTGGGACTCATCAACCGGATATACTTGTGAGTGCATTCCCAGTGAGTGATAGTGAGTGTTCCTACTGAAACTTGAACCCAGTACCTATCGTTTCAAAATTACTTCAAGTTAGTCTTCACACATCGTTGACGCATCCGTACTAGGAGTCGACGTACGTCAACAGAGGCCGAACATTTCGGTTCAGTCAGTCAACGGGAAAATCAAAATTTCATTTTTTTTTTAGAAAGTGATATTGATGTTAATCACTTAATCTTAATATTTCGGCAGCCATTTGCTTAAATCACTAGGCTACCTAAATTTCTATCGAACATGATATATCAAAAAGTGTCTACATATCTTATTTTTTTAATCACATTCACTGATGTTTTCAGGTTGCAGTATGCTATTATTATTATTGTTTCCTTTAATTACTAGAGGAACATAGGGCTTCAGCCGTGCGTCTTCATTGCGTTCGGTTCTCTGCTAGAGTCTTCACCTGGCTCCAAGTCTGCCTACACGTTTTCATCTCCTCTTCACATGACCTCCTCCAAGTCACCCTTGCATTGACGACCAACTCGCCGCTTCCCTTTCGGGTTCCATTCGAGGGCTTGTCTAGTGATGTCACTTGATGGTTTGTTTTCTCAGAGTATGGCCAATCCCTCTGCGTCGGTGGCACAGTGGTTAGGACTCTCGCCGACCATGCACATGGTTCGGGGTTCGATCCCCTGCCGACGCACACCCGATATCTATGGTCGGCCTGCAAAATTTGGGCTACCCATATCCATGCTGAAAATTCCATACTTGTACTGAAAATACGGTGTGGCATCAAACTGCAATCAAAAAAATTTCTTCCTGCCTATTTGTTTCACAATCGGTTCCTGGTTGGTTCGCTCCCAGAGATCTCTGTTGCTGATCTTTTCTGACCATCTGATCTTGAGTATTGAGCGAAGAGAACTATTAATGAAGGTCTGTAGTTTGTTTGAGATGCTCTTTATGACGCACCAAGTCTCTGATCCGTATAGTAGCACTGATGTTGCAATATGTACTCACGCATATTTTTAATTGGTTTTCAATCCCTACTTTTGTGCATTTCGTAAAGGTGATGAAAGAAAGATATCATAAAGGATTGGTGTTTTGGCTTTAGATCGAATAACATTGTGCCACGTGACGTACTGTCGATCAACAGTTTATCTGAAGATCTTGGACGAAGAGTAAACATTGTGCAATAAATACGCTGAGAATTCTGTACACTGTGTAAGCATTTTATCCACAATAAGGCTGTTATTATTAGTATTATTATCTCACTAGTAATGCACCAAGACGATTGCGACAGAATGAAAAAATGCTTACATAACTTTGTAATATTATGTACAGAATTCATAGCTTCCTGGTATTACCAACAGTGGATAGACAACGGCCTCTACAAGGTAAGTCCTATCCACTCACTGACTTCACACACCATGGGGGTATTCCTAACAAAAGTGAAAGGGTAAATGCGAGCGTCTGGCGCCTACAACTGGACTGGTGAAAATGCGCAGATCTACTCAAGGGTGGAGGGGGTGCTGGGAAACCCTGATTTCAAACACATGATTTACATGGGAACCAGAATCCGAACAGATAGAATGGCATATGGACCTGTTTTGGACACCGGTGGTATCCGCTGGAAAGCAGCTGCTGACCCTGCTCCACTGATTTGTGGATCAGACTTCAAATCTAAGACTGGGGGTCTGGGCGTCCGAGCAGTATCCGACGCCTTGCACAAACTATGATATTTTGTGTGGCGCATCTTTTGATGCCCATAGTGTACCAGGTATGTGTTTTAATAATATACAGACTTCATTCTACAATGACTGTCAAATATCAATCCGTTTATTTCTGCATTACTGTTGTGAAGCACTTTGCAAGTGAGGACATGTAAAGGTTAAAATGTGTACATTAGTTGGATATTGTAGTAGAATGTAATTTCATATTAGTCCCTTTATTACACAATGACATATTATCTATGCGATGACTTCGAGCAGGATTTACTATTTATTCCTAATGTGTGAAAATCAGAGGCTTGAAGCGTCGCGAAAAGCATTTCCAACAGCATGCTGCAGACTTTCATCAACACCTAACCTCTTTGTCCAGTAATGAAGATTAGATAGCTGACGACGAAGGATAAGCAACAAGGGATGATACCGACAAACCAGCCAAACACTTATTGTCCAACAAATATCCAGAGGGAAATAGAAACGGATTGGAAACCGTTGAGTGATATCAAACTCCAGGGCCTTCAAGTGGAACATGAATAGGAGGTGAGTGACGAGTTGGGTGTCCGAGAATGACAGAGTGGAGGGGTCCTGCAAAGAGGAAATGCCAGTTTATGGGCAATCGTGGGGTTAACTAGAAAAAACTGTGGAGGGTAGGATGAAGTAGAGATGTGCTGTGGAAGCCCAACGTCACACTACGAAGGGGAAAAACGATTAATAATAGTAATAATAATAATAATCTTTGATGAGAGATCAGATAAAACAAAGGAGACTGGAATGCAAGAAAATGTGCAGAATGGGAACGAGAATATTCATAATTGAGATTTTAAATAAGAGTTAACAACGTTTTAACTAGCTGAGATATATGGTATTCAAGAGCTTTACAAAGGAATAATCATAATACTTGAACATGTACTAATCACTGTTCTAACTTCTCGCAGCTATTCACAACATTAAATAATGTTTCCTGTACAACCTATTGAATCATGTTTCAACTAAACTTGAGTGTAAACAGATTCACAGGAAACAAATGTTGTAGTCCTTTAAGATAAAGTTTTCATACTGTTTCAGGTTTGAGGGGGTGAACCATTGAAAACCGCTAAGTACTGGACGGCTATTTTGTCCTTGCTAAGAACCCCTCAGTAGTACGCACCCACAACCTTCAGGTTACAAGGTGGGCTGGTTTTCAGTAGTTCTGTAACTGAAGTCAGTTCCTGATCAAACCTGAAATCAATAAAATCTGCGCAAACCAGCAGTTGAAAATTGTTATGCAGTGTTAACTAGGTTTTATTTAATTCAATCTAGCTTTCCCTTTGATTGATTGAACCGAAGTGCTTGGCCTCAGGCTGAAATGTCGGCTTCTTATGCAGATACCTCAACAATGTCTGATTATTGGCTTGGAGTAAATTGGTGAGTGGTGACTAGCAGTGGAATCCAGGATGTATACTTCGTCCTATTTGGGACTCATCAACTGGATGTGCCTGAATTCCCCATTGAGTAGTGGTGTTCCCATTGAGGCTCAAACCCAGTACCCATAAGTCCAAACGCCAAAGCGTTATCCACTAGACAACTTGAGCCACGAGAGCCACCTCTTGTGCAGCGGGGAGAATACATGTACACCCAGCTGGCGAGTCCGAAATAGGACGAAATGCACATCTTGGATTCCACTGCTAGTCACCATCCACAAATTTACTTCAGTTGTTCATTAGGCTTTTTGCTTTCAAAAAGAAGTGAAGGTAAACACATTGAAAGTCTAAAATAACTTTAGAATGTCATATCAATGCATAGAAGAGGTAATAGGGTATATATAAAGCTTACATTATCAAGTTGGCGTCCTGATCCACCTTGTGAATATAATAACTGACGAGAACGAATGCCTTTCTTAGCATCACTTGTCGGTAGTTTCAATGAAACATGCTCTGAGTTTGATTCAGCTGAATTTACGCCAATATTACTAACACTGGCTGGTTTTTGTATAACTGGTCGACCGTGCCGGAAACGATAACCTGGTTTTGGGCATAATTTTGTCATTTGACTTGGAGATGATGAAATATTTCCACCACTGTTATTAAGGTTATTGATAGCAGTAGTGCTAACAGCAGATCGTGTATTTGACATACACTTATGATTATTTAATGATTCACTTGAATGGGATGGAGTTATCAATATTTCTGATGAATCTCTTAACGGTGATGCTATGGATAGTGTAGATTTAGCCTGAGGTCTAACGGGAATAGATGGTTCATTCACAGGAATATTGCCTAAAATAAGTGATTATGTAAATAAATTCAGAATAAATAACAAAAAAGAACGATTTGAAGAAAAATACCAAATCAAATCACAAATGGTATTGCGAAAGAAATCTATTTTCACACTAGTTTATTTGCCAGAGTTATGTATTAAGTGAAACTGCGGTGAATTTCCATCTCGAACTGTGTGATATGCAAACTGCGAATTGAATTCAATGTATTTTCAGTTCTTCCAAGTGACTAGACAGCATTAGCGTAGTGTGAACTGATTCAGCTCTTTGAGCTAAGTCTATCCAGGCATACCACTGATGAGCTCGATCCCAAGAGAAAGCAGCGGCCACCTTCCAGCTCTTAGGTGACTTCCATCTGGCTAAGTCGCTAATCGATATCAATTAGAGGATGATTGAAAATCAAGGAGTACTGGACAGCCTTTTGCCCCCTAATCTAAGACTCTTCAACAATGCACAACCTTGACCACACCAGGGTCTTCAGGTTACGACGTAGACGCGTTATCCATCCAGTTACTAGGTTGAAATTTAATGGCCAGTAAATTCAAACTTCTGTCAACTCGTTGATATAGTGCTACCATCATCAAGGAGGATCCGCCCATCAGCGCGACAGCTGCTTTGCAATCCTTTATCAGATTTATCCTATTGACGTCATTACCCGAGGTGTACAAAAGACTTTGTACACCGTTAGGCAGCCTTACCCAATAACTAAGAGTCTAAAAGCGTCGGTGGCACAGTGGTTAGGACTCTCGCCGCCCATGCACATGGTCCGAGGTTCGCCCCCCTACCGACGCACACCCGATATCTATGGTCGGCCTGCAAAATTTGGGCTATCGATATCCATGCTGAAAATTCCATACTTGTCCTGGAAATACGGTGTGGCATCAAGCTGTAATCAAAATAAATAAAATAAAATAATGTGAAATTAAGATATTTAGAGCCTAGTATATATGCAATGCATAATACAGAATCTCGAAACACATTATACATATCACTCCTTTGTGTTCCGAGTGTAACATACGGTTTCAATTTATGAGCTTTTAATTTTCAGTAACCGTTGTGGCTTTCTTTACAGTGTGGATTTGCTAGCCTCAATCTCAAACTTCTCCTTTTACTGGCTTATTTAGGTCCAACAGTGCGTTGGATGGGGACCGAACCCTGGACCATATGAGGCGTGGTTGACGAGCATTCCATCAGTAAATACCACCAACGCATACCAAGCCGATTACATTAGTGGGAGGGGGGTGAATTTAGCGAGAACAAAACAACAAAATATTAAGAAAGCATAAATTCACACCTGGTAATACTGACGACAAAGGCAGTAAATCATTGCCACCGTATATATTCCATTCAAAAGAAACATCATACAATGTTATAGCTATTAAAGGACGTGGATATATTTTCACAGGATCTGTAAATAAACGATTCCATTGGTTAACTAAATGACTTCTACTACTTTGTGCAGTTGAACTCGGCGGACTATAGAAATTTTCATGTATATCAAAATTTGGAAATGATACTTGATCAGAAGTGGTGTTGGACGACTTCACATTTGGTTGAAGTAGACAACGGATTTTCTCTTTCGGTGTTGAATAATAATTTAAGGCAGGCACAGTCGATGGATCAATAAATACAAAATCATCAGTAAGACTTGATGATTGAGAATTATTACGCGTATCGTCTGAAATCGATTTCAAATGATCAGATAAATCTGGATACAGACGACTTTTGTTAACTGACGGTAGTGTCTTATATTTGTCGGTAGTTGGTGAAGTATTCCTAGTTGGTGAATTGGTAAGGTTGGATGAAGCTGGTGACTGTACATCTATTGTTGAATTACTTGACTTTCGTCTGATATTATTATTATTACCACTGGTATTGTTGTGTACAGTACGACATGGTTGTGGTGGTGTGGAGCTATCATTCGAAGAAGATTTGTACTCAACACCTCTCAGCAGTTGGTCATTCTTTTTCGGTGAATATACTGAAGTATTTGATGGAATATCAACAGCTGACGACCTTTTAGGAATAAATGTTTTGTATGGTGATGATGGCACCTGAAATTTAAGTGAAAAAGGAATGCGGAAACAGATGCAAAAAATAAACTACTGTTGAATAAAACGAATATTATGGAGAAGATTTGTAGCTCAGGTGGTATTCTGGAAGGCGTGTAAACACATAAAAACAACCAATCACGTTCAGGGTCACGCGCCAGGAGAGATGACTAACAAACTCGTGGAGAAATCTAAAAGCTCACTTCAAATTGAAGTATGCGCTGAATATATTGTCTAGTAGGGCAGTGAAAGCTTTGCAAATAAACTATTCAGCTCAGAGAACACAACCACATCAAAAAACGAATATTGTAGAAATTTAACCGATATTGCTGAAATAGGCATCCTGTGTCACGAAAATCTAGTCTGTCCCACTTAAGCAATCAACCATGTTAACTAGAAACTAGAATATCAGTTTTGATATGTTGAATGCACAAATAGTAATGGTTAGATTAGGTCCAAACTCCTGATAAAGGGAACAAATTGCTCAAAGCTTTAAGGCTATTTTGTTGATAACTGATAACAGGCATGCCAACGAAGGTCAATGCCTCTTGGTGAATGTCTTAAACTTAATCATCATCAAATAGCTTATTAGTAAGTACTATCCGTAGAGATAAGACTACAAGCGGCACGGATGAGGATATCAAAAACTTGATTTGGAAAGACAAGGCAGACCTTCATCACTCTGAAATCAGTTTGGAAATCTTCTACATTCAGCCTACAGAACAGCAACAATGTTAGGTCAGTTCTTCAGTATGGGATCGGGCGTCACGAAGAATATTTCCAACAGACCATAACAGACTTTCGTCAAAAGCCGTCTTCGCCAGCTCCATACTGAATATCAGACAGCCGATCAGAAAGAATTAACACTAAGAAACTCTGCCAACAAACCAATCAAAAACCTATTGCTCAACAAATATTTAGAAGAAAATGAAGATGGATCGGATAGACTCTGAGGAGGCCATCGAATGGCATCAAGTGTCAGACGTAACCACGAGTGGAACTCGAATGGGAATCGATGAGTGATATGGAAGAGATGAGAGACAGTAGGCAATTGTGGGACCAGCTAAAGAGGACCACAGAGAATAGGGGAAAGTGGAGATGTGCTATTGAAACCCTATGTTCCACTCAGAACCCAAGGGAATAATGAAACAATGATAATATATAATGAATCTATTAGTCTAAACCACAAGAGAGTCAGTTCCAAGTGCCTGATACCTGAAGATAAATAATACAAATGTGAAATATTAAAAAGAATATTAAGTTGTAAATGTCATATTAACAAGTGAGTACCAACATATCTTTAAAAGATATTTTTCAGTGCGCATTTTGTTTTAGAGATTGTGTGAATTCAGTTCCTTGGACAGGTCTTCCATGTCCCAAGTCACTGACTGATGATATTACCCATTTGTCTAGGTCGAAGTAGGTAGAGTGGGATTCCAACCCGAATCTCACTGACTGAAAGTCGAATGCATAAGCCAATGAACCATATCTTAACTTGTATCTCCTCATTTGTAGACGAATCTTTCGCTTTTTTGAAGAGTCATGTTTTTTGAAATATATACACCAGTTAAGAGACATTGTTTCAATCTTTATAGGTTTCTTTGTTGTCATTTTTGCTTTGAAATCTTTCATAAACGAACTAAGTACATTTAAATTTCTTTTTTTATTCCTTTGTGTTTCGAGTGGAACACAGTGCTTCAAGCTTGAGATTTGAAGTTTCAGTGGCAATGGTGTTGTTTATACGGACTGGGGTTGCTACCTCGGCATGAACAACAACCTTTCCCCCATATCCGACTTACTAGTGTTTAAGGAAGGACTAGCAGTGCATCGACCGGAAGTCGAACTCCGGACCACGTGAGGTGTGGTTACCGGGAATTTAATCCCTGAACCATCGACGCTACACTCAAGAAAGTACTACTGTGCGTCGGTGGTACAGTGGTTAGGACTCTCGCCGACCATGCACATGGTCCGGGGTTCGATCCCCTGCCGATGCACACCCGATATCTATGGTCGGCCTGCAAAAATTTGGGCTACTGATATCCATGCTGAAAATTCCATACTTGTACTGAAAATGCGGTGTGGCATCAAGCTGTAATCAAAAATCAAATCATATCTATTTGTTTATTAGATGTATCACTGTGCGGAATTACTTACTACCACATATATTACTATAAAAATTACCTAATTGTAGTTTCATTTATAAGATAGGATATTACAGCAGTAATCACAATAGTACTCATCCTTTTATATAAATCTAAATAAGTAAACTAATGTGAGATTTGTGCCATTTTCCACACTTTTCATTGTGTGTTATCTAGATTGCGTAATTCTCAAGATTTCCGTAATTCGTGTTCACCAAATAACTTGATGTCTTTCGGCTCCATTCTTTACGAAACTATTGGTATGAAGCGATAAATATATCCAGGAAACAGCTATTCGGTATCTTCTACTAATGTCTATTCAGGAAGAAGTGAGCATTGAAACTGTGGGATATACAGTTAGTGGTACTAATTACACTAATAGGTACGACAGTTGACGAATAGTTCATTGTAATGAATGAACTAGCTATAATTACTAATTAATAACACCAATGTCTATAAATATGTAAAAGCGACTATGATTACATTGAATTAGCTAAATAATAAACCTGCCCTCATAAACGACCTGGTACGGCCAAGGGTGGGTAGACTCCCGTCTTCCTCTCTAATGTACCCATGCATTCATAGCTTCTGCCACATAACTCCCATTCATTGATTTCATATAGCGCGGAGGTGTTCCTCATAAAAGTGAAAGGGCAAATGTGAACGTCTGGTAGACACGCTGATCTATCTGGAGGAACTGGAAAACCCTAATTCCACACTTTTGGAGCACATAGGCTGCAGAATCCGAAAGAACTGAATGATGCATGGAGCAGTTTTGGTCACTTGGAATCATGGGAACACAACTTCTGATGCTGCTCAGCCGCCTTATGAATCAGACTTCAAGTCGAAGGACCGAGGGGTGGTTCCTGAAGACAACCATCGGCTTCGTTCTGGCCTTCTGGGCAGTAACCCAGTTGTCACACAAAACCATGAGATTTAGTGAGGCACATCTCTTCGTGACCATAATATATCAAGTTTGTTTTTCAGTAAAGCAAAATATATAAATAGTTAACCAGTACGTTTTTTAAATAAGCAACCCAGCCTTCGCTTCAACTGTAAGATACATTAAACAGATTAATGTCAAAGAAATCTGTGTCTAAAATTCCCTATCAATTGATTACAACAACTTAGCACCAGAAATAAATATCATATTTTTCAAAAAGAAAGCATAACTGCGGTATATACTACTGACAATCTACTTCAACCATCAACATTTAAGTAAATAAATAGATAAATGAATACTTACAGATTCAACATCAGATATAGCATCTTGTATAAGATCTAAACTACTTCCTGAACCACTTTTACCTATATTATCAAGTATGTTCCGCGAACAATGCTAAAAGGAGGAGAAAAAAATACATAATGAAACTTCGGGGTTAACTTAATAAATATTATTGATAACTAATGGATGGATGTCTCGAAGCTGCATTGAAAAGCACTGGCCAGTGGGGTAACAGTATGTCAAAGTGACGTGGAGGGTAGGAGTATGTTACGAACCAAGAGAAGTTAGAATACAAAGGTCACTGAATTCCAGCCTGGCCTCGTGACCTGAAGGCTCACAGTGTTCGATCTATTGTGGGATAGTGGTTCACACCGGATGAAGAGTCCCAAACTGGGACGAAACATATATCCAGTATTCCCAGATTTTCATTGATCACTGGCTGGTGTTGATTCGTAACAAAATCTATGCTGAAATTAATCTGAATTCCTAGAGAAACCCGTATTATTATTGTATAGTATGCAATCATTGAATCAATGTGACTCTTTTAGTCCAACCTAAGATAGCGACATACATTTATTAAATATAAGTTTCCATACAGCCCGCAGGGTCGGACTAGGTGTTGACTTCTAGTCATCTAAACTTTAAGTAAAGCATGAAATATCAACAAGAAGATTAATCGCTATTCGTGGTCACTTTAAGCTATGTGATGTGGCCTTTATGAAATACAGTTGCGTTTTTTTCGATTTCTAACAATTCTAGAACCAGATGTTGGATAAAGTGTCAATTTAATGATACTCATAGAAAAAAAGGCTTAAGAGCATTGGTTTAATGTTAAAGAAAACTGGACAGTAGAAGGGAATATGCCAAACGCTTTTACAAGAAAGTATCTTAATTACCACGAGGTTTTTTGCTAGTAGGTAGGTGCCTATTTATACGATTTAACAAATATACACAGCCGACACTGAAATGTTAACAGAGACTCTAATTGAGAAAAAGTACACATCCAGTGAAGTTTATAGGCAGATATCACGCGATTAAAGCATTAAAAATCTACTCTCCACCTAGTGCCCACCCCTCACCCCAAAATGGATGTATTTGTCAAACTGTCTTCCATTGCTGATCATAGCAGCTTGATATTCAAACAAAGAATGAAGGATGAAATGAAAAAAATTGCACCACCAAGGTCAAGATCATTGAGAGCTTGGTTTTTATATCTTATCCCTTTGCGTTCCGAGTGGAACATAGTGCTTCCAGTTTCAGATTTGAAATTTCAGTAGCAGTGCTGTTATCTTTTCTTTTTACAGGGTGAGGTTTCTAGCTCCATACCCAACCTTCCCTGTTTATCGGGCTTACTACCGGTTAGGCGAGGTTTACGAGTACGTCGGCTGGGATTTGAACCCTGGATCACGTGAGTAGCTAGTGAGCATTCTATCGCTGAACTTGTAGTCTGTGCATTCTTTTAAGCCTCTCAAGAAAGTAAAAAGTGACATCACATATCAATTTGAATGTACGTGTGGACAAACATATATAAGGAGGACTCATCAATTTCTGCAGGTAAGGGTTAGAGTGGCATATTCCTAAGAAGAAGCAAACTGAGTTTCCAGAATCTATTGATAGTGAATGTAGACAACCAAGTTCCTCAATCGCAAAACATTCTATTGAAACAAGATCTATTGCAGTTGTGGATAAAAATTTGTGGACACCTTAGTGCTTAGGGAGGCTTAAGTCAACTTTGTGTTTTCACAAAGAATTTATCATTATTACATCCTAGTTTGGGACTCATCGGCAGTACGCATTCACTGGGTTTCGAGCCCAGGACCTTCCGGTTACAAGGCAAGCTCGTATACCATTCAACCACTGGAACCCGATTCAGTGGTCAGTCCATGAATTCTAACTTATACCGATTCTGTTACGAAACTAAAATTAATCTACTATTACAACTCCTACGTCGAATTTCATTATTATTTTGACCCTCAATATAACCCTTCTTTAATTTGCCCCGTGTTTATTCTCGCATACCTCAACGCTTTAGCATATTACATATAAATTCCAGTGACCGGTGTACAGATAATCAGACTGTTCGCAATTTATCACGCAAGGAAACTTAAAGAGTCAGATAAATTATTCTATCAAAATAACATGAAAGAGACTTAATTGTCCCAGATTTTACAAAAAAGTGGTCAGCATTTATTTGACAGTAAAATCATACAAATGTAAAAGACTGACAATTTGCGCACTGAAATCTATGGTCAATCTCCCTGTATTAGTAAAAGTCCCATTATTACAGTAATTGCATATATTTGACAGGAAGTAATTATTTCAGAATAACACACATACACACATGTTGTAAGTAAAAAAATATTGTTTTTCAAGTATTGGTTTGTAGAGATTATGTTTAATTGGTTGGAGGTCTTCATCATGACCTGACATTGGTTAGAGAACCATTATAAAACCTGAAGGGAGTACTGGACAGCTGTTTCTTCAGCCTAGTTTGCGACTCTTCAGAAGTACGCACCCACCAAAGAAGTTCGAATCCAGGACCTTCTGGTCACAAGGAGAGCTAGCTCGTAGACCATTAAGCCACTGGGACTCGATCTAATGGCCAGTCCATAAATTCTAACTTCTGCCAATTCACGACATAGCGCGACCAATTCGCAATGTCCTTTTCGATGAGTGACTGTCCTCACCTTCCAGCTGCTGTACTCTACTGGTCACGGCTTCCCACTAGAACCCTAGGTAACTGCCTGAATGGGGCCAGTCGCTAGTGAGCATCAACACTTATCAAGTATTGTTTTTATTGAAACACTCCTCTATTATAAATTTCAATGAGGATTTCAGAAGATAGATAAATATTAAGAAATGACAGTTTCTCTACAATCGGAATAAAACTATTTCGGCACACAACAACAACAAAATATTGTGATAATTAATCGGTTATCTGAAATAATAAAAGTGCATATTAATAAAATAACCAGTCATATTTTAATAGGTCAAGTAATTCATTGTTAGCAAACGTTGAAGTCTAATATTTTCTGTATGCACAGAGTTAGGGATGCATGTGATTAGTCTAAGGTGCTTCAATCAGCATTAATAACCTTGAATGAAAGTTGTGTGAACATAATTGAGAAACAGTCATTTAATAAATAATGATTTTATGATCAGACATGCATAAATTTGTTTGCGATGGATGATACTATACTGGATTTCTATTCAGATTAGGTACATTTGGATTTTCGGTGTGACTTAATAACTACGTAGGAACACATTCTTTTCGATGGCATTGGAAAATTCTATCGGTTCTACGTGTATATGTGTCACTGCAACTGCAGATGAACTTCTAGATACAGTGTATAATAGAATATAAAATTCCATGCTTCAATTGTAGGCGCAGAAACAGAAAATGTTCGATAAGTAAGGAAAAGACATGCAGTGTAGAATCTGAGGTTGAAAACTGACCGAAGACTCTAAGCTGTCAAGTGCATGAGAGTTGATCAGCCCTGAGTGGTAGTTTAACAAAGATTGCATTCTTTGTAACGTAAACTGGGTGTCCTGGATATTTCAATGACTAAGCGGGGCAATATTTATCAATGTCTAGACAAAAAATCAATCTTAATGACTTGATCCGATCCCTAGCGGTTGGGTAGTGAGTGCGTATTGCTGAGGAGTCCCCAACTGGGACGAAACGACTCTTCAGTACGTAACGGAATAATTGCCTGGAAATCCCCTCCTATACCATCTATTTATAATGTTGATACTTATTTGGATATTTGAACTAAGTTTGTACTTATTTTCCTCTTTTCTCTTGGCCTATGTATCATTGTCCTAACGTTTGCATATCATCTCTTGACTTAACAGTCCCTATTATTTGTCGTTGTTCCAGTTTAATCTCTAACTTTAATGCTCCTCCTTGTGGTTGTGTGATGATATTGATAATGTGTTGTTTTACGACTGCGATTCTTTTTGAGTGAGTTTCAACGTCAGAATGACCTTGGAGTGTCTGAGGTGCTGAATTGTTGCAGCGTGATTTTTGCTGACAGAATTTTGATCCCACATCGTTGGAAATATTCTACTTGGTTCTCAATTACTTACTACGCTTGATTTTGGTGAACTAATTTTGTTCCCTTAGTACTTGTTTTGTATTATAACCTGTCGACCGAGAGGTACTCTGGTGATGCTTGGCTGTAAAGAGAATGCCGAGAAAATACATTGCACTGATCAAGGCACTCTACTCGTACTCATGCAGCCAGATGAGGGCCTATGGCGAGTTGTCATCTGAAGTGGTGACGACTAGTGGTGTCCGACAGGGATGCCCATTATCCCCATTTCTATTCAATTTCATTATAGATGTACTAATGGAATTAACCCTAACTCACTTCAGAGACTCAGGGATTGACTTGCTACCAGGGAATAATCTTATGGACTTAGAATATGCAGACGATATAGTCCTTCTAGGCGAGGACGCTGACAAAATGCAGAGTCTTCTGAACACCTTGAGCAACAATCTACGAATGTTCGGCATGCGATTCGCTCCCACCAAATGTAAGATGATGAGGCTACAGGACTGGACTACACTGAATCCTAGTTTAGAAATAGGGAGTGAAGTGGTAGCGCAAGTTAACCGCTTCACTTATTTGGGAAGTACCATCAGCCCCAACGGGTTGATCTCCGACGAAATCTCAGCATGGATACAGAGGGCTACTTTCGCATATGCCAGTTTACGCCGTCTCTGGCGTAGACGTGATATACGACTATCGACCAAAGGGCGTGTGTACTGCTCATCAGTCCGCTCCGTCCTCCTTTATCGCTGTGAGACCTGACTATTGAGACCAGAAGACATGAAAAGATTAGCTGTCTTCGATCATAGATGTCTCTGTTCTATCTCCTGCGTGAAGTGGTGTAATAAGGTGAGCAATATTGAGGTTAGGCGTCGAGTGCTAGGTAAGGCGGGGAAATCAATCGACGAAACTGTGAAATGACATCGACTGAGATGGTTAGGACATGTGTTACGTATGCCTAATCATCGCCTTCCTCGACAATGGGCAATGTTATCTCACATAGGGTCAGGCTGGAAAAGAGCTAGTGGCGGTCAAACGTAAACATGGCACCAGTCAATGAAATCTATAATAGTTAGTCTAGGCCACGTAGGAAGGTGTAGACTTCCTGGTTAGGGTCCTTGGGACGGTATAAACTAATGGCTGCAAACAATTGGTGACATGGCTCAAAATCGTTCTCAATGGCGCAGATGCATCCACTCATTGTGACTTATGATTCCTAATTAAACTATATTGTTCTTCGTTATTACTATTCCTTTTGTCTCATATCCCCGTCTACTGTCTCTATTTTGCACTTCTACTTTCCTCTCTTGCTTTGTGTGCTACATGGAGTGTGGCGACTTGAACTGCTGCACATTGGTGCAAAGTTCTAGGTTGAATACAGACAGACAGACAGACTAGAACCTTGGCTGACTTGTAAAGCTGCCTAACGGCATTGTTGAGGTAATTTTAAGCTTTTGATATTGTTATTGTTAAATAGTGTCGTAGATTTTTAACTCAAATAGCTGTCTATTTTGTTGTCGTTGGAGTACTTTGTGACTGTGCGTCAACTCAAGACAGTTCCGAGTAGCTATACAGTAGAACGCACAGATTGTTTTCTTCAGTTTAGAATATAACACATGGATTTTCATCGATACACAGTTACTCCCTAGTATCCGTCAGTTCCTGATCAAACGTGTTATATAGAACGTTATAAACTTACCAAAGGTGCCACCGACAATTATACATCTCATCCAACAGCTGTACGACAATGCTGCATGCCAAGTAATCCACAACGGGAAACCTACGGAATCCTTCGAAGTGAAGACGGGAGTAAGACAAGGCTGTCTACTATCGCCAATGATTTTCCTGATTGCAGTAGATTGGATAATGCGACAAACAGCGGGCAATGAGGAAACAGGCATAAAATGGACCCACACAAAAAACTTGGAGGATCTGGACGTCGCCGATGATATATGTCTGATTTCCCACAAACTGGAAGATATGCAGGCGAAAAGCAACAAGTTGGCAGAAGAAGCATCAAAGATAGGAAGGACGTAAGGTGAACATAGATAAAACAGAGGTGATGAAGATTCCCAGGCAACACCACCAACAGCAACAACAACAAGAGACGACAATCGGCATAAATGGGAGGAACCTGAAAGAAACAACCTCTTTTACCTACCTACTTGGGAAGCATCGTTTCAACTACAGGCGGAACTGACGAGGATATCAAAGCAAGAATCGGAAAAGCAAGACAAGCTTTCACTACTCTCAAGTCTGTGTGGAGGTCAACAACACTCAGCATCAAAAATAAGATCCAGATTTTCAACTCCAATGTGAGCTCAGTCAGTGCTACTATACGGATCAGAGACTTGCACTGCGCGTCACAAAGAGCATCTCAAACAAACTACACACCTTCATTAACAGTTGTCTTCGCTCAATACTCAAGATCAGATGGCCGGCCAGAAAAGATCAGCAACAGGGATCTTTGGGAGCGAACCAACCAGGAACCGATTGTGAAACAAATAGGCAGGAAGAAATGGAGGTGGATTGGCCATACTCTTAGGAAACCATCAAGTGACATCACTAGACAAGCCATTGCTCGAGTGGAACCCGAAAGGGAAGCGGCAAGTTGGTCGTCAGTGCAAGGTTGACTTAGAGGAGGTCATGTGAAGAGGAGATGAAAACGTGTGGGCAGACTTGGAGCCAGGTGAAGACTCTAGCAGAGAACCGAACGCAATGGAGACGCACGGCTGAAGCCCTATGTTCCTCTAGGAATTAAAAGGAAAAATAATAATGTAATATAATAATAAACTTACCAAATGAATTGGACTGGACACACTTGAACTTGGTGCATAGAATTGTTTAACACCGGAGTCAATTGTACCCGACGTGGACGGTTTTACAACATTCGGAGATAGATGATGGTGATGATGATGTGTAGACAGACAATTCGAATCAGTGATAGTAAACAATTCAACTAGTTTATGCAAGACAACTAAACTATCTGCACAGGTATTAATCTTTAAAAGATTATTTGTAATACGCATATCAAATCGATTCATTATAGTCGGTGTTGATTTATTACTGTACATAGTGGTATCCTATATGATTAGAAGAAAAAAATAAAAGATTGAGGAATTAAAAGAGGGGGGAGAGAATTTACTTCACATTTATAACTGATTGCATGTTGTATAAGGAGAAATGATAATAACAAGTCTAGTAGTAACATACATATACATGCATGCCAATGCCATACAGAAATTTCTCCAGATAACCAATTTACAGAAACCCCCTGGAGCACAAGCAACAGGAATCAGTGAAAAGAACAAGATCAGAATTCTGTTCAACATTAAAGTCATTTCAGCGTTTCTATAAGCTTCAGAGACTTGCCACCCGCGCGTAGCCAAAAAGCATTTCCAACAGGCTACTACTGCAAACTTCCATCAACAATTACTCTCTTAGCTGGCTAGATACTAAACACCAGATAGTTGACCAGAAAGGACAAGCAACAAGGAATTCTGACAGTGCAGCGGATTAGCCAAAAGCCTATTGCTCAACAAATATGTACAATTATACATATGCTTATGTACATAGAATATTCTAGAATAGTCGCCATTAACAATATTGGTGTTTAACTCCATTATAGATAAGATTTTTTTGATAAATCATACAGTGTTATATGCCTCCAAAGCCTCAGGATGGTCGGGGGTGGGTGCCTTGCGCTGCGGGTTGGCCACCCCTCCGCACACCTCTTGAAATGCTTCCATATGACCGGGCGTCTTACATAGCCTCTCCTGAGGAAGTCCTACTCACTGCCTTCACGTGGCGGAGGTGTTTTTCACCAAAGTGAGAGGGCGAAAGCGGATGCCCGGCTCTCTTCACCGGGTTGACTGTCCATTGAATGACAGTCTAGGGGAGATAGCTAAACCCTGATTCCAAACCTCCAACGACTGGCGTATGAAGCTCACTGGAGCTCACCGGCAGACGTATGGACAAAGGGCTTGTTGGATGTCCTGGATGTCTGGCTCCATTCAAAAAGGCGTATGAACCGAACTCCGGTCACCGGCTGCCAATGGATAGTGGACTCCCTACTCCACTCCTACTGCCTTGTAGGTCACACTTGGTTGTGTAAAGGCTAGAGCTGCACTCTCAAACAAAAGGCCGAGCGATTCTGGGGACATCACTCGTACCAAATTCCCATGAAACTTCATAAACTCTTTTACAAACGGAGTGCCTGGGGCTACAAACGGTCTACGGACTCCGTCTGTGGAACAAGAATTGGATAAACCTGTCGCAAAACCTTGCATCAGATCGCCGCGCCTGGGCAGCGATGATTTGAGATGTCCATGAAGCCGGCTTATCCTCCCGTAGGAGATAGCCGAAGTAAAGTGAAAAAGTAAGTAGTAATATTAACTGATGACGTTTCGAGCACATATTATTACCGCTCATAATCCTATGAAGTCACTCACATAACTTTTTACTTCACTTATATACATGAGTGACACTGATTAGATATTTGAAGAAAAAATCAGTATAGGATAATGTACATTCAGAAATAATATTAGCGTTATCAATCAAATACAATCAGATGGGAAATAAAATGTCTTTATGGTCGAAATAAGTAACTTATTAGAATGTTATGATGCATGTGAATTGAAATAGAATTTTAAGATTATTTATTATCCTCCTCTGATTTAACTGGTGGTAATAATATCTTCTATATCACTGGTATTTGTGTTGAATCATTTCTGTTTCATGTGTTGGGTGTAGACTCGATGAATCAGGATTCAGTAATCAATCTCTCTCCACCCCTACCTATATTACTTTTTAGAATTTTGACTCTCTCCCATCCTATTGTGTGGTTGTGTGTTAATGCATGCAGTGCGATTGCTGAGTTTTTCTCTAAAACACTTATCTTCGTGGGATCGACCATTCTAACCTGAGCTAAATTCTTTTGTTTTGACAATCTGACTACCCCTGACCTACTAGTTTGACCTATGTAGTTGACCTCACACTTATTGCAAGGTATTTTGTAAATTATACTATTTTGTCTAATTGGGTCCACTCATGTATGTAAATGAAGTAAAAAGTTGTGTGAGTGACTTGATAGGATTGTGAGCGGTAATAATTTGTGCTCGAAACGTGTTCATCAGTGAATATTACTGTATCACACTGTGTGATTTATCAAAATAAAATCTTATCTATAATGGAGTGCCCAAGTTTTATGCTGATATCAATATTCGTGTTTTTCTTAAGTAATACCGATTTGTAAAGTAAGATCAGGGGAATCACAGTTCGTTAAAGATGTTTAAATTATAATAATAATAATAATAATAAAATAGCAAATAGAATATCACATAAAATTAAAGAAATTTCCACAACAAAGTTAGGGTCATCAGAACCTTGATGGCCAAGATAAGGACACTGTCGGAATCAGCTTCTTTTGAACAAATAAGTTAAGTTTTTTAATGTGGATCCCAACAGCTAGCCTCAGCAATTTGTAGTAGATGGACTCTTTAGGTGAAGATAAGATTTGTTGGTATACGGTAAATGACTTTGAAAGCCTCGTTAACATCAATCTTGGATGGAGATGGATTGGTAATAATATGCTGAATTACATCACACTCCTGGATCTCAAGTGGAAGCCGATTAGGAAATGATAAGGTAGGGGTGGGTTCGACGGTAATATGGAAAAAACAGAGGTTTGTGGGAAGAGAGTAGAGTAAAATGGCGCTGTGTCGCTGAAGTCCTATTTCCATAATAGCAATAATATAAGCAACGTAATATAGGAAATAAACTCATGTCACATGCGTTACAGCTTCTCTATACTTAATTCATTCAAAATCTCTGTGTACAATCTGTTAGCTCAAGATGCTAATCTTTAATGCAAACAATTTGATTCACATCAATGGTAAAATCAACAATGAGTACATTTCTGTCTCTTTCCCATACACAAAAAGACAAATATAAGACGAAATGAAAGTGAAACTACAAGTCCTTGTTCCAGAGAACAAGCAAACATGGTTTTTACAACCAGACTACATAAAAACTGATCAATACACAAACGGGAAAATAATTCTGTAGCATTAAAACAATGTCCAGATTTCAGAATAGTAGCAAATCTAATCCAAGAGATAATAATAGCAGTAATAGTAGTATGAGAAATGGATAGATAAGATCAAATGATGATGGAACAGTAAAAAAAACAGGTATAGTTAACAATTTATGCTAGTAATAATATAATGAATAAAAAGTAAATTTGAAAACGATGGAAGTATAATATAAAAGATGATAAAAAAGATACAAAATAAAGTGAATTCATTTCAGCCTAGAAAAATCCATTATTAGTGTTTTATAAAAATAAAATTATAAAGGAAACCTGCGAGTATTTGTCCTCACACCCAGCTGGCAGTATCCCCGCCCCCCCACTGGTAGCGACTACTCACTAGAACCCCGGTGGTAACTAACTACCGACCTGAATAGGACCACCAGTCGCTAGTGAACATCAGACTGATATTCAAGCGTTGCCTTCAGGATTTCATTATGAACTGATATCGGTTAGAAAACCATTGGAAAACATGATCGGGTCCCTGTGACTTAGTAGTTTACGAGCTTGCCTTGTAACCAGAAAGTGCGCACCGACGAAGAGTCCCAAACTGGGACAAAACAGCTGTCCAGTACTCCTTGCAGGTTTTTCAATGGTTCTCTAACCGATGTCAGCTCACGATGATTTTATGTAAGTGCATGTGTATTGCGATTGTTGAGTTTTTCTCTAAAATATTCATCTTCGAGGGATCAAACAATCTAGACTTGGTTAAATTCCTGTGTTCCAATAAACTGATTTACCCCATGTCTAACCTATGAAGTTGATACTGATCACTGAAACTTTCTTCATCGAATCTATGCCTAGAACATGCGCAATAGGAATGATGCAATGCCAGTACCAGAGGTATACAAAACACCTCTATCAATAAAATCAAAAGATAAGAATTAGTGGAATTATATAAACGAATTTGGAAAGTTGTATGAGGAACTTGATATGATTATGAGCAAGAAATTGTGCCCGAAACGTCATCAGTACATAATACTGCACTGTACCATGTGTTTTCACCAAATATAACTATCCTATGATAGAATTAAAATCTTTGATTTAACAATAGGTACTAAGTAAGTAACTAGTATCATGCAGCTAGTCCTTTGTTTGCTGCAGATTGAATTATCCTATCAGTCGAATTTCCAATGTGGCTAACATGCTAGGTGCTTCTCTATCACAGTTCACTCTGAATTATTGCTAGATAGTTGGATGCAGCAAGGCAAGTTAGTCACAGACACTTAGGTTCTGTGCTTGTTGCAACTCATCACCAAGGCATATTTATAACCTTGAAGGAACTCACGTCCTCTCTGAGATTCGAAACTGCGTCACCCAATACTGCAGTCGGAGACCTAAGTTCAAAACTTCCTACCGATTGCCTTCAACTCCCAACTAATAATAACAATTCACAGTGCGCCGTAACAGCGAGCCACCCAGAGGCATGGTGACCACATTACAAACTTGACTGGTAGAATTCAGTCTACACACCAACACCAAGGACTAGATACATGACACTAGTTAGTGTCCAATCAAAGTATCTAATATACAGTCCTAGAGGAAATCAATCGCTAACCCAAATAGCTCAGTGCAGAATTGGGTGATACAGGTTCGAACCTCAGAGAGGCCATGAGTTTCTTCAAGGTTGTAGATACGCCTTGGTGACTAGTGTTAACAAGCACGAAACCTAGGTTCAAGGCTTGCTAGAGATCGCCTTCAACCATCTAAATAACAAGAATTATAATCTAGCTCAATAACCAAATTCTATGCTTATGTTGATAAGACATGTTTTGTCAAATTATTCGAAAAAAATTATGTTTATATATGTATAAGAATAATATTCCAAATATTCTAGTTCACTAATACTTTAACGTGTCTGAATGTCTTTGCAATATGTCTGATATTGTTAGCCACAGTTTTTAGATAATGTGATAATACCAGCTGGCAGAGAATGAGAAAACTAGATACCTATTTGAAATAAGTCGGTTATGGAAAATATACTACTGACTGATATGAGTAATATATATAATATCTTGCAATTCTACTTGCTTTCTTGATTGCGATGTATGATATTGTAATCTGAATAAGTTTGTATTTTCTAAGGGGAATTTTCGCCTCGAAATGTGTCAACTGCCGATTACGAATCTAATTCTATTTGAAATAAAATTTTAGATGATAATTATGGAAAATAATCATCAACAGAAGACGCATTATTTCGATGATTTCACCCTGAACAGCTGTAGAATCGCAATTCCATTCATTTTCATTCTACAACGTAGCATAGTTATAAGTATTATTGAATTGAATATAAAGGAAAAGGTGTGCTTCTGGAAGTGTGTGGGTGGGTGTTACTTCCCGATTCCTCACTCACCGTGAAGTTGATTTTTACTCGGGGTAGGTGAAACAGAAAGAGCATTCGTGTTGCGTGACCACAGAGCCTAGAGAGCAGCTGCTTGAGGTTGGCCACACAAGACCTGTTTGAATCGGTTTTTGGTATTGAGTCCGTATGACCGCCGCAAGATAAGTTGGAAAATCGGGGTCAACCTTCTTTTAACCCCTCCTCTCCAGGGCAGAGAGGTAGCATAGCTTGCATGCTGGTCATCCCAGTGAAACACCTTACTGCAGTTACATTCCTATTTCCCAGCAGTACGACTTCGCCTACAAACTTCCCAATATAGAGGAAACAGCTTACACTATGACAACGAATGATTTTAGTCTAATAGCTATCCAAACAACCTTTCTGGTAGGGTAGGACCTGCAGGAACATTAGTTTCAGCCAATGTAGCTCGTTGAGTCATTGGAATATGCAAGTCCAACCACCACGCCAAAGTGGCAGTTATCCATAGGGATGAAAAGGGTAAAATTAAATTGAGAAAATAAATCTCTTTTCAAACACGATATAAAGATTCGCAAGTGTGATGAAAAGGCGAAGAATAATCACAAAGAGCATATGGACATAAAATTGTAGAAGTTTGGAAATACGGTTGCGTACTATATAAGATAATTTTGAAAAATAACGTATAACCAAAGTATTCATCAAAACGTAATGAAATAGTGTTTCGTAAATGATGCCAGAAAAAAAAAGAAATAGAACAAAGCAAACAAAAATGAGTCTATAGCAGATACATAAAATGCGTCGGTGATCCAATCAGAGATTGCCCACAGCTAAGCGGGGTGTTCGGGTCCAATTCCTGACCTAAGTACAAATAAATTGCACCTAATTTGCTAGCCGGTAGTGAGCTCTGAAAAGAGGGAAGGCTGGAGTTGAGGTTGACAACGCATTGCTTGAAGACAACATCACCGAAACTTCGAAATCTAAGTCTCTACGTTCCACTCGGAATGTAAAGAAATGGAGCAACAAGAAAGAAGAAATGGGAGGCTGAGAACGAGTTTTTTCGTATGCATAACTCCGGCTTCTTCATGCATGTACAAACGGTTTCTGTAGTGCGAAAGAGTGGAAAGCATACTTTCTGGGTGGATTGTTTTGACTTTTAAAATGACCTTGACTAGTGAGTCAGTTGAAATGCTATGAGAAGTATTGACGACGTGCTGACTCTTCTTTGAAGTCTAGGTCCACATAAAGCATCCTCTTCCTCAGTCCTCCCCCCACCCAAATCGAGGAAGGTATTGTACAATTCAAAGAAAATTAATTGATAGGATATAAGGTAATACAAAGAATGACTTGTTACCATTCATATCCACGTCGTACCAGAATAACTGGAGAAAGTTAATAGCTTCAACCTAAACAGTAGATTACTATTCTGTCAAGTGACGATTACAATCTCAGATGGGGACACGGTTAAATAACACATCATTCACCAGAACTTATTAGTAGTAGTAAATATATACCATGAAACTTATTCACCAATCAAATAGTGCAATTATATATATACACAAACAAAACTTACAATTGTGCTTGGTAAAATAACTGGTTCTGAGAAACACCTGAATTCCAAATGATCTAAGCTTGCCACGCATACAGCTTTATTCAAATCTAAAGTATTGAGCCAATTACGAAATTCACTCAACAATGGATGAGGAGAATGATTTGCATCAGAAGAAGATGAAGGAGAAGGACGAAGATTAGGTGAATTAGTGTTACCACTTAGACTGGCTGACTGAAAATTTGAAACAAAGAAAAAAGTAAAGTAATGAATACTTGTCAGACTTGATGTTTCATACACTTCCCCTACAATTTCTAGTTAGATAACAGGGTTACACACAACGTAGTAATAAAGCGTTTGAAAAGGAATTAAAAGTAGAGAAATTGTAAAATGTGAGCACTGTAAAACAATTTGTGTCTTAACACAGCTGACGAACTAGTAAGAACCTTATTTTTATTGAGTCAGTTTTATCGTTCCCATTGATTGATTGAACCAAAATATTCGGCTTCTCTTGATATTTCGGCTGCTAGTTCAGACGCTCTAACGATATCTGAGGATTTTCATGATATCATTTTGGTGAATGGTAACTATCAGTGGGATCCAGGATGTGCATTTCATCCCATTTGTGACTCGTCAACCGGATATACTTGCTATCCCCAGAGAGTGATAGTGTTCAAACTGGACACCAATTTGGTATTTACGACGATGGGTAATGGGTTCGGGTCCCAATATGGACACTATTACTCACTAGGGATCGAAGGGATACCAAGTTGACGAGTCCTAAACGGGACGAAATGCGCATCCTGGATCCCACTGACAGTAAGAGCTTTGTTATGTCTGTTACCTGTTCTTTAAGACAAATTGCAAAAGAATACAAATAGCAGGGGATTTCAACAGTTTATTGTCATGCATCATTTGTTAATCGATAGTTCAACAAGTTCACAAAGAAATGTAGCTCATTGATTCGGTTTTCAACCTGATAGGTCCCAGATTTGAATCCCTCCCCATCAACTGAAAGCTCGGAGCCACTGGGTAGTACCATCGGACATCATTACACAACAGGCACCATCTATAACCTATTACTTGAAAAGTCTGTTCCAGTTAACTAAGTTCAAATGAAGACAGCTGTTTTGATGCATAATATCAGCATGTTAGTATTTTGATAAACTTCCTTCTAACTAATTATTCAATTTTTTTTTTGGTGTTTCACTTTTCATGTAAAGTGTCTTTTGGTTTATCAATTATCAACTAACAAACAGATGTGCGAATTAAGAGGTAAGGAAGAAAAACCTGGAGTGACGAGAAATAGTTACACAATTACAATCACACAACTATCTAAAAATTATCGTTTCCAGTTATATTACAGTCAATCATGTGAAAACAAGGTTAAGACAAATTAAATTTTAACCAGTTTTGTGTGTTTCTTTATTCTTTAGTTTTAACTCGATTAATTGACTATGTAAGATCACCAATTGGTTTTTTTTTTTTTTTGAGTCGATTCTATCATTTTTCTACTGGTATAAGAGACATCTGAAAGCAAGGGATGAAAGTGCGATAGGTTTTAATTTTACTCTTACGATATATTGACTGAATGAACACAGATTTGGGTGGATTCTTAGAAGCACCAAAATATAAGTGATCTTTGGAATAATTCAAAAATAAATTGCATAAATTTTGCGCTCATGTTGAGGTGAATATAATGCATGAGGTTAACAACAATGATACTAAGCTATTTGGCCTCCATGTTCAAATTTCAGACACAATATGTCTGGTTCAGTCAATCTGAGATTTGATAAAACATTTGAGACTGATTAAAAACAGTTAGTAGTGAGACACCTTTCATAGAATTTCTCTGTAGTAGTCATTTATCTGATTACTCTGAACCGAATTGTCACTTTAACTACATTTAATCTCCCAGCCTCAACTTATAAAATCCTTATTTTTATTTTCATTCATACTCGACGTAAATGCTTAATTTCTTACTCGCCCTAGTTTGTCCACACTTAGAATCATCTAAACTCCGAAACTCTTACGTGACATGTGCTGTTAATTATACACTTCTACTTAATTTCAACCCTCTTTTCATAACCATAAAATATTTTTTGTAATTTTATCCCATCAGCTCTTTGTGCAAAGGATTACGTAACATCAATGAGCTTTATCTTCAAGCTGATTGAATGAATCATTTGTTTGAATTGATTTCGATTTTTCAATTGACTGATTGGACATAAATGTTCGGCTTCTGTTGATATGTCCTCCGTCACTGTCAGTGTGTTCACACTGACCGAACATTTCGGTCTAATTAATCAACGGGAGAACCGAAATTGACTTAAACAAGGAGTATCTGTTACCCGTTGCACAAGGGGTGGCTCTCATGTCCCAAGTATTCTAGTGAGTAAAGCTTTGGCATTTGAAACAATGGATATTGGGTTCGAGTCTCAGTGGGAATAGCATCACTCACTGGGGATTGCAGGTACACATGCAACGGACGAGTGCCAAATAGAACGAAACGTGCATCCTGGATTTCACTCATCTCCCCACGTATTCATAGCTTCTACCAGATAAGTCCTATCCACTGACTTCACATGGTGGGGAGGGGTCTCTCACAACAGTGAAAGGGAGAATGCGAAGGTCTGGCACTAACAAGCGGACTGGTGGACATGCTGCTGGTCCACCTAGGGAAGCTAGAAAATACCTGATTCCAAACCTATGATGTATATGGGCTCCAGAATCTGAAAGGATCAAATAGCATATGGACTAGTTTTGATTATCGGCAACCATGAGAACGTAGATCTTAACACTGTTCCACTGCCTTGTGGATCAAACTTCAAGTCAAAGGCTCTGAGGGTGGCGCCTTAAGACAACCACCAGCTTTCATTCGGACATCTGAGCAGTAATTCAAGTCCTCGCACAAATAATGAGAATTTGTATGGCGCATCTGTTGGTGACTATAATGTAACAAGTTTGTGTTTTAATAAATAAATAAATAATAGATAAAAGTAATCTAAACATCGAACAACTGTTTCGCTCGTTTGGTTTGTGCTCAATTTGACTCGGATCAGATAGGAACTTAACAGAAGGCGCTACATTCTCCTTTCAGTAACCAATCAACCACGTTAACACACAGTTCTACAGTCTAGAATGTATACAATGCCTTGAGATATATACTGGAAAATGGTGACTGCAAAGACCAAGATTAGATGGTTGGAGGCAATCGGCCACAGGAAGCCTTGCTTGACCTAGGTTTCGTGCTAGTTGGCACTCATCAGCAAGGCGTATCTGCAAACTCGAAGGAACTCATGTCCCTTCTGAGATTCGAACCCGCGTCACCTAGTGCCGTAGTCAGAGACGTTACCACTGAGCTATTCTGGCTCGCGATTGACCACCTGTAGGACTGTAGTGGATATTTTGATCTGATGAGTGCCAACTAGCACGAAACCTAGGTCAAGCAAGGCTTCCTGCCGATTGCCTCCAACCATCTAATATCACCACAAACAATGTGCACCGTGATGGCGAGCTACCTAGAATGGTGGCCACATTACAACTTGACAGATAGAATTCAGTCTGCACCAAAGAGAGGACTAGGCACATCACACTAGTTACTAGTGTCAAATCAAAAAGACCGAGATTGGTTCAAAAAATACTGACCCAAGTTGCTTTAAATGTAAGATTTCGATCGTCTCTTAGGCGTTGATTACATAATCCGACGACTGCACACACATTTTCTTCATTCAACCGTTACAACACCACGTTCACACATACGCACACACAGAGTCATGTACGATATAAAGCACTAAGCCTGATTTTATATTTAGTCGTCTGTTGTAAACAAAAATAACAAGACTATTCTGAAAATATTAAAAATAAACAATTGATTTATCACTTGATTATGTAACTTACAGTGAACTTAAAAGGAAATATAAATGTAGCCAAATTATTAATGAATGCCATAACTAACATGCCAGGTTGTACATCGACACGACTGCCATTATTATTATTACTATTAGTAGTAGTGTTAGTATTGCTGCTTTGATGAGTTGATGGATTCATCAGCAGCATTTCCATTGCTGTATTCACTGTAATACTAGCTGATTCACAACCAATCATAAAGTGTAATATAGGCATCATCATTTGATGATGATAATTTACAATAGTTGACTTGTTAGTTGATAAATTAAAATATTCTGGATAAGGCATTGAAAATGTCATAGTTAAGCGTTCAAAGTGTAAATGTTGATTGAATAAACAATCTGGTGCATAATAACTAGAATATTCTTGGGCAATTTGTTTCATTGAAGGTGTTTGCCATAGACTACAGAATCGTAGAAACCAATTTGGTAAACCAATAAGATTATGAAAGCTATTACTAGTACCACCAGCAGAGTTACTACTAGTACTATTAGTATTATTATTATTACTGTTTGTTGTAGTATAAAATGTGTAATTAGTGCTTCCTGAAGTTGTTGAGGTAGGATTACCAATATTAGAAAAGATATCCCAACGATTATTTAAACTGAACAATGGCCAATATATGAAGCAGACATCTTGTATACGAAGAGATAGAATGAATTCATCGTCGTATGTAGAATTGCCTTTGGGAAAAAAGAACACAAATAACAAGCCAAATAAATAATACATCAGTAAATCCGAAATTCCATAATTATAAACTGTAAAAAAATATTATGCATGTTCGGGTTACAATTTACCACTGAACTAATTACATTACTAATAAAATGATGCTAACTGAGATTGATTCAGTTAGCACCTAGGCATTTCGTCCTGCTTGGGACTCGTCGTCTGGATGTACCTGAATTCCGCAGTGAGTGATGATGTTCCCACCGAGGCTCGAACCCAGTGCCCATAGTTTCAAACGCCAAAGCCTTAACCACTAGACCACTCGGGCCACGAGAGCCACCTCTTGTGCAACGGGTAAGATTAATTATTTAATTGAATTTTAGATTTTTCCGTCGATTCATTGGTTGAAATGTCGGCTTCTTGTGCAAATGCTCCGACGATGTCTGAGCATGTAATCAGAATTTAATTGGTGGTGTTTGGAATTATGGGCACTGGGTTCGAGCCTCGGTGGGAACATCATCACTCACTGGGGGAATGCAGGCACATCCAGCTGACGAGTCCCAAATGGGACGAAATGCACGTTATCCTGGATTCCACTGATAGTCACCATCCATTAATTAAATTCTAATTAAATGCCCAGACATCATCGAAGCATCTGCACAAGAAGCCGATATGTCAACCTGAAACCTAGCACTTCGGTCTAAAATTCAATTAAATAAAAAAGTGTATACTGATATTGTATATAGCTACTGGTGTGAAGATGTGAGGACCGAATTCTAATCACCGCTTCATCTAGAATGGTTTCGGCAACCAGGTAATTACTGATTAACCCTCTCACACAACACGTGTGGCCTACTGCTAACTGTGTGATTGTTTAGTGATGTTTTGAGTTGACTCTAATTGCATTACCATGTACTCAAAGGTGATTCATTAGTGTACAAATATGAAATATACAGTTTTGATCATTAAACTGAATGTATGTGTTAAACAGCACTTATGCATCAGAGGAACAGAAAGAAGGAATAGTGACCACATATGAGAGTATATTTTAAGCAGCTTGCGATGACAAATTGCAAAGGGCTTCAGTAGTGCAGTCGTTCATCCCCTGGTAGATATAATGGCCACAGAATCGACGTTTTAAAATCACATAAGTTAATCAAAGTGTGAGTTATTTCCAGTCTACTACGTGTCACCAAAGGCATACAGATTAGACAGTTAAAACCCAACTCGTGCATTCAAAAAGAAATTTTCTCTACCATAGTGCGTATTTAATTATATAAAATTAATGATTGTTATCTCCGAACTATTTTAATTCATGGAAAATTCCGAATATGAATTGTGGTAAAAAATAATTGGTTTAGTACTACTTTATTAAACAGTTCATGAAATTTTCAAGTATTGGTTTTTGTAGGGATTTTATTTGATTGGTTTGAGGATTTCATCATTAGCTGACATCTGTTAAAGAACCACTGAAAACCAGGGAGTACTGGACAATGGTGGACTCACCGGCAGTACATACCCACACTGCAGGGTTCGAACCCACAACCTTCTGGTCACAAAGCGAGCTCGTAGAGCATTGAGCCACTCGGACTCGGTCCAATGGCCCATGAAACAGCTATCCAGTACTCCCTTCAGGTTTTCCAGTGTTTCTCTAACTGATGTCAGTTCATGATGAAATCCTCCATCCAACCAAACAAAATCCCTACAAAACGAATACTTGAAAATGCGCTAATAGGCGACTCTTCACGGAGTCACTTGTTTTGGTTTTCTATATATCCTAACTATTTAACTAAAATATGTCCAAGTTTCGTATATCGATGTTGAAAATGCATTAAGTTGTATGCTGTAGATAATATCCAAAGAAATAAAGCGATATTCATGTTCTTCTGTTTAATTGATATTTCTTGCTTTGTGCAAATTTACCAAGGGAAAGAACTGCATAGAATAACTTTGAAATCAACTAGCTTCAGTGATGGCTTAATCCTCACTATGAATAAAATATGTAGTTTAATTATACAGTAAAAATATGAGCAACGGCGTCAGTGGTTCCAGTGGTAGAATGCATTCCTAAACCTCACCTGGTTTACTAGCCTGTGGTAAAACCAGGAAAAGGAAAGCTGAGTATACGGCGGAGTCCAACAAATTGAATGTGAGGACAAATACTTGCCATTGATATTGGCTATCGGTTTCGTGAAATCAATACCACCGCTAATAGAACTTCAAGGCTTGCAGGCTTAAATGTATATCTTTCACTTGGGAACGTAAACAATGAATAAAGCAAATGTATAAATGTAAATTTACGAGTAGATGAAAATCATCTATATAAGTGTATTCACCTGATTCAGATAAATGATGAATTTGTCTATGCTCTAAAGCCAGGCTAATAGTTGGTTCATTCGATAAATTACCGCTAGACACTCCAACTTGATGAAGTGATGAACCATATGGATAGCCAATAGAATCCCATGAAAGATGGCAGAGAACAGGCCATATATTTTTTGATGAATCTGAGGCATTAACACCATCTGATTGATTATGATGAACATCTGGATTTGAATTCGGATTACCTAAAGAATTAACATTTGAAAAAGAAAGAAGAATTTATTCTATAATAATTAACATGTATATATAATAATATGCATGCAGGTCTTAAATGAACTAAAGAGAATCTGATTTATGAAAATGTCTGCAAACAGTTAGGGAAAAAGTCAAAATGTGGCGAATGCTACTGATAAGATTTATCAGTAGTGTAGAAAGAGACGTTCATCGGCATAAAAACATCAAATAGCAAGGACATACATTTGATTTCAGAGAAGGCAAACAATACAGCCTCGTGGAGATATATCAGAGACGTTAAAGGAACACAAAGAAACACAACACGAAGATCTATGCAAATGGTGCGTTGAAGATAAGGTATACATAATTTGGGTATGTGGAGACGCCGCTTTCCTTTACCAAATCTTCGTCATCTACCGTTTCAAAAGAGGTAATAAATATTCCCACAGTGAAATTTAGGACAACATACGTAAGCCAATAATGCAAACTTTAATTAGAGCTCATCGGGCTCTACTCTAATATACTCAATTTTACAAATACATACTAAATATAAGCGAGTCAGGGTTATTTGTCAGTGTGATGACAAGATTGTGCTTATAAATTGTGCAGCTAGTCATGATAATAATTACAGTGATTCTTAACGAAGAAAATTAATACACATGTGTGCGTCGGTAGCACAGTGGTTAGGACTCTCGCCGACCATGCACATGGTCCGGGGTTCGATCTCCTGCCGACGCACACCCGATATCTATGGTCAGCCTGTAAAATTTGGGCTACCGATATCCATGCTCAAAAAAATTCCATACTTGTACTGAAAATACGGTGTGGCATCAAGCTGTAATCAAAAATATAAAAATATAAACATAATTAAAGAGTAGAAATGGTTGCAACGCATGGATTGCGTAATGCATGATTTTGGAAAAATGAAGAGTAATTAAGGAATAAGCGTGTGCACAGGTTGATTACGTAACAGATTGTTAAAGAAAATAAAGCGTTTCAGACAGTGATGACTTGCAACTAAAGTCGAAGTGGTCATAAGAATAAAATAATTTTACATACATAACACGTAATTAAAGATGAAGTAGTCAGAAAAAATAATAAAATAATTTGGACAATTATAATTTTTAAAGGTTTACGGGGAAGGGGGCAAAGTAGTCCGATTTATACATTCGTGTAACGATGGCCAAGGTAAGGAAAGTGGCTGTACAAGTTTCTTCTGAACACACACAGGTTTGGCTTCTTCAGGTGGATTCCTATTGCTTCAGCTGTATGTAGAAGACGAACTCGTTGAGCAAAATTAAGCTTAGTAGGAATACAATAAATAATTTTAAATGCAGTATTGACGTCAACTTTATGCTCACTATTTACAAAGTGTGCTAAAATAGAGCTACAAATAGATCTTGTTTTTCCTTTGCTCAACCATGCTGGATGATGTTCGGAAATGCCTAAATGAGGATTTTTTCTACATTGAAATAATGATTCTAAAGGTAAGAAAGATGAAAAAGTGGAGCGATTTGTGATAAGGATAATAAAAAATGGTATGATTAAAGATTTGGTCGGTAAAGGCCAAGGAAAAAATAGTCCGATTGACTAATGACTAGATTAAATGAGCACTATCAATTAAATGTGGCGAAACGGAACTTCGGATGGTTTTTGTCTGTGTACTTTACGAAATCACGATAAGAGGTGTCCAGTAACACGCTGGCTAAGTTGTTTACTACTACGCCTAACATAACTGTCTCCTTCGTTTGAGTCTCAATTATTCGCTGACTACAAAGTGACGAACATCAGTTTGCTGAGTAAAATGTCCTCCGCATACTTTTGGCTAATCTCTGGAACAAAATCTCACTTGACAAGTCCCTATTAAATTTCAACTTAGTAAAAAAAAATGGTTTCTTCTGTGCTGTCGTTGTCACAGGCTTTCTATCCAATATTTTCATAAGTTTCTTTATGATACTATGCGGATAGGCTCTCTCTACTAAAGAATCATCAACATATTCGAATTCCTTTTGTAGGCGATTCTCCGTACACATATTTCTTGCCCTATCCGTAAGACACTTTACGATATTTCTTTTATGTTTAATGGGCCCTTACGTAACTAAGGTAACACTACGTGTATCTCCCCACGTGAATGTGCTTTTCCCCTATACACACTTCTGCCAAGTGATCTATCTCCACGTCTACTTAGCAAGACATTCAGAAAATACACTGTATTATTCTGCTCCACTTCACAAGTGGAAGTAAACGAAGGTTAGATGTTATTACATTTCAATCAATAATTCATTGATGTTTACATTCTCACTAACTTATGTAGACATAATGTTAATTACTTATCCAACTCTTTCAGTTTTCCATTTTCAAGTTTCGTAAGGAGGAAATCTGATCGTAACTAATGGTGAACTCATGGAAATTCCATCTAATTGTCGATAATATGAATTGTCGAAGGCAAAGTGTACATTCATTTAAAGTTCAACAGGGAAATTCACAAGTTCATTTGCCTTTCGGTAATTTTTTGGCATATCTAGTTCACCGTTTCAACAGGTGATACATTTGTTAATAATGAAGATACATCCATAGATAACATTAGTCTCAGATATTTTAAAGATAAAGTCAAAGACATCACCAGTTCTGTATCTCACAATTTCTTTGTGGAAAACTCCCAGAATATGAACTAACCACTTAGCCGTTCCTTGAATCTGTCACCTGAAAACCATAAATCAATGGCATCCCCGAAATAGAATAAATTCTATGAAAAGAGACACTTCGTTGAACTACTGGTTCCGTTTATATTTCATTATTTAGAGTTGCTTTCTCCTACTTTTCGACGTGGGACGTGGCAACTCGAACTGCTGCACTTCTGTGCCAAGTTCTATGTTGAATCCAGACAGACAGACATATTTCCAAAAACGAAGCAGGACTAGGATTGGTGTCATCACTGTTAGATATGTGTTGGATATTGATTCTATACCAGCTGACAATATGACGCATTTTAATTCTGAATATAAATCTAGCTAATCTTACTGAATTTTTGCTATGACTTACACATCAAAGGATTTCGGTAAAAGAATCTCGTTTTTTCAACTTCTATTTTTAGAAATACTGTGTGACTATTTAAAATAATTATTAGCATTAAAGAGACGATTACGTTATTGATGGCTTAAGGGTCCTACTTAAATCACTAGGGTATTTAATTTTTCTGTCATTAAAAATGCAATATATGTAAACATTTATTGCAATACATCATCCAGTTACATCCACCATGAATGACAGTCCACATTCAAGCACATATTCAAATGAACTTTCTGAAGGAGTACTGGAACATACTCCAGACAAATGACCTTGAACGCACCAACGATGTGACAAAGGCGATTTTCGCGTATAAAATACATATATTCATGAAAATGATGAATTGAAGGGCACGGAAATGTTAAACAATATACCTTTCTCTAACATACGACAAAAGTGTCTCTCAATTTTCGATTAGAGTACAAACAGAGTATGTTATTATTATTATTTCCTTTAATTCCTGGAGGAACATAGGGCTTCGGCCAAACGTCTCCATTGTGTTCGGTGCTCTGCTAGAGTTTTCACCTGGCTTCACGTCTGCCAACATGCTTTCATCTCCTCTTCACATGACCTCCTCCAAGTCACCCTTGGACGACCAACTCGCCGTCTCCCTTTCGGGTTTCTGATTTTAAGGGGAACAACTCACAAGGTCGCTTCTCTGTAAACTATATTTTAATGTAACAACCAACAGAGTAATTTAACCATATTCTATGCATGTAATTATCTAGGTCTTCCTAACCCTAATAATTACTGTAATCTTTCCTTAACCCAACCCTAACATCAAATTACCCCTAAACTAGCCGTAATCTAACTCGAACCAACCCTAATGTCGCCCATATTAGATTAACTTAATCCTAACCTGTTCTTAGCCTAAGCCTTAACTTAATCTTTCCCAAACGTAACCTGAAATTTACCAGATATCCCATTTAATAAAATAACACCTCATTAGGCATATTTTATTCGTGATTACAATATTATTCGCCAGGCTTCACTAACTTGCTTACGAGGAGTTTCAAGGCCATTGGTGCGGTTGCTCTCCATTAGTACTTACTGGTGCTTTAAGTTTAACTTGGTCGAACAAATTTACTCCACATGATATACTATCGATCATTATGACTACATTCCACGAAGATCTTCTTTATATAGAATGAATACCTTACAATTAGGCAGGCATACTGACAATTCTGTACTATGTATAAACATATTTTTGAGAATAAGGCTGTTATTATTACTATTATTATTAGATCCTGAAGGTAGTTAGAAAGAGAGGTAAGGAATACTGAAGAGCAGCTTTATAGTAATAGTTTAGGATTCCTCTGCAGTGCGTGCAGACAACGCCATCATAAGTAGTCGGATCTGTGACAATATACGAATCCTATAAAGTCCTTTTGATGGTAATAAGAGAAATGCATTGAATATTAATTCAAAAATAAGACCCATAATAATAACAATAGAGACTTACAACTATAAGATACGTCGAATTCACCAACTTCCATTTCAAAATAATTTAAATTTGGATTAGAATTATGAGCAACTTCAGCAAAAAGGATAGTATTTGTAGCATTGACAATAACTTTTTCGCCACGTAAACATGTTTCAGGCGATGATTCTGGCAGAAATGTTGTCAATTGTGCAGAGTTGATATCCAACTGGAAACAGATAGACGATTGATATTGAACAGATGTACCAGTTGACGGGCCAATATTTTCTGTATTAGCAGTGTTGTTAAAATTGGAAGTATGTTGACGTGAATATAAATTTGAGCTAAAACCAGCTTTGTCTAAGAAGAAAAAGAAAAAAAAAGAAGGAAGCGTATTATAAAAGTTAAATACAAAATAAATATCATGATGTGAAGGCTTTCCTCATTAGTTTCATTACATGTAACGAGGCTATTTTGTTGACTACCACCGAGTAGAAATTCGGTCACCCGGGAATTTTTATTTCTATCAACCAGTGGCGTCGATGAGCACTACTTCACCCCATTGGTCACAACTTCTCACTGGGACTTTAATCGATCCAATAGTCACTAATGAACTGGCCTCATAGTCCGAAGGTTTCGATCTCTGATGAAGTCTAGACAACACAGTTGAAGAGTTCCAAACTAGGACAAAACATCTGTCAAGTGCTCTATGTTTCACAATGATCCTCTAACTTGTGTTAATTCGTGACGGAATTCGCATTGAGACAATTACTGTGCTTATCGTAAGCAGTAGATTACACTTAATTGTTGAATAAACCAAAAATTTCAGTTCAATAGAAATCAATAACCGGGTAATATTCAAGATAACTTCAACAAATAACAAGTGATATACATTACTAGCTTTTCTGTTTGAAATGGTGAATGCTGAGATCGAGTCTCAACCGGGACACCATCACTTATTGAAGATGCAGATGATTTCAAGTGAAAAGTCACATATAGTTCGAAAGGCACATCCTGGATTCCCCTGTTAGCTACCGCGAACCAATTACCAATAAAAATACAGTCAATTAGTCTTTTTTTCCTATATCTATCGAAGTTGAAATAATACTATTATGTGCATTTGTTAGACATGAGAACGGAACAAATTAGTACAACATAATACCTTATTGGTATCTTCACATTCTAATTGGTTAAAGATGCTTATAATGCATTTCAAGAGACTGAGATGAGTGAACCAAGAATATTCTTTCCGATATCTTCTTCATCAGATTCCACAGTTATATGTCATATCCATAATAGTTAAAGAATAAGCGATATTGAAAATATTAATGTTTTTAAATAACATCAAATCATTAAGATCACAAGATTGCAGTTGGAAAGCATTTGTATGTGTTAAGTCTCTCTATATGTAATTGCATTTTAAAGGTGGTGGCATACCAAATGAACTAATACTCCTACAAGTTAAAAGATCGATTCAAAGAACTTTCGATTTTAGTAAATTTCAGCTCATATTTTCCATACGACCGGTTGCGGTTCATCAACTGAAAGACAAAGTGCCTAGGCTAACCACTTTTTAATGCATCTATTAAATCCAACTGTTCCTTTGGAACCTTTCGCGGGCTCGAGAACATCAACTAGTATCGTTAAATTAAAGGTGTGATAAGAGCCATCAACAGTTTGATATTGAAACGACTAGTCTTAATTGACTATAAAGCCATCATTGAGGAATTTTTGTCGATCATCCATTGGGTACGGAATAAACTGTCCAAGACCACTAGATACCTAATGCTCAGAACAGCAGAATCCATAGCAGTTCGCTTAAAACATCCGGAGCTTTGCGAGAAGAAAAACATATTCAGCCTGTTGTGGGACCTATAACTTGATAAATTCTGCAAAAGTTTCCTTAGTTTGTGTGATATTCAGTATAGTGTTATTTATATTCATGCATATTATACTTTTTTGATTGGACACTAGTCAGTAACTAGTGTGATGAGTCTAGTACTATCTTTGGTGCAGACTGGATTCTACCAGTCGAGTTTGCAATGTGGCCACCAAGCTAGGCGGCTCGCCATCACAATGCACTGTGAATTATCGGTTTTAGGTCGGCAGGAAGCCTTGGACCAAGGTTTCGTGCTAGTTGGCACTCATCAGTAAGGCATATGCGCAACCATGAAGGAACTCAGCAGATTAATCGCGAACCTGGATAGTTCAGTGGTAACGTCTCTGACTGCAGCACTCGCTGGGTGACGCGGGTTCGAATCTCAGAATTCCTTCAAGATTGCAGATATGCCTTGCTGACTGGTGAGTGCAAACTAGCACGAAACCCAGGTCAAGCAAGGCTTCCTGTCGATTGCCTCCAAGCATCTAATGATGCATATTCTCACTTAAAGATGCTTTTGAGGTGTTACCTATTAATCTTATTGATTCGGTGTTAGTGTTGTTAATCACAATAATCCTTTAATTATTAATATTATTGTCTAACTGTTGAAACTGATAGGGTTATTCAGAAGAATATTCACATTTATAAATAAGCATTATAGACGACAAAGTCTTCATCACAATAATTTATCTCAATGTAAAAACAGCTTTTAAAATATACAGTTTAATTACCAACATTAACGAGGTACAGGTATATTAATCGTAAGGTGAACCTGTTAGTCAGTCGCACACGTATACGAGAATTTACGCCAGACTAGTTGGCAAGTTTACACACAACAACTGTGTTGTACCCTATTTACAATTTTATATTTTAAATCCATGGTTAAATTTTATTTCAAATAACATGAAATAATTTTTTAAAGATTTTATGCATACTGAATCTACATTACAATTCAGCTGACACTGAGCATCATGGCATCGTAACACTAGTTGAATATAGAACACAGAGGATGTACATGTAACGATTATTACGACGGTAGAACAATCTGTTTATATAAACTGCAGGTGAAACTAATAGTGTTTTTTCTCTCGGTCAGAATGTGTATCACAAATATGCCCAATTGTAGTATATTTAATAATTGTTTGGAAAATGTTTCCTCAACGATCCAACTACAATATGGATACTTAATAAGTCCTTGTGACTTATGATTTCCAATTAAACTGTTTTGTTCTCCGTTATTACTATTCCTTTGTCTCACACCTCTGTTTACTGTCTATATTATGCATTTCTCCTACTTTCTTCTCTTGCTTTGTGTGCTACATGGAGGGAGTGTGGCGACTTGAACTGCCGCACATATGTGCAAAGTTCTCTGTCGAAAACCGACCGACCGACTTATTTGGATGTTTCAACTAACTTTGTGATTATCTTCATTTCACCTAGACTGTATATCAATGTTCTGGCGTGTGCATATCATCTCTTGACTTAACAATCCCTATTATTTGTCTTTGTTGCTGTTTAATCCCTAATTTTAATGCTTCTCATTGTGGTTGTGTGATGATATTGATAAAATGTTGTTGACTGCGATTTTGTCTGAGTGAGTCAAAGTCATTCTAACCTTTGAACTGTCTGTGAGAAGTGTTAACTGCGTGTTTTTTGCAGACAGAATTTCGACCCCACCTTTTCGGGAATATTCTACTTGCTTCTAAGGTACTCTTCTTGCGTTTAAAATTTGGTTAACTAATTTTATTGTACGTACAGTACTTAGTTTGTAAGTGAGAAGGAATTTTATCTGTATAGCTGCCTAACGGCATTGTTGAGGTAATTTTGAGCTTTTGATGTGATTATTGCTAAATAGTACTGGAGATTTTATTGCAAATAACTATCTTTTGGTTGTCTTTACGTCATTCTGCGACTGTGAGCAACTGAAGGGAGTTTTGATTAACTATACAGTAGAACGCCAAGATCAATTTCTTATGTTCAGACCACAGCACATCGGTTTCGGTCTTTAGAGTGTATGTCAACAAACCTACCTCCAACCATACTAATTAGGTGATATATATTAACAGACCTAACACGAATGACTCATATTATTTATCATTGCATGAAGGTTAACACTGAAATAATGGTGTTCCAAGCTGAATACAGAGAATATTTGATTGGTATTTTGATTAACTTCCTGAGGGAGTTCAGAACAAACTGCTGTACAAAGCGTTGGAAGTATATTACTTTGGAGGAAGTGTAATTTATATCTGATTTTACTTAGTTAATTATGGTTAGCGGTAGGATCCAAGAGGTGAATTTCGTCCTTAGAAGCTCGTCATCTGGATGTATCTAAATCTGCAAAGAGACTGGAGTCCAGTACCCGTTTTCTCCATCTTTAGTACAACTTATATCAGTTTTGTGATTTATTAAAGTTATTTTCAATTTCCATTTGATCAACTGAATCGGGATGAAGGTCTCGGTTTCACTTGACATGTCAACGCCTGGTACGGACGCTTCAATAATTCCTTCAGATGAATAGGATGTCACTTAGTTGGTGGTGGCTAGCAGTGAAACCTAGTGGAACTCATCCAATTTATATCTGATATTAATTTCCACTTTGTACTTGTTCAGTCAAATATTGGCCAAAGCATATCTAAATTAAATTTCAAGATTGATCATCAAGTGATTTCAGTTGCAGAAGCACTGATACCAGCCAGTACTGAACAGCTATTTCGTCCTCTCTGTTTGGCACTCTTCAGTAACATGCACCCATGACCAAACTGCAAGGGATTGAACCCAGGATCTTTAGATGAGCTTACGGACCATCCAGCCACTGAGAAGGAATCCACTGGCCTATGAATTCTATCTTCTGTCAATTCGCAATATAGGCGCAACCGCCAGCTAATGACATCGGCGAGTATTTGTCCTCATACCCAACTTAGAAGACTCCACCGGTCACAGTGTCTCACTTGGACATCAGGCAACTTCTTCTTCTAGTCATTCACTAATGACCACCAGATTGATTTTCAAATGGTGGGGGGTCATGGGTGCGTGCTGATGAAGAACACCAAACTAGGACGAAATACTCCTCCAATACTCCCTGGTGGTTTCAATGGTTCTCTGACTGTAGTCAGTTCACGATCAATTATGCAATCAATCAAATGTCTGCAAACTAAAACTTGAAAATTAAATTTATTATTTATATAAAAGATTATTTTATAATTTATGTAAGACTTACTGTTAAAATTTTTGCGTAAATCACTTGACCATGTATTTTTCCATTTAGTATGTTTTCCATTATCTCCATTATAGTTTTGATAACAATTGTTGACATCATTAGCAGCTGTACTATGATGATGATTACTATTATATATCTCATCATCAATGACGTCGCTATCATCTTCATCGTCATCGTCATCATCGCTTCTAACTGAATGATAATGCAGACCGCTTGGATGGTATACATTGTGATAACCTAATGGTGATATTGCTTCAAGTTCAGCAGCTGCACGTGCAGCCTCTGGATGAGCGTATATACTAGCCAATGGTGCAGGATCACTTAAAAACCAATAACGATGATCTACTTGTGAACTAGTACCAGGATCTATTGGTTTCGACCAATAACCAGGACGTTTCAATGTTGCACGTAAACGACGATCATTGGGTAATAGAGATTGCCACAGTAAAAGATCATACATAAGTCTAGAAATATACACACAAAAAAACAAGAAGGTATTCAATGAAACCGGTTTTCTGTTTATTCATTAACACATAATTACTCAAATCATTAAAGTATTAAAGAACAAGAGTTTTTTCTCTTCTTGTCTACAGATTTTAGTGAACCCAAGATGAAATCACTTTCATTTAAAACAATTAGTTCCCTTCATATGATCTGTGATCAAAAATTTGACCGAATAGTTCCAAAATAACTGGGCGCCAAGTGAGAAGTAGACATTTGTAAAATCTTAGAGAAATTGAAATGAGTAGTTTCAACGTTTCGTTCGACAAACTGGTCCGAACTTCATCATGGAAATTAATCACAATTAAAATAACAGAGGTTTGTATATAAAAAAGACATCTCTTGTTAACAAAAGTAGACTGATATTTGTAAATTTGAATAAGGCATTTAGAAGACAAATTTCGCGAGATGACATCATCATTTTGCAGTTTCTTTACAATCGCTTTACAACTAACATAGTTCACAATAATAGTAAAATAAAATGCATGACAATAAATAAAACAAAATAGGTCATGCAGTCCATGGTAAGCAAAGGCTGAAGTCGATTGATTTTTGTAGACATAATTTAGAATTTATTTGATTAATCCAAAATACTTCCATCACCTTTAGTAACCCTAAATTAGAGTTGTGTGATGAAATAATTGTGAAGCAGTCATTAATATTGATTTTGTGACCTGACATTAATAAGTGCTTTGCAATGGATAATGATGGATTTCTATTCAGATTAATTGCATTGGGATTTTCTATGTTTTAATAACCATTTTGGAACATGATCTTTTCGACAACATTGGAACATTCTATTGGTTCTACCTTCATAGGTGTCACCGGAACTGAAGGTGAACTTGTATACACAGTTGGAAGTACACTAATTACATACATTCTAATTTATGTGCACAAAAACAATAGACTTCAACCTTCGCCTACCATGGTCTACTTAACCTACTGAAATATGATTGGCCATTAGTATATACTTTTGTCCTATATAAATGAGTAATGATTTCATTGAATTCTAGATTTTCCCGTCGATTGATTCAACCGAAGTGCTCGGTCTCAGGCTAACATGTCGGCTTCTTGCGCAGATGCTTCGACGATCTCTGGGCATGTAATTAGAATTTAATTGGTGGATGGTGACCAGCACTGGAATCCAGGATGCGAATTTCGTCCTATCTTGGACTCGTCATCTGGGTGTGAAATAATTAATATGACCCGTTGCACAAAAGGTGACTGCTCTCGTGACCCAAGTGGTCTAATGGGTAACGCTTTGGCGTCTGAAACTATGGGCACTGTGTTCAGGCTTCGGTGGGAATATCATCACTCACGCACTGGGGAATGCAGGCACATCAGGATGACGAGTTACAAATAGGACGACATTCGCATTATCCTGGATTTCACTGCTAGTCACCATCCACCAATTAAATTCTAACTGAGTAATTGTCATGCTTTTTATTTTATTATTATTGTGAACCATGTTAGTTGTAAAGCAGTTGTAAAGAAACTATGAAATGATGATGTCATCTCGCGAAATTTGTCTTCTAAATGCCTTATTCAAATTTACAAATATCAGTCTACTTTTGTTAACAAGAGATGTCTTTTTTATATACAAACCTCTGTTATTTTAATTGTGATTAATTTCCATGGTGAAGTTCGGACCAGTTTGTCGGACGAAACGTTGGAATTACTTATTTCAATTTCAGAGATTTTACAAATATCATTTTTATAAATTAGTTCCCTTTACGAATTTAGACAAAGCAATACGTAACCAAAATTTGTCTGAATCGTCTTGTTATGTATTTGTGCAACACATTTTGAACAATCTGATCACACACGGACTTGTCATAGGAACAATATATTTGAAAAAAAATAAAAAGGTTAAGAGGTGAGAAAATAAATTTAGGTCAAGTTAAAAGGACATAGCTGAAGGTCAAAAGAACAATGCAGATCACTAAACCAAATAACAGAGGTAATAGTACATCTACCCTGGCTGGTATGAAAACAAAGTTTACCAAGGAAGATCTAGTGAGACGACGAATAGTTTTTTATGAACACATAAAGGTGGTTTAAACTTCTTAATTGCTAGCTAGGGCTTCCACAAACTTTAGGATGCGCCCCAAACACGTGTTATGGATAGATCAAGAAGTCTACATCTCTCTGCGTGAATGGCTGGTTTAAACTAACTGTTGTGGATTTCATTGACTGATGAAGCAACGTTTTGGTTTGACAACGACTACCTCTTTTCCAACCTCATCTATCCTAAGTCAGCTAACATTACCCGTTGTCGAGGAAGTCGATGGCTAGGCTAGGCATGCGTAACACATGTTCTAATCATCTCAGTCGATGCAGCTGTTTCACAACCTCGTCGATTGATTTCCCCTCCTTACCTAGAACTCCACTGATGCCTTACCTCAATATTACTCACCTTATTATACCACGTAACACGGAAGGCAGAACGCAGACACCTATAATCAAAGACAGCTAGCTGACCTTTTCATGTCTTCCACTTTCAGTGATCAGGTCTCACAGCCATAAAGGAGAATGAAACGAACTACTGAGCAGTACACACGCCCTTCAATTGACAGCCAGCTGGATATCACGTCCACGCCAGAGACGGTGTAAACTGGCATATGCGAAACGAGCCTTCTGTATCCGTGTTGAGATTTCGTCAGCGACCAACAAGCTTATCACTACTAGATAGGTAAATTTCTGTATTGTATTAAAATTGCTGGATATATATACATATAATTTAGAGTGGGACCATAAATGAGGATGTAATTGCAGAGTAAATATATCTTCATCTAATAGTTTCGTTTCCTATTACAACACTAATAGTCTACCAATCTGAGGCCATAATCATCTCAGATCGTTTCAACATCGCAGAAACGAAATTTAGTAGTATAATATGTGTCAATGTTGGTGAATATTGAATAGTTTGTTTATTCGAACTGGTCTCCACTGACGGATGATAAGAAGGCTTTAATTGCTCAATAGTGTACTGGTTGGCAGAAGATTGGAAAAATAGGCTTAGAAGTATTGTTGCATATTATATTAACGTTTATTTTCAGGCTTTGGCGCTGATTAATCATTGAAAATCACTGAAAGTTATCATTGAAAATCTGTTTGGTTATCGCCAAAGCCAAGTAATCCACAACTGGAAACTCACGAAATCCTTCGAAGTGAAAACGGGAGTAAGAAAAGGCTGGCTGCCTATTATCTTCAGTGATATTCCTGATTGCGGTAGACTGGATAATGCGACAGACAGCCGACCGGGCAGCGAGGAAACATGTAAAAAATGGACCCCCACAAAAAACTTAGAGGATCTGGATTTCACCAATGATATATGTCTGATTTCCCATAAACTGGAAGATATGCAAATGGAAAGCAACAAGTTGACAGAGGAAGCATCGAAGATAGGACTCCAGGTGAACACAGAGAAAACAGAGGTGATGAAGATTCCTGGACAGCAACAACAACAACAGACAACAATCAGCATAAATGGGAGAAATTTGAAAGAAGCAACCTCATTTACCTACCAATCTGGAAAGCATCGTTTCAACTACAGGCGAGAATATCAAAGCGAGGATCGGGAAAGCAAGACAGGCTTTTATTTCTCTCAAGTCTGCTTGGAGGTCAACAGCACTCAGCATGAAAAATGAGATCCAGATTTTCAACTCCAGTGTGAAGTCAGTGCTACTTTATGGATCAGAGACATAGCGCGTCATGAAGAGCACTTCGAACAAACTATAGACCTTCATCAAAAGCTGTCTTCACTCAATACTCAACAACAGATGGCCAGAAAAGATCAGCAATAGTGGGGGATCTCCGGGAGCCAACCAAACCAGCAGGGACCGATTGGGCAACAAATCTGCAGGAAGAAATGGAGATGGATTGGCTATGCTATGAGAAAACAAGCCATTAAGTGACGTCACACACCGGGCCATCGTTCGAGTGGAATCCGAATGGAAAGCGGTGAGTTGGTCGTCAGTATAACGGTGACATGGAGAAGGTCATGTGAAGAGGAGATGAAATCATGTGGGCAGATATGGAGCCAGGTGAAAACGTTGGCAGAGAACCCAACACAATGGAGACGCGCGGCTGTAGCCCTATGCTTCTCTAAGAATTAAAGGGAACAATATAATATAATAATATCGCTTGAAGAATGAACAATCGTGTTGTCCAACCGTTTTCTGTTGTTTTTTGACGGTTGCAATGCATAGTATTCTGCGTATTAGGCTTTGTCTCCTGAAACCAGGGATAGGTTCAAGATCTCTGCGATCTGGATATTTGACAACATGTATGTATATTCTCAAGATAAATAACTGACTAAAACAAATGGGAAAAACACAAACAAAACAAAAAAACTAACCGTAAACAAAGTATTTCTACAGTTTGCTTATTTTCAATAGTAATTTCAGCTATAGGCACTTTGATATGTACAAAGAGATGAGTATGCATGCTAGCCGACTGACGATAAGAAGACATATGTGCTTTGTTTCCAGGATAATAAGTAATCTAAATAATTGAAAAGAAAGAGAAATATAAAGAAAAATTATGACAGAAATCTCTTTCTAGACTGTTAAACTGCACGGTGACTTTCGCTGATTATCGTGCGATATTGCAGTAGTTTTAGGCTGTTTTTGTTTCAGCTTGTCCAGTTGGTGAGACCAGTGGTTAAACAATGATCGAGAAACCTGACCAACTTTACAGTTCTAGAGAGATTTCAAATTAGGGTGAAAAGTTTTGCTATTTTTATTGCTTATTGTATTGTGTTCTCTGACTGACTTTTAACAAAGAACTTTACACAGAAGTGCAATAGTGTGGCGTGTGCTACTGATATGATTTATTAGTAGTATGTATATAAAGAGACGTTCATCGGCATAAAGTACATCAAATAGCAGGGAGATAGATAGATTCGATGTCAGAGAAAGCGAATGATACAACGTTGCGGAGATACATGGGAGAAGTGAAAGGAACACAAAGAAACACAATATGAAGGAAGGCCAGAAGTAGCACAACACGAAGGATCTGTGCAAATGGTTCTTTGAAGATAAGGTGTACATAATTTGGCCATATAGAGATACCGAACAATCCTCTACGAAGTCTTTCATCTTCTACCGTTACAATAGTTCAAGTTGTCACACTCCATGTCATATACAAAGGTAAAGAAATCAAACGAAGAAGAAATTCAAAAGGAATTATAATGGGCAGAAATATGCGGATAAAAGAACAGTAGCACGAAAAAAAATGACGACTCAATGGATCTTGGAAATTGAAAAGGGTGAATGTATCTGTGACACTGAAAACAGCTTTAAGCAATATCGCTATACGCTCAAACCATTGATTCTTAAAATCCTGGGGACATTAACAGGACAAGTCCACGCCTCCCTATATATATGGTGGCTTCAACCAACAGTCAAAGACTTCATAGATAGTATGATCATTCCTCACTTTTTTGTAATCTAATCCTATTTCAGCTAACACTGCTCGTCGACGAAGGCTGTAGCTCGGAATAAGCAAAACCGATCCTAGATATCTCAGTCGATGTAGCTTAGTTACCTACCGCATCGATTGACTTGCCCTCCTTCCCTAACAATTCTACACCAAACCTCAATATTACTTACTACATTATACCATTTAGCGTGGAAGATAGAAAGTAAACAGTCATGATCAAAGACAGCTAGCCTTGTCATATCTCTTTTACTTTTGTGATCTCTACTCCAAGTTGGATAGTTTTGATTGAGAAGCTTTCCCTATCCATCTGAGAAACATTTTCAGGCCTAATTTCAATCGAATACAATGAACTATTATCTCACTTTTGAATAAAGCAAGAACAAGAGTTTTGCAGAATAAAATGATACCATCATTGCTTATTTCGTTGGCTTCTCACCATCTAATTACAGGCCAAAGTCATGATTAAATATCCAGTTACCGGGGCAAAGAAAGACTGATAACTGTTTCTTTCTGAACGCATAAATCAGTTTTCAGGCGCTTGATGGAGATAGCTTCAGCAAACTTAAAGAGAATTGAACTCCTTTGTCTATTGATAATTTTGAACGATCTTGCGACATCCACCTCATGACCCGTGTCAAGGAGATGCCTGGCAATGGCACTGTTTAAAGCATTTGTTCCCTTTAGACACAAGCTTTTTGGTACATGTTCAGAAAATCGTAGATATGCCCTTCTTTCTGTTCTCGCAATGTAACTGCTCCCGCAGATACATGTAAATTTGTATATACAGTTGGAGTTGACATGAGAAGGATATCTATCGATTTTTGATTGCACCAAAGAGCAAGTTGTTCGATAGACGGGAACGAGCTTAGCTGCAGGATAGGCTCTGGCTAGTGATGTACTCAGTCTTCTGTTGATCATTGCTGCAATGTTTTCACCTTTATAATCAAGTTGAATGTAGCTTGGCTATTTCTCCACTGTGATTTATTTGACATTTGAGACTTCAGATCTTCCGTACTTGTTAATAAATCTTTGAGGGTAACCATTGCTCTTCAACATCTTTTCAAGAAACACAAATTCTTCCTCTAATTTCTCTATAGAGCATAATCTCCTAGCTCTGTAGTACAAAGTCTTGACAAATTCACATTTAAAGCTATTTGGACAAAAATGTAAGTATTGTCCTTTCCAAGTAGGCTTTAATATTCGTACAAATACACACACGTGTGATAGATACACCACTGGTGACTGATAAAAAAACGCCTGAACCTTACGATGCTTGACAAAATGACAATAACAGAGAACATCAATCCTCTTGGTGCAACGACCACATAAGATAGAATTGATTACCTACGATAGACTACTAAAAATATATAGTTAAATGACTATCATGTATTTGATATACAGTTGTAATACTTTTATCATCTGAATTTTACTATTTCAAGTGAAATCATGTGTTCTAGCATGAGTAATTTAAAAGGCTTCATTCAACTGTCTGAATTTCTGCATGTCTGATTTATTTTTAAAGTGATTACAGTAATATATACATAGAAATATGAGAAGAAAATGGTAGACCAGTGACGTAATATTATGACGGCAATTATAAGACACAATCTTTAAATGTCAGAAAAAGTTTAAACACTGATTAACAGAAGAATTATTTGTAAAATAATATCAGGGGATGAATCACCATAGTTGTTCATAGCATTTCTCATGAATAACAATAATAATAATAATAAACATAAGAGCTTTATTCTGAACAATACATTTACAAGCAGTATAGAATTTTTAGCACACTTTGTGGTGAGAGCTGGTTGCTAGCCAAAGTTGGTAAACAGTAATTGACGTCAATGTTTATGTCCCCAATATTGGTGGTGAGAAAATGAGAACAAAGACTGACTCAACAACCAATCACAGCAGACTCTGCGTAGGCGGATACCATTTACAGATAGATAATTTGAACTTCAAGAAACGGCCACAAAGAGATGAAAGATGTTAATCTTTCAACGAGAAACCAATCAGAAGACTGTGTTTGTTTGCTTACAATAATCTATTGTAATGTACATAAAAATCTATAAATATCTGTTGATCTTCCTAATAAACGATCTGTTGCCTGGCCTTTGTCTTCTGTTGTTACAACTTCATCTACTCCTTCTGTAGAATCTTCATGTAAAACATTAATCTATAGTAAAATGCTTCTACAGAATATTGTTCATTCTGAAATATGTAGCAACCTGCGAGAATTTTTTCCCTTCAAAAAGTACTCAGCAATATGTTGTAAGAAATTCGGAAATGTATGTGAGCACAGACAGCTCTTCAAACCCATAACTAGATACTTTAAACAAAGTGAAAACAAAGCAACATGTGTCGTGGGAAATTAGGTAACTGAATGATTTAAGCTGGCTGCTAGCTGATCATCAAATAGCATTAACTAAGTCAAGCTGGCTGTGAGACATGGCCAATGAAAGTGGAAGACATGAAAAAGCCAGCTAGCTATCTTTAATCATAGGTGTCTGCGTTCTGCCTTCCGTATTAGGTGGTATAATCAGGTAATAAATATTGAGGTAAGGCATCAGTGGAGTGCTAGGTAAGGAGGGGAAATCAATCGACGAGGTTGTGAAACAGCTGCATCGATTGAGATGATTAGGACATGTGTTACGTATGCCTAGCCTAGTCCATCGCCTTTTTTGACAGGCAATGTTAGCTGACTGACATATGATCAGGTTGGAAAAGAAAAAGCTAGTGGTGGTCGAACTAAAACACGGCTTCATCAGTCAATGAAATCCACAACAGTTAGTTTAAACCAACCAGTCACGTAGGGAGGTGTAGACTTCCTGACTGGTTGGGGTCCCCAGGATGGTAAAAACCAATGAAGGTTGGAAACGATTGGTGATGTGGCTGGAGTAGATGCATCCACTCCTTGTAACTTATAATATCCAATAAAACTATATTGTCCTTCCATATTACCATTTTGTTCCTTTCCCAAATATGTTTATTATCTGTCTATACTCATTACTCTTGCTTTGTGTGCTATATGGGGGATGGTGACTCGAACTACTGCACATCAGTGCAAAGTTCTATGTTGAAACCAGTCAGTCAGTCAATAACTACGTCATTTTTAACTAACAAGACCAAATACCTGCTTTCTATTCAGTATAACATAGGGTGAATAGATTAAACAAACTAATCTAACTATTGTCTTTTCATAGTGCATACATGTAGTTCCATAACATGCTGCGAATCCTATATAATAGATGAAAAGAACTGAAGTAATATCCGCTCGATATTTTTCTGATAATCACATCCTTCAAGGCACTATTCAATAAGTAAACAGTTCACACTTCAAGGATACACTTGAGTAACTCTAAGCATTTTAAGTGAAACAGTGTTAATGATAAATCAGTGTAATACTTCACATAGCCACGTATCTGTCAGTTAGCTAACTTCCAAAAGGCAAATATAAAGAAAGGGGGAACAGATATGTAGCAATACTGAACAATGCATTTATAGACAGTAGAGAATTTTCAATGTGCTTTTATCAACTCCTTTTATAGAATCTTCAAATACAATGGTAGTCTATAGTATACTGTTTGATAGAATATTGTCCGATCTGAAACAAACTGTAATCGTGTCCCCTGAAAACATACCCAGAGGTATTTTGAAAGCCAGTCAAAGATAAACATGAGTAAAGATAACTCAAAGATGTAATTAGAAGGTTAGAACAAAGTGAAATTGAGTAAACTGATACCGGGTTGACTGAATTTCAACACAGAACTTTGCACAGAAGTGTACCAGTTCAGGTTGCCACACAAAGGCAGACAAAATAGGGATTGAAAATTACTATAATAAGCAAAAATGTACATGAGAAGGAATAGTGTAGCATAATAAGAGAAGAGGGTTCAATGGATGTGAAAGATAACAAAGAGTGCACGCATCTGTCCCATTGAGAACGATTTTGAGCCATACTGCCAATATTCTCTAGCCATTGATTCTCAGCATGCTGATAACCCTATTTAGGCAGTCTGCATTTCCCTACATGGCTTAAACAAACAACCAAAAACTTAGTGGATTGATAGCAGCCTTTGATTTGACCAACCCAAACTCTTTTCCAACATAATCTTGTGTCACTTAACATTGCTTATCGACGAAGGCGGTAGCTCGAAACACCTATCACATGGTTCTAGCCATCTCAATCGATGTAGTTTCAAAAAACCTCATCGATTGACTTCACTTCCTAACCTAAAACTCTACGCATAACCTGAATATTACTCATCATATTGAAGTATTTACCACGAGAGAAAGAACGCCAACATCTGCGCTCAAAGACAACTATTTAGCCTCTTCATATCTTCAACTTTCAATGGCCATATCTCACAACCATAAAATGATGACAAGCTGAACTGATGTGTAGTACACATATTCTTTATCTCTTCAAAGACGTGACTAGATGGTTAAACCAAGGTGAAATTGACGAAATCTCGATGCATTAATGCATGATACAGTACAAACATACAAAAGTAAGGAATAATAACATCGTGTAGATAGATAATACGCCTACCTGTTTCGAATGAGGTTTAGGCGCATCTTGAACAAAATTTCTTCGTATAACTAATGGAATAAAACAATTTTGTCTAGGATTAGCTTGATTCCATAAAGACCATTCAACTGACTGTTCATAAGATTGTCCAGAGGATAAATTATTGTTGTTGTTGTTGTTAGTATTATTATTATTGTATTCATTCTGTGCAGCCAAATCAACGCCTACTTCAAAATGTATAGGTTGTTGTTCTCTATTTGTAGCAGAAGTAGTAGTAGTAGTACTATCGTCAAAATCTTTACTCATTGGATTTTCATTGATACATTCAACAAGATCAGTTCTTCCACTTGGAGCAATACGTATACATATTCTGAAAATGAAAGATTTAATATGATTATTGAATTATGCAATTAAAACAAAAGCTAAAAGGAATAGTTACCAATGTAGATTATGATCTTATAACACAATCCTCCAGTAATGCAAAATCAGCAACTTTCAAAAAGTCAAAAAATAGTCAAATCAAAAAGTTCGACAAATTATTAGAAGAGAAATCTTCATCTCAGAAGGATGAAGTCAACAATCCAAAGTCAACGGCGATCGATAAATCAAAGTGGGTTATCAATCTCTCAACACATATATTAAGTCCTACGGAAATAAGTGTATTGGAAAAGGGACTAAATTTCAATGTATCAGTAGACAAGCTGAAACCTGAGGATGTCATCCCTAAAATAGAAATAGCACTAAGTGGGATAGACAAAACCACGGCTGATGAAATACGAGCACAGTGTGCACTGACATTAAAACGACAAAAATGTGGAAAACCCAACCTGACAAAACAAAAAATTATTGAATTAAGCTGAATTATCATTACAGAACTTTGCACATAATACTGCATCAATTCCAATGGTTACTCACAGTTCAAAGAGGTACACACAAATATAGTGAAAGGATATGTAGTAACACCACAATTGACTAAGACATACAGGAGATAGGATACTGTTACCTTGGAGTGACTACATCTGCCTTATTACAGACGATTTTTAGGCATGTCCATCACACTACCGTTCCTAAACCATTGACTCTCAGTAATGCTGATAAATCTAGTTACGCTATCTGCACCTCTCAATGTGACTCGAATAAACCTTTAATGACTTCATGGATAGGCGCCATATTTTGATCAATTTCCCTGCTGGTTGGACATTAGGAACTTATATTGAATAAAATTTGTAAAGAATAGCCGCACGAAAATCTTAGTTTACAGGTTTGATTAGTAGTTGACATCAGTTAGAGAACCACTGGAAAACCTGGTGTAACAACAGAAGACAAGGGCCAGGCAACAGATCGTTTATTAAGGAAAATCAACACATATTTATAGATTTTAATGTACATTATTGTAGATTATTGTTAGTAGAAAATGCAGTCTTTTGATTGGTTGTTTCTCACAGAAAGTTAACCTTGCATCTCTTTGTGGCTGTGTCAGATCATCCATATGCTAACTGTATCCGCCTACGCAAAGCCTTTGTTCTCATTTTCTCACCACCAATATTTGGGACATAAACATTGACGTCAATAACTGTCTACCAACTTTGGCTAGCAGCCAGTTCTCACCACACTGGGAGTAATGGAAAGCTGTTTCGTCCTGGTTTGGGGCCTTTCATCAGTACATACCCACCAGAGTTCGGACTCAGGACCTTTCTGTTACGAGGTGTAGACCATTCGGCCAATGGGACCCAATTGCAGGTTGCATACTAATGAAGAGTCCAAAGCTAGGACGAGATAGCTGTCCAGTGCTTGCAGGTTTCTCTCTAACTCATGATCACACATACGAACGATCAAATCCCTGCACACCAACACTCAAATCTTAATTTAAGTTAAAACAACCATTAGTTGGTTTCAGTTAAGTCAAGATCTATGTTTATTAATCAAATATTTTGGGTAAATAATTTAAACTCCTTGACACACAAATAAATATCCTCATGTATTGAGGCAGAGGAGAAAATAAACATCGTGATATATAGGCATGATATGTAGACTGGATAAATAAAGGCTTTAAGCAATGCGGAAAAATCATTCAATTTCTAAGCGATATATATTCGAACGATAGATTCATTGAAATAATGTAGATCTCACCACCTAGCGATATGAGTTAGCAAATATTTGAAAAACAACGAGGACTAGTGAAGTTGAAGGGGGGTTCCTGATAAAGAGTTCCCAAATGCTCAGTGCTCCATGACTTCTACAGGTGTGATATCACTCAATGACGGAATCTACACTGAAAGTAATCGAAAATCCTAAAGAAATGAAGAATGAGTGAATTGAGTATTTCTAGCTCCAGGTAGTTAATACATCTTTGCAGTGGCCCATCATCTAACTTAAAACTAGTCAAATCCCTGTTGGCTGAACACAACAAGATGAAATTGCCTCAAGTTCTACTGAGAATTTATGATCAATGGGGACCTACAGGTCAAGTGTAAGGATAAAAACGTCCCGACGACATTGGCAGGTAGTGACGGAAGTAAGAACTCATGGGCCATTGGACTTTATCCCAATGTCTGAAAGGTCCTTTCTGGGTTCGGTCATGGGTGCGTGCTACTGAAGAGTTTCGAGATGGGACAAAACAACCGTCCATTACACCATGGTTTCCAGTGATTTTCTAACTAAAGTCAATTCATGATACTAACTTGCAACAAATTATTTATATACAAAAAGGCTGATAATTTGTGAGTCTCATATATTATTTGAGTCAGTCAAGTCAGCGTTTATAAAGCACAGGAACATAGAGAGAAAAGACGACAATGCTAACTAAGAGAAAGGCTCATTTTTCACACTAGTTGCACAATTTTAACGATTTAGGATTTAAATAGAAATAGATGAAGAAGAGCAAACGTATACTTTGAAGTACTGTTCAAGCGTTCGGAAGATTTCTCTTAATTCCAATTACATAATACATCCGGAGTAATTAAGTGGAGAAAAAAAATAAACGATAGATTAGATTAATATTTGTTAAATATGATACCACTTCCTAATATTTGACTGAATCCATGGAAATAAGCTATGCCTAGTTATCAATGAAAGAGTTTAATTAGTAATAGAAATATCTGACTAAAGGATCGGTGCACATTCATAGAGAGGATATTTTTGAGATGATGTGTTATTACGGACGAACTTCATTTTAAGCCGTGAAGTCATGATTTATGCACTTACTGATGTCATAACAGTTATTAGACAGTTTCGATTCCTTAGGACATCTAATAAAGGTGGTCGTTTTCCCAGTCTGACTTTTGTATCTATCTCAGTGGGGGGTGGTGTGGCAATTTTCAGTGATCACTTGGTCATTATGTCGTATTTTGGAAGCACAAGTTCTAGACAAGTTAGACAAACCCAATCACCCAGTCATAACAAAAGGGAATTAAAGACGAAGAAAAAAACAGGAACAAATCGAGTTAGACATCCGTAGAATCTAATATCAACGGGAATATGCAGAGAGCAGTTGTTTGACCCCATTTATCCAATACAGATCTTGCAAATATTGAACTAAGAGTTGAATTTATCCAGTAAGGACTGGCGATACTATTCAGTTGCTAAACCTGAAGTATGTAGAGCAGGAATCGAACCCATGAGCCAACTGACTGAAAACCAAGTGCTTAAGCCAACGAGTCATATTTTCACAATTACACAACAAACTCGCTAACTGTACAGTTTATAACCAAAAGAAATAATATAAATACATTTTACTTAAGGTAGATAGAACAAAACAGAGGAACTCACTTGATTGGTTCAGGAAAAGGACTGATTTTCGAAGCAAAGTATACAATGGGAATCGACTGCATCCTTTTGTTATCATCATCACTAACCAAATGTACTACAATACGAAGGAATTATGATTTACAAAAGAAAAAAAAGGTTAGGTTACACAAGAGGAGGTGTAAAAGTCAAAAGATGACAAAAGAATTGAGAACTTATCACATAGTATAAAGGGATTAATCATTTTATATTAAATTCGCATTTTGCAAATCAGATTCGTCATCTGAAATTTATACAGTTTGAGGCGATAAGTAATCCTTTGGATACCAACATTACTCAAATCACAGTATGCGATCTGGTTGATACCCTTCATGGCAATCAAGAAAGCAAGAATAATTGCACAAAGGTATATAACCAGGGATTGATTAAGATGTGTAGTTGGGTGCTACTCAAATCAGTCAGTACTGCTGGCTTGCTAGCTAGACCAAAGATAGATATAAACACCGGACGGTCGTTTCTAATTAATTACAGACCAAAGTTTATAATTAATGGCTTTGGAAAGCCTACGCTCAGATTCAACCAGAAAGTGCCACTGGACGACGAGTTTAGTTTCAAATCTTACTGATACCAATCAGAAATATGTAATATTATGTCTTTTAAATTTGTGAAACATACATTTATATCTGGAAAATTTTTCTAACTTCAATGTCAGTTTCATAGATTGCTATTTTAACACTTTTATTTTTAGATGATGAGTTTTTGTAGGGATTTGGATCAATATCAATGAAGCTTTCTTCACGAAGTTAGAACTCACGGGTCAGTGAGCTCCGGCTCAAGTGGCTGGATGGTCAACTAGCTTTGTGTCATGACCTGAAGGTTCCTGACTCGACCCCTAGTGGACTCGCGGGTACGCACCAACGAAGAGTCCGAAAATAGGACGAAACAGCTATCTAGTGCTCGGTAGTTTTCTGTGATGTCTAACTGGTTTTAATTCTTCACGAAACATATAAATTAATCCAAATCTCTACAAAAGCTCATTAATCTAAATATTTATCTCGAGCTTATTGGCGACTACTGGATGGATGTCGTGAAACTGAAGTCGGAACCAGTGGGATTCACCATGTCAAGGTGGAGTGGATGCTCAATGAATTCATCAGTTGGGGACAGAGCTTTTTCGCTTTTCGTTATCTTTCTTAAGCTATGAATTCAAATATTTTCTTAATATACATGAATAAATGCAGGACTACATGTTGGTTGGGTTAGGTGTTTTCGCAAGAAAGCCAAACACTTCAAAGTATGATGTAATCTTACTTTACATCACGATAACAAAACGACAAATTCAAGCTGCATGTAAAACATGCACAACAACAAAATTAGAAGGAAAAATTGAACAAAGAAGATCCTTTTCGATAATTTCCTCTTCTGGCTCTACAATTATATATATATATATATATATATATATATATATATATATAGAATATTCTGGAATAAACGTCATTAACAATATCGGTGTTTTATATATTATCGATTTGCTAAGTAAGATCAATGAAAGACGCTCAAGTTATAATAATCATAAAAATGTAATGGCAAATAGGATATCAAATAGAATTAAGGAAATCTCTACAACAAATTAATGATCATTAAAACCTTGATGATCAAGGTAAGGACAATGTCTGAACCAACGTCTTTTGGACACATATGTTAGGTTTCTTAATGTGGATCTCAACGGCCTCAGCAATATGTAGTAGACGAACTCTTAAGGTATGCGGTAGATGACTTTGAAAGCCTCGTTAACATCAATCTTGTGTTATGTATCCACGAGGTGAGATAGAATATAGCTATGCTGGAATGGACTTTGTTTATCCCCTGCTTAATGACGCAGAATGATGTTCGGAAATCCGGCGTTAAACATGCCTAATTGTACGGCCCACGGAGCTGGCTCCAGAGGGGCAGTCAAACTGGTAGATACACATAGATTTTAACAAATCGATATTATTTTAAAAATCAACAATGTTGTTAGTGACGATTATTCTAGAATATTCTGTATGTATAAATATGTATATAGATATAATTGTAGAGCCATAAGGGGAAATTATCGAAAAGGATATCCTTTGCTCAATTTTTTTCTAAATGTGTTTCAAACAAGAAGTTCTGGGGTCAGATTTCATCTTATGAACTTGAAGCCTGTGTAACTGTGTAGATAGCGATTACAAGTCATTGTTAAAACAATGAATCTCACTCATAATTAGATATAAGGAGAAACAATTCAGGGAAGAAACTTTCTTCGGGCGAATTCATTTAATTGGTTGTACATCTCCGAATACAAATCTTAATCAGGAGATAGTAAAACTGCAATGAGAGGTTCATAATGAAATAACGAATATGTGAAATGAAACGTTCAGATGCTGTTCCTACTGTGGCCAAACTTGGATTGATGATTTTTCTCACCAAGAGTGCTCCTTCCTCTTAACCCTCTTGGTTTTTTTTCTTTGCTTATTATTACAAATATTTTTATTATTCGACAAATCTTAATGTAGGTGCAAAGAATGTTCTTTTCATCAGGGCATTTGATATTATTTTCCTTAATACATATCTACCAGTTCACTTACTCCTATGGAGCGAGATATCTGGAAGAGCCAAGGAACATTATTCTGCATAGCTACAGAAAGCTCACAATGGGTCAATATAGAATGTACTATAACTGAGAGCATATTTGACACCGGTGGCTTACTATCTAAAGAATAATCAGTCACAGTTACCTACAAAGTGAAAAAAGCCTCTTCAAAATGTAACTTTTTCATATACATCGTATTACTAAAACCTTAGCCATTCGGATGGAAAACCCGAATCTATACACACAGAAAAAGCCTCTCCACTCTCTCCTACCAGCTTGAGTATAATTGTAAACTCAATTGTTATTTTTGTTTTGTAAATAATTGCCTTTTTACGCATTTCTGGTATGATATTTTAACTAGCCTTCTTTCCACTCTGTTCACCCTGTTGCATAACATATGTAGATACTTGTCTCTATACTCTTACCTCAAAACTTGACATTTTCGAGATGTCTTTTTCAATATTACCCACTGTAACTTCCCTTCATGGATATAATATTCCAGATTAGCTTATTTTTATGTTATGATTGACAAAAAGGAATGTACACACAGATACAAAGATAATTATACGCATATCGGTTTTGGTGAACATTGAATCATTTGTTTATTCGAACTGGTCTGCAATTTAGCGGGAGACAAGAAGGCTATCGTTGCTTAATTGTATACTGGTTGGTAAAAGATTGGAGAAATTTGACCAGAAGTACTACTGTACATTACATTGACGTTTATTTGCAAACTCTGAACTTGGTAATAAATTGTAATTCTGTTTTTTTGTCGGTGAAAGAATAAACAATCGTATTACTCTACCGTTTTCTGTTGTTCCGAGTCGGTCACCACGCATAGTATTAGGCTAAGTTTTCTGAAACCAGGGATAGGTCCAGGATCTTTGCGATCTGGATATTTGACAATATATATTTGCAGTTGTATAGCTAAGTGGATGAATTTGCGAGAGTACCTTTGGAGAACTGCCCGTTCTTATTTTCACGTTTGGATGGATATTTTCCACTCATAATTAAAGGAATATACACCATATGGTATATCACCACATATCTTACAGAGCAAAAGTACTGAAAGTCTTAGGTATAATGGATTTAGATATGCAGCTAACCAGTCCCGGGTTCGAACCCCATTCCACCTACTTTAGTCTGGCCCTTACACAATAAATGCGGCTAGCAGCCGCATAACCGAATTCTGACAACAATAACAATAGGTATAATAAAATCATTAAGATAATAAACATGCATGTAATGTTCATGTCGATTGACTTACTTGAAATAGAGTTAACAAGTAACTCTAATTCTTGTTCATTTCCCCCACTATTCTTATGATTTGTACCAATAGATGAAGGAAGTTTAGACTTCGGAAGACTACCGCCTTGTAAAGGATCGTTACTTTCATAGTGTGATTTCAAGGTGACATTTTTACAATTATTATTCAATGTTAAACGAATCTTTTTCATAAAAACATTAAGATATTCTTTACGTAGTGTTCTGCGCCACCATGATATATTCTGTATAGAATTTGACTGATCCACATTATGAAGATCACCAGTACCCCATAGTTTTGAACGTATTTCTGTAATTTTTTGACCACAATCCTTTATTTTTTTAAAAAAAAAAAGTTAAGGAAAACAACAAATAGTTTATGTCTATGCAAAATGTGAATTAGTTGAATCGTAGTTTCACAAAAGTGTGTCTTAGCCAATAGATTATTAGTATGAATCTCGCTTCAATTATCCAATTTCTATCGTCCAAACTGGTCTCAGTTTCTTTTAACGAAAGCTATCTAAGATAGACTTCACAAGGTGACTTGAAGTATAAACTTAGAGTCATCGCTTGCTTAAATATGTAATTTCCACTAGTTGACTGATTATAATTTATCGAATTGTAATATGTGCTCTAAAAGTGGATGGAGCTTTAATTAGATATTAATGGTCAGATAATGGCTTTGGAGTGGAATCTGGCAACGCGAATTTTGTCTTTGTGTTACACTTGCCAACTGAATAAATCTGGACTGCAAATTATTCTTATTATACGAACATATGTCTCATTCTCTTAAGAACTTGACTTTCAGATGACGGGCCCCAGGTTCGAATCCCGTTCTAACCTACTTTAACTTAGGGAAACTGACTAGTATCATCAACACTTATGTAATAAAAGTGATACATTACTACAAGTATTACTATTAAAAACACAAAATCGGCACACTATGGGCATCAGGAGATGCACCACACAACACTATGTAGAGATGAGGGATGTCATCCAGAAGACAAGTAAGCATACTTGTCAAGATCATTCAGCATTCGTCACTTCATGTCGGTTTCAGAAAGGGAAGAAAGAAGGAAACTGTAGCATATTTGCCATTGACTGCGATTTTCAGCTATATCTGACAACGTCTCACATCATCGATTTGAATCACTTCTCGGATTTCAACCTCAGGGAGTCGTGATGTACCAACGGATGCTAATCTAGTACAGATACCCTCCATCCCACAGCTCCAAGTCATAGGTTGATCACCTGTCTGCTTTTTTCATCCAGTCCCAGTTCTATTATTATTTTCATTATTATTATAGCTTGACTCCACACAGTATTTTTGATACAAGTATGGAATTTTCAGCATGTGATATCCGTAGCCCAAAATTAGCAGACCAACCATTGATTCCAAGTGTGCGTCGGCCAAGGATCGAACCCTGGAGCATGTGCATGGTCGACGAGCGTCCTAACCACTGTGTCACCGACGCACAATGAGAAGTATGACAGCCTCTGGGATAATATTCGCTGCACATATCTAAGTCACAGAGGTCGGTGTCTCAAGATGAACACACTCAATGAAAGCTGACATCCACCATGTCCAAAAGCACATTGTCAAACCTCAAAATTACTCTAGCGATGAACTCATCGGACGCAAGCGATTCTGCAGAGACAGCGATGGTAAAATACACAGAGTTGCCCACACACTTTCAGCTCGAAGTGGCTAGGTTTCAGGGGAGTATAGTGCGACTGCGCGCACCGATACATCGTAAGCCCGACCTTTGACAGCCAGGCTGAGATCCCAACGACACCACAGTTGTGGCCAGATAACAGATTTCTACCTAACTACCTTATAAGCGAATGGATTGAGATAGTCTTAGTGGAAACAACATCCCTTAGTCACTCGTTGATATGTGCTCGGATAGAGCTGATAAGTTCAAGACATACTTCAATGTACATCATTGATAGGCACGGAGAAATATGTGTTATTATCACCTCTAAGTACTGACAAATTTTGATTGATTCGATCAAATTAACACACAAAGAACAGCAAGCATTAAGAATATACCTGCAATGAAATACCTAAACATTATGTTGAGTCAATTTGAGCTAAATTAGCTTTTATACACATTTCATAAGATTAATGTCTATTAAAACACTGCATGGAGGATTTCATCATGAGCTGGCATCAGTTAGAGAACCACTGAAAAACCAGCTGGGAGTACTGGACAGCTGGTTTTCCAGTGGTTCTCTAACTGATGCCAGCTCATGATGAAATCCTCCATGCAATCAAACCAAATCCCTACAAAACCAATACTTGCCTATTAAAACAATGATTAATTGGCAGTTAAGTATATAAATTATCATTATTCTTATTCTTATTGTTACATCTATATAATTTCAAAAACAAATAATGCTACAATGTATGAGGCTAAACAATTGAGTTTAATAATTCTGAGGACATTCATGTACAAATATTTTCTATTTGGTTATTATATTATTGTTAAAGTATATGGATCTGTTATTTAAGCAATGATTGATCTCATAATGGTATATTAAACAATGATACATTTCATTATAAAACCTACGAAAATTAAGTTTACAAGATATAATCATCAGCTGAGCTAAAGAAACATTAGAAATCATGCAGTAGTGTATAGCTGTTTCACCTCAGTTTAGGACTCTTCAGTAGTATACACGCTCGTAATGCTACCCGCCAGGGATCGAACACAGAACGTTCACTTTAAAAGACAAGCCACTTCGATGGGATTCAATTGCCAATGGATTCTAACTTCCGTCAATTCACGGTATATATATATATATATATATATATAATATGAGTATGAATAACAGATATACAAAAGAATTATAGTATGAATCAATTCAAATTTGATCATAAGTCTTCTCTATGTCTATTTTCTAAGATGGATTTCACTATAAATAACGAATGAATGGAAGGATGAAGTAGACAGGATAATGAAGTGAAACCTGCCATGATTAGAATAACAAAACACAGACTTTCTGAACCTAGCATATAATGAAGTTGTTAGCAAAGTATGATCATAGGCACAACAGTCAAAACCACATAGAATAAAGTAGCAATGAAATGCTATTCAACAATCAATTGCAATTTAAAGCAGTTGGGAACGAACAATACCTACTGTTTGAGGACTAATAATACTAACTGGCTATCTAAACTTCAGTAGTTGAAGAGGCGTCCAAACCCGTGAAGCACTGGTTGAACGTCGAACGCTTTGACTACTGGAGCCATAGTTCCACATTTACACGTTACATATAAATTAGTCATCACTGTTAGATATTATATTTTTCAATTGTACACACTACTCAGTCAAAATGATGATAATTCTCTATCGGTGCATCTTGCTTGATATCCTTATGCGGCTACTTTGGTATTGCTACTGTATCAAAGTAAATAAACAAAGAATGGGAAAATCGAAGCAACCACATAATGGATGCCCCACTAAGTATGCAGGAGGGAATCTTGTAATCTTTCTACAAACTGCCATAATTGTGGGTCTCTTGAGTTAGTACCATATAGTAAACAACGCTTTAAAGCTATAAGTACTCGATTCATTTCTCCGTCAGAATACCACCGACTCATTGAGGAGGCATGTAAATAGCCTCACCAGACAAGTTCAGAAGAAAATGAAACATATCGACTGGCCCCATGAAAAAAGGTAGATAGTACACAGAATATCTGACTGAGGCTAAAGTCACTAAACAGTTGAACTGAAGAGTAAACCATATAAGAATTGTGAAAATAAAAAAGGGAATTTTGGAGGTATCGCTAACATATTTAACTTCTATAATAAAATTGAAGTCGGTGTATGCTTGCTTAATTCGAACATGGACGACAAAGATTTTGGAGCAAGAGTAAACAACAGACACCAAAGTCAAATGACCTTGAACCAACCAATCGGATCGCCCAGAATTACAAGTGGATGTTGTCCATTATCTTCCTTGCAAGTTTCACAAATATTTGATTTTTGATTTCTGTGTGGAAAGTGGGTTGATAGGGTGTACTAAAACATACATACGTGGAGGGATAATGACTCTTCAAGAGTATTGCTGTTATATGAAGAAGTCTGTAATAGTTGGTATGTCGTGTATCACGGTGACTTTTTAGATAATTTTTTCTCGAAATCGAAACTCCCCCTTAATAAGATATTACGTATATGCCACAATTGGCTACTGAAACGACTAGTATCTGCTATAGCTGCAGAAACAGAGAACACTAAAATGTCAACAGTGCAGTAGTATCATCATTGCCAGGATATTGCGTCACAAAGGATCAGTGGAATTACTTGGAGGAATTGGTGTCGTCGTTCATATTGACAAAACAGTACTTATTAAACGAAAAAGGAATTGCGGTAGAAGAGCAAATCATGTTTCGGTGCTGGGACTGTACGATACATCTTCAAAAAGAGTTTTTACAACGCATCCCAAACAGAAGTGCTGATGTTTCAATACCAATAATACGACTACATTTCATACAGATGAGTGGAGAGGTTATTCGCAAATATTATCATTAAGCTATGTTTATCATAAAGTCAATCATTCTTCCAAATTGGTGGATCCGATAAATGGAACCCATACAAATTCTGTAAGAGGATTCTGGGCCCATCTGAAAAAAAGCATTAGAATGGTAAATGGTTCCCGAAATGATACTGGTTTATAGCCATTTAGATGAATTTCTGTATCGACATTGGTTTGATATGTTTGTAACCAATCCTATGAGAAACTGGGACCAATTTTCGCAGTATATTGGAGATATATACCCTGCATATTTCATTATAATTACATATATATCTTATAAATACACTTTATAAATTGAATACCAGGAAATACTCAGGAAATCAGCCAAGTGCCCAGCCAAGGAAACTACATGGTTACAGAAGTAAAGCACTTCAGTTCAATAAGAATTAATCGACCAGAAATTCAAAAGAAAAAGTGTCTCTTTTCTACCTTACATACGTTCTTAATTACACCACATAGGATTTCCTATATTATTCGAGAAATTTAGAATAATCGTTTCAACACATAACAGCTGGTACATGAAAAAACGCTCTTGTGGTTCGGTAGATAACGCTTTGACGTGGTCCATTATAAATTATTTAAATTAATCCCAGCGTGTTAAGAAAATCAAAACAAGATTTTCATGAACGTTTTGCTGTGTAAGCCACAGCTTCTTCAGCAGATTTATCAATAGATAAATCTGCTGAAGTAGCTGTGGTTTACACAGCGAAACGTTCAGAAAAATCTTGTTTTGATTTTCTTAACACGTTGGGATTAATTTAAATAATTTATAATGAATCAATCTGACTCGGCGCTCAAATTATTCCAGGAAGTTCGTAACACCTACGGCCTGGAAACCTATAAGCTTTGACGTGGTGTTTATTTCGAGCCAGAAATGGAACCCCACTCCATCATTTAGCAACATGCAACCAATGAGTCCCAAATACGACAAGACACACGTATCTTGGATATTAATGTTAGCTATTATCGATCAAATAACTTAATATAACAATAATTGACTATACATTATATATGGAATAAACAGATGCTAACACGTTCATACAGAGATAAAGAACTCTTCCTCCAGTGGGAAAAATGAAACTTACAGCTTTTATAGCTTCTAGTGGTACTGGAAAGTGTAGATTAAACTCAAAGCTATAACATTTGACAGATAGATTTATTGACGATGAGTAAGGCTTCAATAAGTCTGCACTATCTGATTGATAATCGGATGAACGAGGGATGTTATATGCAGTGGAAGATGACTTATTACCTGAAATCTAAGGAGGAGGAGAAGAAAGCAAGTTATTTAAATAGCTCCAAGGAAATTTTCAGCAAACGATCAAGATAGAATGAAGAATGTATACTGTTACAGCTTACTGATGTACGAAATAATAAATACACGACAGAATTATTCCATCATATTGTGTAGGTGTTCTAGTGGTTGAGGAAGTGGTCTTTGTTGTCACAACTTCACTATGTGAACCAATAACCCATATTTCGTCAAAGTACTGGTGAAGGAAATACCACATATTCAACTCTTTTTTACCATAGATTAACTGACTACCAGTTACGTAATATATTATTCATACTCCATTTTCGTTATCTTATATCACGTTTTGTAAACAAATGGCCGTTTGGATTTTGATAATACCATTCTTCCATACTAGATGACTTCATTAGCTTCCTGGCAGGAGAAAATAATTAATTGTTCAGGTCACTAGATTGAAGACTGAAGTATCCTAGACACAAGGAGTATTCTATTTGAACAGAAGTCGCAAAACTTAAACTATAGGCGAAAGTAGATAAAGAGACATTGTCTTATTAGTATTCCCTTGGGTTCTGAGTGAAACATAAGGCTTCCAAGGAGGTACATCATCATTTCACTTCATTGTCTACTACTTACTTTAGTTGGCTTCACGACTGCCGACAGTCTTCCATTTCTTCTTCACACGATCTCCTTCGTGTTATCCTTGGACACCCCCACCTAGTCGTTTTCCATTCGGGTTGCATTTAAGAGATTAGCATGTGACACCACTCAACACCCCACTAAACGTGTCTTATCTATCCCCACTTCCATTCTGCATATTTTTGGGCGAGAGGTTCTTGATTGGTCCATTGCCAGAGTTATGTTTTGCTTATGCCTTCCGACTGGTTATCTGACTTTCAGTGAGCAGTAGGGGCAGCTGTTGATGAAGGTCTGCAGTAACCTGATGGAAATGCCCTCCACGACACGCCAAGCGTTTGAATCACATATTAAACTACTAAATCAACTAACATCCAAATTGCGTATTAGTGAAGCCTATTCATCTAACCATATTTACATTATCACTATTGCGGATAAAAGAAGTATTTATTAATATTATTCAAAAACAAACTTAGCGGAATATGGGCACCAAGAGAAATGCGTCATACAAAAGCAATAAAATGCAATATATGGAAAAGAAACAGAAATGAGACCATGCAAAAACAAGCAGGTGTATTTATCAAGACCATCCAAGGAACGTTCATCATTTCAGTAAGAGAGGAAAGAGGGAAACTGCAGAATGATTACAATTCCCAGCTATGCAAATGATAGCGTTTCGGGCCAGTGATTCGGATTATCTCTCGGACAACACCTACAGAGTCATGGTGCACCAACAGTTAATCCAACGCAAATGTTCTTCATCCGAAAGCGCCACGTCATGAGTTGACCGCCTCTAAGCTTTCAACACCCAATGCAACGGCTAGCAAAAAGTGAATGATATGGAAGCTGCTAGGACGACATTAGTGGCACATTTCAAAGCCACCGTTACCCTGCTCTAAGACGACAGCACTTATTAAAGGATGGTCTCGACCATGTCCAACACACACGGTAAGAGATCTCAACTATCACACTCCCGTCAGCATTCACACAACCACCTAAATATACGAACTTATCGACAACTTTTAACGGTCCACCTGTAGTATCTCCATTCTGAAAGATTCTCCCAACAAATAGGTAGCACTGATAGAATTATTGAAAAAAATAATAAATAGCCTCTGATTAGGATAAGAAGTTATCGATACATACTGCAAAACCAAAACGAGAAAACAACAACAGAAACTTACATAATCACTGTGATAATGGTCGGATTTTGTCAGGACTGGTCCATCATTACGTAAATCTGTATCATACCATTCTGCATGATTGCTGAAATCTGTTGGTTTCAATGGTGACAAACGAGCAACAGCTTCAGAGGCAGCTGCTAAAGCATCCGCAATTCGATGTATTCTATCCATAATACTGATGTCCAAATCAACACAGAAATGACTGACGTCTATGTGGAGTTCACTGATAAAATCTTGACAAATCTAGTTAGAATAAAGATTAAGTGTAGCATTCACTGATACTTACTTGTGTATTCATTGAAACAATTCTCGAGCGAGGATTCCCTTCACCTTGAGGGATATACAAAGTTCCGTTTAACTTTACAGCTGGTTCATTAGAAAGAGATCTTGATAATCTTTCGGAACTAGATGGGTGTGATGATGTATGCGGAAAATGGAACAGCTGGAATAGAGAAGAAACCAAAAAAAAACGTTCACATAAACATGGAGTAAAGTGAATAATCAATGGAGTTACGTATACGATGCAGACTATATATCATAACAGGGAAATATTACATCACTCCACTCTTCCTTTCTGTAGAATGAATATATTCGGTTAACTTCATCACAGTGTTATACTGCAGTTAGTGATAAATTAGAAATAACAATAGAAAAGATGAGAAAAAAAGGACATGCAGACAATATTATTCTTTTGAGAGATAGTCGACTGATATGCTGACAAAAAGCTTCAACGGGAATCTTGATATGTAGGCTATTAGATGTGATTATTGAATTTCGCTGAACACCGACTAATATACTAGGTTAGCATAAATAACACAAAGATATTAAAGAAATTATCGCTAGTCTACGGTACCTAAAGGTTCACAACACATTCAAAGTTGATATAGCTTCTTCTAATTGACGTTATGTGTCGGTGGTGGTGCGGCAGTAGAATTCCTCGCCAACCACGGCTCACATCGACCAGTGTTCGATCTCGGATAGACGTGTTTCTAAATCTCCCTTAGCTGGTAGTATAGTGAGAGCTGTCAGCTAGCCAAAATTGGTAAACAGCAATTAAAGTCAATGTTTACGTCGCAAATCTTGGTTATCAGAAAAACAAGAACAAAGACTGCGTGGGCGGATACGATTCGCAGATATATGATCTGACGACCTTCAAAGAAACAGCCAAAAAGAGATGGCAGATTAACTTTCAACGAGAAAACAACCAATCAGAAGACGCTGTTTCTCTGTTAATAATTACGAATAATAATGGACATAAAAATATATAAATATCTCTTGATTTCCTCAATAAACGATCTGATGCCTGGCCCTTGTCTTCTGTCGTTACAGTAGTACACTCAGGGAATAAGGAAGATTGTGTATGGGCCTAGCAAGTCCATCCCATAAAAAACAGAACCACTGCTCATGAAACTTCGCAGCTCAAACTCGAAGCCCTATGCTCCACTCGGAAAGCCAAGGAATAAAAAAATAAATGTGAAAACTGACGTTATATTTACCTGACTGTAGGAAAAGCGGTAAAGAGAATAACTTGAGTTTACTAAAAAAAAACATCGGATCTGTGTTGTTTCATCTGAATGAACGCATACGTTATTGCTAAATTTAGAATTCAATGAAGAATCAAATTAATTCATATGTAGATTGACGCACACATACCTTAATGAATGACAATTAGAGTGGTAAAAGATGTCTCTTAAAACTAATAGAGAAATTGGTTGGAGAATGAAAAGTGGAATCTATTAAGAGAACATTATTCATGAACTGATTGATTTAAATCAGTACTGTCGCTACACAGTTGCTTTCATACAGCAATGCCATTATTATATAAATTAAGAATCCCTTTGATTCTAAGTTGAACATTGAGCTTCATAAGAACATCTCCACTCCACTCTATTCTCTGTAGTCTTTTCAAGGTGACTCCATTAGGAGTGACGTACTCCTAAAAGTTGGCGTTGTTAACTGGTCGGTAGTAGGTAATATTGAGGTCAAATACAGTTAAACTGTAAGATTTCAAATTTGTACCGGGTGAGATTTCGTGATCATCAAACGTTCCATACCAGTGACTGGCGCTTTTGTATACTCACTCGACTAACAGAGTTAAAGATGAAGCCCAGATTGACATTGAAAGCACAGACAACAAGGTGTCAAGACCAAGAAGAAACGAAAACACATCTTTATTCTCATCAGAATTAATCGATAAAGCATAATTAGCTTAAGATGACAAAAACAAACAATCGATATCTGGAAAGACCACCTGTCATTATCAAAAGTATTCCATTTTTACTTAGTTGGATTTTGGTTCAGTTTACGCAATATATTGGAGAGATTCAATTGCTTGAAGAAAAAATCAACTGAGCAGATTACAATTCATCTTTAAGACAAACAAAACCACTCAGTCTGATTTTGTCACAGTCTGAATTCAGCTAAGAATCATTGGAAATTGACGAATGCTAGAGCATTGTTTCGTTTCAGTTTGTTACTCTTCAACAGTGTGTACCCTTGAATACATGAATGATCAAATCCAAGACGTACAAATCCTAAAGCCAGTCTGTTCACTCAATGACCTATGAACTCTTACTTCTGTCAATTCACAATAAGGAACTACTACCAACCAGTCACTACGATGAACACTCGTTTCATCCCGAGATGGTAGATAGCACAGTCGAAGACTTCGCATAGGGACTAACGTGCTAGATATCAATATTGAGATTTGGATTTATTTCAATATAGATTTTGTCACACTTCTGAACAGTCCCAAAATGAAACGAAACAGTTATCCAGTGTTATTCATTTTCTAATGATCCGCTAACTGTTGTCAGTTCGCAACGAAATTCTTCCACTTAAAGTAATCAAGATCCCCACAAAAACCAAAAATCTGGAAACACTGTCATACAATCACACAAATTAACCTTTTTCGCCTAACTTTCAGTTGTTTTTTCGTAATAAAAAAAATACAGGAACATGTAAGAATTATATTTTTACAAACATCTCAACGAAATTGAAAATAAATAGCTCCATCTGTCTACTATACACCTGGCACCCAGTGTTTGTGGAACTATTTGATTCAGTCTTGATCAGAGTTCATTTTTAAGAAAACAATTTACTGGAATATTTTTATTCAGTTTTTATCTTTTTTTTTCTTAGCGCTGTTTATTTTATAAGATATTTTTATTCTGAATGCCTTGTTTATAAATTTATCTGAACCACCAAGTATTCTGTGTCTGCCGTTTCCAATCACAAACCATTATACGTCATTAATTGTCACATGAGGTCAGACAATATGACACAATATTTCATGATTGGTCAATACCACTAAAAGATACGAACTTTTATTAGCAAATCGATAAAGGTTAGGCTTTAATTACCAATCATAAAACAGACAACGTAAAACTAATCGACCAATTAGAATTCAGAATAATACTTTATACAAATATTTACATAAAAACTTCACTGCTGCTTTTCTACATGTTTTAATGCAACAGAAAATACAGGAAAGCACAGTGGATTTAACTTGTTGAGTCAATTGGAAAGTAAATGTTTCAGTATTTTGAAAGAAAAAATAATCACTTATTTTGTAATTGACATTTACTGTCTACAAAAAAATAAAAACAACACATGCGTATGCAGCACATAAGGCATAGACATATATTCCGACGCTATAGCATGTGATCGATAAAGAGAAGAACACTACTCACCATGGGGCAATAAAATGTTTATTTATCCAAGAGAAAATCTAGTGTACACTCTAGCAGCAGCATTATGCATAGTTTACCCTTATCTAGTAATTTCATTATCCCACCTACTACTGCTCGTCAATATGACACTAATACACACACAACAAATGAGGCATGATCAATATAATCTACCAAAATCAATTCTACATAGATCAGAGAATTTTCAACCATGTATTGAACAATCAGATCCTGCATATCCAATAGGTAAAATGATTATATGCAATGAAGAGGCTACATTACAATTCGGTAATCGATTGCCAATTATTATTACACAATCAGATCATAGTATTATTAATAATAATGAATATATAATCAGTACAATAATTATTGAAGATAATCCAAATATTGAAATATGCTCAACAGGTACATTCGCAAATGTTATGATGATGTCGCCTACTCCACTAACGACGACAACAGCAATGCATCCAGGAAGTAGAGTTGAACGTAAACTCCTGTTAACTGGTTTATCCTTACATATCTTTCAACATGGATGTTTTAAAGGTTTGTCAGAATTAAACATTCTACATATTAAAAATTATCAATCAACTACAGACAGCTTAAAAAAACTATCTGGTAATTTATTTCAAGAGTTGAAACACTTAAAAAATTTAAAAGTTTTACACCTAGAAAACATTGATTTATCAATTGGTATACCACAGTATGCATTCTATGGATGGATGAATCAGCTGAAAGTGATTACTCTAATCAATAATAATTTGAATACAATCCACAATGAAGCCTTTCCATCAATAGTTGGCACAGATAATAATAATAATAATGGGCTGAGAGAATTAAGACTAGAGAAACAAAACGAAGATGGTTGGAAATTATTAGAGAATTCAAATCAATGGGGAAGGTATTTATATGCCCTAAGAGTATTCAGTTTAGAAGGTACTAGTTTACGAAAAACCACATCGTCAACAAACATGAGATTGAATAAAAATATAAACATGGTAAAAATTGATTTTGGCGACTATGTGAATAGACATTTAGAATATTTAAATGTACAGAATTGTGAGTTAACTCATCTAGTGAATACTACTACAACAACGCCAATAATAATAGATAATCAATATAAAAGTAGCGATGATTTGATTGGATTAAATTTAAATTATTTAGGGGGACAATTAAAACAATTATATATTGGTTATAATAAATTTATTGATTTCAATTTTTTACATCAAATTAAACACTTTCGTAATTTACGTCTACTCAGCATAAATGGAAATCAACTGCCTGTGGGTACATTGCCTAGATGGTTCAATACACAATGGCCGTACCTACATGAATTACAAATCGCCTCAAATGGTATCACTTATATTCCAACTGATACAATATCAAGCAATTTAAAAGTATTACATCTGAGTGAAAATCCCCTGGAATTATTCGATTATAATTGGATCCAACAGAATGACGATCTTCACGGTAGTGGTGATTATGATGATAGAGAGATAAAATTGAGTGAATTACACTTAAATTCTATCCGATTGATTAGTGTTCAACTGGAAGGATCACAAGCTAACTGGGAGAGGATATTTCAGCCAGTCAAATATAGTCTTGAACACTTAAGTCTGATTAATTGTCAATTAGAAGCAAATATGTTTATCAAGTCATCTAATAATACCGCTACTAATAATAATACATTGAACAGAAATGATATTTATTTAAATTTGGGCTTGAATAATTTGAAACAGTTGAAAAGTTTGATACTTTCAGGCAATTATTTAGAATATATACCACCGGGATTATTTCAAAGCCTTCATCAATTAGACAATCTGATATTAACACAAAATCAACTTTTAACAATCCATGAACCAAGAATGATACGGGAACAACACGATGGAAATGATGATAAAAGTGGCAACAGCAACAACAAGAACAACAACAGAATGCATCGACTACTCCGATTGGATTTAAGTCATAATAATTTAATCACATTAGAAAGATGTGCTTATGCATTAGGATTTAGTAGACCATTTGAAAGTATCCTGCCATTACAGCCTACATGGTTAGCTGAGAATGGTGAACAACAACAACAACAACGACAAGAACAGGAACAACAACACTATGAGGAGTCGTCAGAATACACATCGAATCAAATCTATTGGCGTGGTGGTTTAAACATAATTGGTAATCCATTTATATGTGATTGTCGGTTGGCTTGGTTTCGTCAGTTTATCGATCAAATGAGTAAAACACTGATTGCACAGAATGAAAAACAATCATTTGGTTTTAAAAGCTACCTGAATGAAGCAATCAATTTTACGTGTTATGGAGCGAATCAACTCACTGGAAGATATTTCCTTACACTTACACCAAATGACCTGTATACCATAGATCATGTAGACTGTCAAAGTCGACCAGATATCTATGGTTATGATGTAAAGTCATTAGATAGTTTACAACCATGCTGGAAGTTGAATAGGACATTTAGTCCACGCTTAGAACAAATACTAGAGACAAAACAAGGCATGTTGATGCGATCCAGATTTCTCAGTGGATCACATTTCAATCCATCAGTTGTGCTAGAGAATGCAACAGCTGTGTCGAATGAAGCCATGACATTGATTATAATCGCTGGAGTGGCTGCATTATGCTTTATTATAGTCAGTATTATTATAATTATATGGTTATGTATACGGTTGAAGCGGAAAACAGAGCATCGGCCAACCACCACCAGCTTATGGCATAAACGATTCTATCGTGGACGATTGAATGAAGTTAGCTGTGGTGGCGCATTTAAACGACTTCATTCTCCGTGTTGTTCCCTATCAATGTGTGATTTCATTTCTTGTACGAATTGTAATCCTAAGAAATGTACAAAGCATTGTTCCCTATGTAGTTGTACTGTTTATCCAAAGCGTACTTCTATATCGACAAGTGAAACAGACAATTTAATGCGTGCAAAATTACACCGAAGCGAAGACAATAGTGTTATGTCAACCGGTATGCTGAGAAACCATCATGCTAACAACAATGATCGTTATTATTACGATAAGGTGAATAAAAACGGTGATGGAGTAGTAATTGATTCAATTTATTCTGATACAAATGATTTAGACACACAAGAAACTCAATCATTAAATCGATACACTGGTAGCAACAATAATAACAATTATAACAGTAGTCGTAGACGGCTATTATTACATGATCAGAGGAATCGACGATACAGACAGACAAAACAATCTAATAATTTTGGAGACGAGACGAAATTCAGTCCATCGGTAAGGAATACTAGTCAAATCAGTAACACAGCTAATTCTAACATCATCGATTCCGCCAACTATAGAACAAGTAATAAGTATACTTATGAAAAACCTTTATATACTAGTGCAAGTGTTCATACACTTCTCAATGTAGACCATGAACACCTGATACAGCCATTACATCAACCGTCATCAACTGATCTGTTACCGCCAGTGCCACCACCAAGGAAGAGTAAAAGTATCGGTGATCTACTTCAGAATACAAGAGTTGAGTCAGCAACAACAACAATAGCAACATCACCTAGAGCAACAACACCATTGAATTTACGAAGAAGTGCTAAGCAGTTAGCAATGAGAAAGGTTGGAGAACAGTCAGTAGTTCAACAGTCAACAGATATACCAGTTCATTTACTTAGACACTATGATACTAGGAGAAAACATTCACCTGCATACACTTCTAGTATTCGTCGTAGTGTATTACCTTGGAGAGATAAGAGTGCTGATAACAATGATAACAATGGTGGTAGGTCTATGTTTATAAATAATCGACCAGATATAAAGAATGTATTTCGAAGAAACAGACTAGTAGTGTCAGCTAGACCTAGACTAGAAAATACACAGGAAAAGAATAATGTAAACCTAAGAAACAATTGGTTATCAGCAAGTCGACGTAGACTACGTAAGACATGTGAATGGTTGAAACGTGATAGACACTCGAAAACGCGAAACAGTAGTCATTCATCAATACAAGAAGAAAAACAATCGGTACTACAACCGGCAAGAAGTAAAGATGATATAAAATTCCTCGGACCCGAGTTACCAAAACCCTTTTTCTTACTACCTAAACAAGAAGTGGAATATGCAATACCAGTTGTCGACTCAAAGCGCACAACACACACAGATTACTTACCAATGTCTCCTGGATACTATAGTGATAATCGACCATTGGAGGGAAGATCCAATGAAGCTACATCATCGTCACCAATTAAAAAGTCACCTATAGATGAGTATGTTACCGACTTAATACATATTCAAAATATGAATTATCCTAATTTAATCTTATCAGATACAATTAAACTACCTCTACAACAACAGCTACCTATCACTACAATGAAACAAACAACTTCAGGTATTATCGACCCTATAACCATGACAACGACACCAACTACTAGTACTACTGCTACTACTACTACTGCTACCGTTCCTACAGCCAACACTTCACCTACCACAAGTAATAAACCCATCCGACCACCAAGACATCAAAAGCTTCAAATCGCAGGAGATTTGTATAGTATTCAAACATTTGCCAACAGCAACAATAATCTTACAACTGGATTAGAAGTGAATAAGAATAAAAGGGCTGAAAAGTATTTGCCATTGCCACCACCGCCTCCTCCACCTCCATTTATGCTGAATAGAACAGAACTGCTGAAAGTCAATAATAATAATAATACTAGCACACTGATAGGCAGTAGTAAGGCAAGTCAAGATAATTATAATTATAATAATGATAATACCTCTGAAATGAATAATGCAAATTTATCACTCTTTCCCCTACCCCCGTTGTTATCCCCAAAACCGAGAAATATCAGTATTAAACCGTTAAGGAGTGCAAAACTACCCCGACAACCACAATCGTCAGCGACAACGACAGCAACAACAACAACAGCAGTGACGACAACTCAACCCAAAACTTCTAACTTCCCTACTGGTCAGTATAATCAGTCACTGAGGGGACCTCAAAGAGCTCAACAGCCTACATACAATATTGAGGATGATAATAATAATAATACTAAAGGCACTGACCGTCAACAAGACAATGTGTCTAATACAAGAAAGAATACAGGTTAATGTGGAATTTTCTTTCCCTGACAGTAGAGAAAAAGAAGTCACCGCAACATAAACACTTAACAACACAACACACCCTTTGGATACATATAGGAAAGCAACCTAGGAAACTTCGCTAAAATCGATTGCACAGGTGTTAGTCATCAATTAGATGAAAAATAGGATGATATGCCAGTTGGTAATTTCAATTTGTTATTCAATGACCCCTTGTTTTTTATTCCTTTATCTCCCTCAACATAGTTTTTATTTTTCAAAATGTTTTGAACAAAACTCTTTTCTATGACAATCTCTTAACACATTATGTATATAGATATTTGAACAATTGATGAGAAATATACTTTCACAATCAGTTATGCAGTGAGTGTGATATATTCAAATAAAATGTTACAGAGTTTTGTATATATAAATATACAATTAATTAATCCGATTATAAAATTTGATTGACTTCCAATCAGTCAATGAGTACTACTATTATGAAAACTGAATAGTTATCACATTATTTAAGTATAGCATATATACCACAGTGAATTAGAGAGGAAAAATCATTATGGGATAATTGATTTACTTTATCATTATTTTTATTAACTGGCAGTGCAGTGATGAATTCAGATCGTGGTGTGTGTGCAGCTGTGGTTCATTGACCCCTAGGCGCTAGACTTCAAACCAGTGGGTCATAGGTTTGAGCGCCGTTCCACCTACCGAGGTTTGGGTTGCCAGGTAGAAAATACCACTAGTCCCTAATAAAATAGGTGTGGTTCATTGCTAGCTGTATGGAATCACAGTCAGTTGTTGAGTTTACATGCATCAGTGGTTCTATGGTAGAATGCTTATCAGCCAAATAAAAGTAATCATGGGCTTCGACTCCCGACCGATGCACTTCTGAAACCCATCTAGATTGCTAACTGATAGTAAATTCAGAAAAGAGGGAGAGTTGGGTATGAGGCGGGTATCAACCCTCCACCCAGTATAAAAGAAACTTAAACGCTTGAAGCCCTCCCAATGAAAGAAAGAAAACCACATCGGTTCAGACTTATATCTTAGGCTGTACAATATAGACCGTACCCGTGATATTTTTTTATTCCTTCATGTTCCAGTGGAACATAGGGCTTCAGGCTAGACGCTTGAAGTTTCTGTAGCAGTGTTTATTTTTACAAGATGGGGTTGCTGGCCTCATGCCTAACCTTTCCTCTTTACCAATCTTACTGATGGCTTACCGAGGTAAAGGACTGCGTCGGTGGCCGGGGATCGAACCCCGAACCATGTGTGCATGGTCGGCGAGCGTCCTAACCGCTGTGCCACCGACACACTGCATAACTTCACGAAAGTGGGATCACTAGAAAACTAATCAGTTGGCGTTTGAAAAAGGATACAATCGAATTCATGTTAGCGTGAGAGAAGAGGACTAATTCAATTCAAACATTGTATATGAATAAAGCCGGACAATTATAATGCAGACTGTCTTCATCATACTCTGGTGTACATACACCGGATATAGACTTGAGGCATAAAGTTGCACTGAGATTAGGAAAACATGAAGGATGAACCAATGCAGAAAACTAAAATCCAAATATTCTTGATATTAGGAGAGTGGAACAGTTATTCAGAAATGTATCAAAATTAAATCAGAAAATCTCATTTCGGATTATTTATTTTAAACGAAAACGATACCATTAAACCAAGCTAAATAATCATAATAATAATAAAGGCGAACATAATGTGCTATAGAAGAATAGAACTTGGGCACTGTGTTACTGAATAATTCCATCATAGAATAGATTTATTTGACAAAGCACACATACAGATACAGTATTGTAATGGCAGATGACGAGAGAATCGGTATATATATATATATATGTTCCCTTGAGTTCCTAGTGGAACATAGGGCTTCAACTACACGTCTCCACTTGCTTCTGTCTCCTGCTGTACTTTTCACCTGCATGCATTTTAGTCCATACTGTTTCAGCTCCTCTTAACACGATCTCCTCCATGTCACCCTTGGACGTGCCACTCGCTGCTTCCTTTTCTAGTTCCACTCGAGTACTGGCCTGACGCGCGATGTCACCCAGCGGCCTCCTCAGCGAGTGTCCAACCCATCTCCACTTTCCCCTGCACATTTGTTGAGCGATTGGTTCTTGTTTTGTTTGTTCCCATAGTTTCTTGTTTGCGATTCTTTCCGGCCATCTGATCTAAAGTATAGAACGAAGACAGCTGTTGATAAAGGTTTGCAGTCTGTTGGAAATATTCTTGGTGACCCGCCAAGTTTCTGATCCGTAGAGCAAAACTGACTTGACGTTAGTATTGAAAATCCGAATTTTGTTGTTGATGCTGAGTGACGAAGATTTCCAGATTGGTTTCGGGTTGATGAATGTGTTTCTCGCCTTCCCGATTCTCGATTTGACATCCTCGTTGGTTCCTCCTGTAGTTGAGACAATGCTCCCTAGATAAGTGAATGAAGTAACCTCTTTCAAATCTCTCCCGTTGATGGTGATTGGCGCTGGATGTTGCTGCTGCTGTTGTTGTTATTGTCGGTGGGTTATTTTCATAACCTCCGTCTTGTCTATGTTCACCTGGAGTCCTGTCTTTGCTGCTTCTTCGACCAGTTTGTCGGTTTTCGCTTGTAAGCCTTCGATTTTTTGTGACATCAAACATAAGTCATCCGCGAAATCCAGGTCTTCTAGGTTCTTCACGTCGGTCCAGGATATCCCTGTCTTCTCGTTTCCCACTGTCTGACGCATCTATATGTAGGCAAATTATGTACACCTTATCTTTCACACATGCACCATTTGCACAGATCTTCCGTGTTGTGCCTGCTACTTCTCTCCTTCCGTCATATTGTGGTTTCTTGTGTGTTCGTTTCACTTCTCCTATGTATCTCTGCAAGGCTGTATCATTTACTTTCTCTGACATCAAATCTACCTATATCCCTGCTATTTCATAATTTTATTCCGATGAGCGTCTCTTTACATACTACTGATTAATTTTCTCAGTAGCACACGCTACAGTATTACTTAATGATAGCGTTTCGAACACAATTTATTGCAGCTCATAATAATGCTAAGGTATTCTCAGATAACTTTGCAACTTCCAACAAAATGTGAGGTAGCCATTTTTGCTGTACTAGGAATGGTTAGAGTAATCAAGGCTATAGATTATGGCTACTGATACACAAGAGGCTTTTGTATCGATCGCGTTGATGAACCGTTAAAATAGACCTCAAGCTCTATTCGAAACGCCAAAAACAAACTCATTGCAAATTTCAAACGGCTGAGATTAGTGAATAAAGAATATATTTTTTTCGATAACTTTTTCATTAAGTTCTACACGTATATGTCCATAATAATTAAAGGATTATAGCTATTGAAATCAATAGTATTTTTCAAATACCTTACATACCATAGACGGCTAATGTAAGAATCATGGCTAGAGTTGTTTTGTTTTGTACGCAGAGTTTTGCTGTCTTAGGCGAATTACAGGTGCGTCGGTGGCACAGCGGTAGAATGCTCGCTGACCCCCAATGATGCACTCCTTCACCTCACCTCACTAAGCCGCTAATAAGACCGGTAAAGAGGGAAGGTTGGACATGAGACTAGCAATCGCATCCCGTAAAAAATAAACACCACTGCTACCGAAACTTCAAAGTTCTAGCTTGAAGCCACCCTCTGTTTCACTCGGAATGTAATGGGATAAAAAAAGAGCTGAATTACAATGGCCTCTGCTGCTTGAAGCATACAGTATTCTAGAGGCCTTTGATAACTTATTTAGAAGTTGATAAATGATAGAAAAGGATTCTTCAATGCTACTTAAGTAGCTTGTTTGAACTAGGTGTTCTAATATATCGAACTACTGTTGGTTTTTTTTTACTACACCTTTATTTAACAACACTAGTAGATATTACAATTAATAGTGTTCGCTGAGCTGGTTGGTTTGGTTGCGGAGCTTTCGTCGTCCTTCTGGACAACATCTTCAGCGCAATATTTAGCATTTTTCCACCTTATGCTAAACATTGCGCTGAAGATGTTGTCGAGAAGGACGACGAAAGCTCCGCAACCAAACCAACCAGCTCAGAGGACACTATTAATTGCAAATCATCCACCTGAGCTACAAATCTTCTCTATTACTGGTAGATATTGCCAAGAACACAAAATTAAGTTCTTAGAGCAAGATAGCTGCTGATGTAGTTTAGTGCTACAGGAGTAATTGGATTGTGATAGACTCAGGTTCAATGTCACACAAACAGGATATCCTTGAGATAAAGCTATTCACTTAAAACAACCGAAACCCAGTGTACAAAAGAAACGGGTTCAACCATTATTGATACCCTCGTCTCTTGTGGAGTCTATAAATTCATACATTTATAAGCACTAGTTATGTCCCTTAATTTATCTGATATTGAGTTTATTGCTATACTTATAGACAATATCGCATACATATATTTTGAACTGTACTTTACTGGCTTTATTGATCGAATGTTATACTATAAAAAGACAATAATGTTGCTACTAATAATATTAATTCCTAAATTAATATGGACAGGATTAAGACAAGGCAGCCTACTATCACCAATGATTTTCCTGATTGCAGTAGATTGGATAATGCGACAAACAGCGGGCACAAAATGGACTCACACAAAAAAAATTGGAGGATTTGGACTTTGCCAACGATATGTGTCTGATTTCCAACAAACTGGAAGATATGCAAGTGAAAAACAACAAGTTGGCAGAAGAAGCATCCAGAGAAGATAGGACTTTAGGCGAACAAAGAGAAAACGGAGGTGATGAAGATTTCCGGCCAACAGCAATAGCAGCAGCAACAGACAACAATCAGAATAAATGGGAGGAACCTGAAAGAAACAACCTCTTTTACCTACCTGGGAAGCATCGTTTCAACTACAGGCGGAACTGACGAGGATATCAAAGCAAGAATCGGAAAAGCAAGACAAGCTTCACTACTCTCAAGTCTGTGTGGAGGTCAACAACACTCAGCATCAAAAAAAGATCCGGATTTTCAACTCCAATGTGAAGTCAGTGATACTTAACATACGGATCAGAGACTTGCACTGCGCGTCATAAAGAGCATTTCGAACAAACTACAAACTTTCATTAACAGTTGTCTTCGCTCAATACTCAAGATCAGATGGCCGGCCAGAAAAGATCAGCAACAGAGATATCTGGAAGCGAACCAACCAGGAACCGATTGCGAAACAAATAGGCAGGAAGAAATGGAGATGGATGACTGGCCATACTCTGAGGACACCATCAGGTGACATCACTAGACAAGCCGTTGCTCGAGTGGAACCCGAAAGGGAAGAGGCGAGTTGGTCGTCCAAGGGTGACTTGGAGGACGTCATGTGAAGAGGAGATGAAAGCGTGTGGGCAGACTTGGAGCCAGGTGAAAACTCTAGCAGAGAACCGATCGCAATGGAGAC